GATAATCATGAAACAAGAATAGCCACAAGCGAAAAAGTTTAAAAAATTACAAGTTCAAACAAGAGTTGAAAATTACTTTTCTTTTCAATTTTCTACGCTAAACAGAGGAGGTTGAAACGTTAGGGAAAAACGGTGGGGCAAGTAGTCATACCTGGCAGCTTCAAGAGAAGATATAAGAGAACCCCATACGATTCTGGCGTATTGTTTTACTGAATAATTGTGCTCACGTGTATACACTTCAATCAACCAGTGATGTCTTAATGCAAAGTAGTTTACCGTCTTTTCCACCGATTTTGGCTCATTTTCCCAAGCCGCAATTATAAGTCACGCTCCATAGAATATGATTTAAACTGATGCTGACATCATACACTTCATCTGAAGAAAAAAACGTTCCCTGTCTTCGAAAATTTGCTTAAAACAGGAACAACAACGGAAGTCCTAGGCTTTCTGAAGATACCGCTGCCTAGCGTGCGTGTTGATCGCTTTGCAAGTTGTGAGAACATCCTCCCCAGGCTCAAGATCTCGTCTGGTCTCTTCTACAGCCAATGCTGAGGAGTTTTCTTACGGATTTTAATCAGTTTAATAAAGGGCTGGAAAATAAACTTACAAGAGTTCCGTTTTTACGCTTGGTTAAATGTGTATATTACGCGAGCACTCATGATGACTTGGCAATAATTCGATGATAGGTAGTTGGCAAGAGTTTCCAAAACTTTGACCTCGATGAATGACGGTGGCGGCTATTTAAGGTTTGTCTGGACCTGATCACCCAGACAGTGGAATGGGAAAAAATATATATATATTTCCTTATGAACTAAATATGACAAAACTGATTATTTGTTGTCCTGGTGCATTGTTCGAATCAAGCGCATGACTTGCCTGCGTGAGGTTTGAGGAAAATTTACCTTTAACTTTTGATGAAAGGATTAAATTATGACACGCAGCAAACAATATCTCTGTTTAAACAGACCCCTGATAATACAATGCTTGCCTACTGCTTCCTGTTCAAGTCAACTTACTAAGAGGCTTAACCCCCTTATTGACTCTAACTGTATGCTTGTCATAACATTTTCCTTTAGTTGCATTGATGGCGCTTATCCAGTCGCAATAGGTTTGTGCTTCTTGATAACTAAAGGTTAGGGCACATATTTCCTTTCCAAATTGGTTACTGACGCGACAAAACCAAACTAAATTTAGGCAAATAGCCTCAGACACTCAATTGCATTTGCATCATTCCTGCACGCAATCGAAGCTTTATGCTTTTTTTCTACTTCCTTTGGCGGAATGAAGTCCTTTCACTTCCTTTTGCTCCTTACCTTGGTTGAAACCTCCCCTGTTCCTGAATTAACATCGGTGAGTTAACATAAGCAAATTGCACATAAGACAGTCTCGTTACTCACGCATACGTTCGTGTTCATGTTGTCAATGGATAGACGCCGTGGCCTCATTAGCAGCTGACCCGGCTCTGCACGAGTCAGTTGCAGTGAGAAGTTTGGCGATTTGAAGCTTAGACAAGGTCCTAACGTTATCATTGGGTGAATATTCTAAAACTGCAATGGACTACGTAGCTTCGAAAGCTTATGTTGCGAAAAGCAGCTAGATTGAGGAACAAGCTATTTTTTTCCTTTCCTTTCTGTTTTTTTGTCATTTTTGTTGTTGTTGTTGTTATTGTTGTTCTGCGTTTAAGGCGAGTGGGGGCATGTTTCGGGGGCGCATTAGGCGTAAATCACAGAAGTGCTAGAAAAAAAAAACGAAATATACGCATAAAAATGAAAGAGGCTCACATTTAGCTACCGTTTAGGAAACGATTAATTTTTTAATCTCAACGAGTACTCAGTACATGGAACAGTTTTTCGTTTTTTTCTGTTTTCTCTTTCTTATTTTTACTATTTAGTATAATAGTCAACAACTGAATCATCGAATGGAAATGATAGTAGTCAGTAAGGTTTTGTAGGTCGCAACTTTTTTCTCGTCGTTAATTTGGAAGTGTGACTAAAGCTCGTCATGTGGACTTCAAGGAAAGTCTTTTTCAAAAAGAAAGTCTACGGTTTTAATTATTACGTCGTCATATCGAAATCTAGTCAAACCAGGAATTCTATATATAGCAGAAAATGACACACTTCTAAAGTAGAAACATCGCAAAATTTTTCGGTCGATCCTGTAAGAAAATTATCTTAGTCCGTGAGAGTCTGTGAGACCTTTCTTCCTTTAAAAATTGTTGAACCCAGGCCGCCTGAGTCATCGCGGGCAAAGGACTAGGACTGGGGTTTAGACTTTCACAGTTGAAACAGTAACGAATCTCTATTTCAACTAACTATTATTGAAAGCTGTTTGTTACATATCAGCAATATTTCGACAATGGAAAGGGAACTTGCCACAAGTTCGTTTTGTTATTCGGTGTTCTTATTTCCTTCCTATTAGAACAAACACGTTACTTTTTCTCCCGGGCCGTATAATAGACATATATTCGCTTGTTGTTTACAACTGGGTCAGACCTTGCACATTGGCAGAGCGTACTTTTGACAAACGATTTTTAAATACTTTCGTACACGTAAAAAAAAAAATATCTGACAAAAATTAAAGGATTCTTGATGAGGACGCCTTATTTTATTCTTTTTCTTCTGAAGCAAAAACCAAAACGGCGGCGTTAATTTCTGAAATTCAAAAACACCTGCTGGTGTCATAAAATTCATCAAATTGTTTATTTTTCAGGGTCTTTTGCCTGGCGGGGGTAAAACTTCATACACTGATCTCGTACTGAGGTTTTGTTACAATAATGACGCAGAACCAAAAACCAAAAATAGGTACAGGAAGTTTTCTCGAGACTAAACTTTCAAACCTTTGTCTCATGCTTCAGTTTAAGCTAATTTGTTGTTTCAGAATCGAAAAAAAATTGAAAGCTTACGAGGTAAAAATTTTCGTTCACAGCACCAAAGAGCGGAAGCAGCTATTACTTACGTGGCGCCAATTTTCAACTTTAATGAAGAGCTCTCTTACTATCTCGAACAATTGAGGGCCGGGTCAGAAAATTATCTCATTTGCAAGTCATCGTTGAACAACAGTTGATACTTTTGTTGCGTAATAAATAACGGATTGGTAAACAAACTAACACCTGATGCTATCTTGAGAAAAATGCAACAAATGACGAACATTTTGTTTCTAAGGGTTACCAAGGATAAGCTCCGTATTCAATAAAATTCGACTAAGCTTGTCTTTCTCAGTGCTCCCGGAGGATCTTTGACAGTTGGACAGGAAGTTTCCTCACAAAATTACTGCAATTTTTCAGCTGTAGCGAGCGTGTTCCAAATTAATCCTCTCATTTTTTCAGGCCAAGGTCACTATGGATGTTTGGGAACCAAGAGTATCCGTTTTCGGTAAATGGACGTTGACGTTACATACACTGACCGTGGAAGAGTTACTCTCATATTTTCATACACTAAGTTAGAACATCGACTTGGTGAACCATCGTCATATTTGGCCCGTCGTGAATATTTCAGTATTTTAATACGTGATATTTCAATATTTGTCTTCTCGATATTTGCATTTGAAAAAGTGTTCGTGATCGAAATTAAAAACTTCCACACTGATAAGCATACATTTATGTATGATTAGGCCTCATTGCGGTTTCATAGGAAGAAATTGTCTGCATAACTGTCGAAGGGAGTGTCACAGCTCATCTTTGTTAACCTTCTATTAGCAAGATGAGATGCAACGTCACGATTACGCAATAGTGCGTTGCGTGACATACGAAAGAGCGCCCGAGTGGAGCTATGGCGGAGAGGGGGCATCGTGTGCGTGTGTTTGCATTGGCAAAATTAAACGAAACCAACTCGGAGCTACAACGGTTAAAAGGATAGCAACCTTGACGCGAATGACAGATGACGGACTTGACAATTTCAGGCTGGGCTCTCAAACCACATAGAGAATTTAGTGTATACTTTTTTAAAAAGCAGTTCCCTGTAATTTCACTCCCTCTTGTTTTAACTACTTATGAAACTCCCCCAGGTTGGAGAGCTCACAAAATGCTTCCTGAGGGGACCGATTTTTGGTCGCTCGGGTTCAAACCACGAGCTCTTCTCCCAATAATTTTGGTATCTTCCTTTGGTTATGTTTTCGGGTAAGCGCCAAATGAGCTATGAAACCGTAAGGACAAAGTCCGCGCTGGTTAAATTTATTTCTTTCGTTTTGCGTGCGCTCCCTCGGATAATGCCTTCCGAATCTACTTGATAGAACCTTTACCAGTTATTGTTCGCGTGAAGTGCTGCATAGTGGAACGCGTGGAAGTCATCTAAGGATGCGTCAGCGAAAAATCGATGCCAATACGCAATAGCTAAGAGCATAAGATGCCTTCTAATCGCGCGAGTTTGCTATTTGCTCAGCTTACAAGCTATAACAACGATTGATCTGGCTTTAATTTGAAGTTGAGGATAAGCTTGTTAACTGTCATTCGAGACATTCGCCTCACAGTGCGTTATTGAACTATTTATTCAGCTCCACGAATAATTGTTTTCATTTAATTTCACAAAACTCGCATGTTTGTATAAACGGAAGAGTAGCCGCCCCGAAGTCTTCGTGCGGTTTCTGTAACAGTAGTTTTTGCCCGCTCGCATAGACTTTTTGTATTGTATTTTCTCCTCCTCGGATGCTTTGCTTTTTGTCCATGATAATTATTACGGTTGCAGAGGCGGAAAGAGAGCTCACACCCTTAAAACTGAAACTTAGATCATGTGTCAAATGACAATCATGCGGGTTGAAACTTTCCAGTCACAGTGTGTCATAACACAGTAATATCGCGAAATATTTTAGCTAATAGGTCATAAATGTAAACCCCCGAGCCGACTTTGTGCTTATACAAGTGATACTGGTTAAGGTTTGGATGTTTGGGAGCGAGTTGCTATTATTTTCGGAAGATAGTGTGTGTGCCATAAATTAAACTTAACAACGCTATTTTTACGTCTGTTTAGTGACGTCACAACTCCCTCTGCGATACATGAAACTGACCGCATAAAAGCGCAAACTAATATATTGCAGTTCCTTTGTTATCTGAAATAACATTAGAGTTTCGATGGCGATTGCGATGGCGAGAGGAAAATTCTCTACTTTCGCTCTATTTACGATCGGACTTGTTTTATCAAGTGATGTCTCATTTCGCGGATTCTTTGTCGAAGGTAAGGCACTTGAAGTTGTCTTGCTTTGGAAACTTTGTAAAGGAAACAACGTGTAGTGAGAGTTAAAATCGACGGCAATATTTCTTCTTCAGTATTTTTCTGTTTGACTGCGAAATTATTGGGATTGTGATAAATTTAAAACTGACTCGTCGTTAAACTTTGCTTTTAGGCGCTGTCAGTGTTAGCGAGGAGCTTTTGATTCGACATATCGTGGATAACATAAATCCGAACGTCAGACCCGTATTAAACCCGTCTGAGGCAGTAAATATTACTTTGGACATAACTTTTCACGGTGTGATCGAAATGGTGAGTGTCCTATATTTCAGTTTTCATTGATATCTATAGGAATGTTTTGAAATTTCTGTTCGACGCATCTTTACCATCGAAAGTATCTATGACTTCCTGTCCGTCTTGTTATTTTTTAATTGAATCAAGTTGGACTCGTAACACTTAGGCATGTGTGTGTTTGGTTGATGGGCAGGAGAGATTTCGCTCGAGCAACAGACAATAACTTCAGGGTATAAACATACGCGCGAGGTTTATCCGGTTGTATGACCCCGGACTTCGTTCTTTCTTAGCATCCTCGGCATTTTAAAACAAGTACACGCAACTTCCTGAAACACCGTGATAAGTCGTACCCGGAGGAACCGTTATTGAGGAAACCATTCCATTGCAAACCCAATTCAACAAATTTCGAAATAGGTTGTATTTATTCACTGGATTGTGGCACTTTCGCTATTAATAACATGGTTTTATGCAAACGGGGAGATTTTACTTGTTTTTGACGGAATGAAACATCCACAATTTGAGGTTGGATTCTAATTTAACATGAGTTTAAAAGGAAATATTCTCCTTCTTTATTTTTCCATGAAGAATTCGAGCAGCATCAGAGACAAATTTAGCGGCACGAATGTTGCATATCTTAAATTATCCTCAGACAAAATAAACTATCAGTGATGCTTTCTAGGTCCGAAGTCACTGGATCGTCAAAGAAAAGCAAGCATAATGTGTGAATACCTGTTAATGTGTAAACATTTTGTTTGCCCTAGAGTCTCCACTTTTAGCGAAGTATGCTTATATGCGTGTTGTAGCTGAGTGGTTTACAAATTCAAATACTTGATCACAGCTCAGGCACGCGAGAAATGCATTTATCGGTGATGCGTGAATTGTTTGTTCCTTGCCAATTAGTTTATATTGAGGACAACGTAAGAGAGTTTTAGTTTTACTATAGCCATTTCACATTTCACAAATTTTTCCTGAAACCATTTGAAAGTGCAAAGATTTAGCGTTCAAATTAACTAAAAATTGTTGTTTGAATTTGTGCCAATGATTGGTTTACAATTTTTGCCTAAGGTCCCTCGTTATTCAGTTAACAACAAAAAATTTAGCCATTAACATGCATACCTCGGTGGAAACAGATTAAAACATTTAATGCGAAGGAAATTATTATCAGAATTATTTTTTATTTTTTTTGAGTATTCATCTGCTGCAACTTTTTCTTTCGTTAGACTTTCGAATCCGACTAAATTTAGCTCGAGGGACATTCTTACTTAAAGAAAGCTCTCTTGCTCAAAACTCAGTTAAATCTGTACGTGAGATTTTGAACACATGTGAACAGCTCCCTAAGGCTCTGTAATCATTTCGTAGCCAGGTCTTTTCCATATTGGCAAGTCTCCGACGAGTGCTGATTGATATGTTATTTCGGAGTAGACAAAGGATTGATAAACAGACTGTTTTGGAAGCAACGAAACAAAACATTTCAAGCTGATTGTGTGAAAACTTCAAATTACCAATAGTGTGAATTGAATGAATATGATATGCTTCCACGCGTGTAATATAAAGGACGGATTAAATCTATTCTAATCAAATCATAATATTTCCAGCCCTAGAATTTATAAAGATAATCAGCTTTCAGCGCCAAGAAAAAAAACAACTTGTTGCGGTAGAATAACAGAAGATGTGGTAAACTTTGCTTGAGCTTGAAAAAGCTGCGAATGATATAGTGACGTAAGTTATAAAACGAAGACTTCAGGGCATTAAAACTGGCTCATACAGGCAACATGTTGAGATAAATGAATGACTCTTTATGAAAAGAATTAATAATGAATTGAAAATGTAAACAAAAGGGTTTTTTGCTAAATTTATGCAAATATTCCAAAATGTTTACAAATTGCTCAAGAAGTGTGAAAATATTAATGTTTTTGTGAGCAAAGAAGATTAAAAACCTATATTTTTAGAGAATGAAATTAAAGAAATTTTCCAAATAATAGACTTGTTTTCAAGTAGTTGTGAGTTCAACCGGAAACGGAAATCCTGGAAAGATAATCATGATTTTGAAATCCAAAGTTGAAAGATTACAGTCCCTAGTAAAAAACATCGACACTCTTCTGGCAAGAGTTCAAATAACTTTTCCAAAAGCGGCTGTCGATGGTGTAAACTGGTAGTTGTTCTCGTGTAGGGCGGTTAGGCGAAACACAAACACCTGTGCCAGTTGGCGGGCTAAACAGACGGCGTGAGAGGTCTAAATGGCAGCGGCAGACCGCCAGTAGCCGGCTTTAATTAAAACTCTTGTCTTCTGTGCTCGAAAATTTAAAATATGATGATTGTTTGCTTTTAGGTACTGTAGCAGTTTTTATCTGTTCTTAGAGGTATTAATCTCAGGGAAAATATGATATCGGAAGGAAGAACGATTAGAGCGATTTCGGGTCAACTTTTCAGCCCACACATAAATCGCTACGCTAGACATGCTTTTTTGACGGAATTCTCGTTTTGCACGTAATGGATCACTTGTAAGAACCTGAAAAAATATAGCTTCTAACCATAACAGTCCTGTAGTGGGTTGAAGATAAAGGTCAAATGGGCTTGAGCTCTGAATGTCCAATGATGCCAAGTGAAATAGATCTCGGATCCCATGGGTGCTGAAAAACGCGCGCGAGATCACGTAGCTCACACGCGCGTACTCGCGAGGATTGAACTCTTTATTGTTTTTTCTTTCTTATCGCATAAAGCGCCAACAGGTTCTCTCTTGCTCTTCCATCGTGCGTGAACGATACACACGATTTGAACTCTGTCATATCATTTGGGGTGTAGGAGTGGCACAGATTCCTTTTCAGAATGCCAAAATAAACGAAATATGAGGAGGGTTATTGCACTTCATCAATTGACTCAAAGCCAAACCAGCATAATCGTTTGTAACGAGCTAAAGTAATGCCAAAAACCAAAGGCAGCCAAAGTTCGCAAAATAAGCCTCCGCAAATATGCTAATATATTTTCTTTGCGCGATGGGTGAAATATAGGAATTTTGTTTGGGAAGAAACAGTCGCATTCTCAACATGAAAATCTGCCTTAGTTTAAGCAAAAATTAAAGTTACTTCGCTTGGTGCTGGATCCTTTTATGCCGCCGCACCATGTTTGTGGAATAGTTTTCCTGCTGAATTGCGTGCAATCTCACAATTGACAATTTTTAAAAGCAATCTTGACCCCTACCTTTTTGGTCAGGTTTTTCTTTAACCTATTTAGACCAAATATTTTATTTTATGTAAGTTTTTATGAATGTTATTTAATCTGATTTGTTTTATTTTCTTGTAAGTCTCATTTACATTTTACATAGTATACTTCGATTGTTGCAGAACAGTTTCATAGCTGAATCATTGTGAAGCGTTGCTGATCATTTCCATGTAAATAGACATTGTTTCTCGCTCATGCTTACTTTCTTTCGCAGGTGATTCACGTGTGTTGTCATTTCCGCCTCCCCTCCCCCACCCCCGCACTTCTGGCAACCCACGAATTGCGCACAGTGTAATAGCTCTTATGTGTGATGACGTTATTTACCAAAAGATCCACCCATACGCCTCGTTTCCACTCAAATTTACACGCACCTTAGCCTCTTTTTTGTTTTCTCCATTTGAATATTCTTTTTGATCTTAGTGTTTTAGGAATACCGTCGTATTAAAATTCATTACGTGGGTAAAATTGGGTTTTATGACGTTAACTCTTTAACTCCCAAGATCTGATTGTTAATTCTCCTCTCTAGCTACTACAAATATCCATGTAAATTAGTCATGAGAATTTGGTGTAAGATCAAGATAACAACTTCTACCTGATTAGTTTGGATATTCTCATTACCTGTTTGCTGGATAATGTAAGGATATTACAGAGAGAAGTTAAATGTTGATCCTTCTGGGAGTTAAATGGTTAACATGCATAAAGCCTCTTTCCTGACTCATTCTTTTCCATACTGGATGCTGTTTGCAATCGTCACCTTCAACAACTTTCTTATGGCGCTTGTGTTTTTTAGTCTAGAACACAAATATTCATCTTGAAATGATTTTTACTCTAATTAATCTCATGATACGTGTTGATATATAAGCGGTTAGATTTTATCATCCTCAATTCTTACCATTCTCAAGTAAATGAAATAGGAAAACGAGAGAATGTTAATTCTTAAATGCTGTTACGTTTTTCAGCGAGATATTTGTCAGTTATGAATAATTTCATGATCACAGATAGTTATTAAGCTAACTTAAATTAAAAGTAAATTCTCTGATCCTATTTTCAGTCTCAACGTTTTCTTAGGAACAACAGAGTAACTTTCTTGCGATTTAATAGAGAGTAGAATGCAACTAACCACTGATCATTTATACTATGTAACTGAGTCAAATTTGGTAGTAAAAAACTAACATTAAAGCAGTTGAACTTAAACCTAACAACAGCATTCTTCTAATCTTCATTCCAGGCCGAAAAATACCAAATTCTCACTAGTAGTGTTTGGGTACGGCAGGTGAGTCCTGGGAACCAACATTACCTCGTTCCCAGACCCTCCCTTCACCCTTTACCTGTAGCTTGGTGACGAATAACCCCTTCCGTAAGGCTTGTGGTCAGCGGCCATACTAATTGAAATACGCTGCGTACGTCATCAGCTATGAGGGTGGGGAGAGGGCTGGGAATGAGTATTCTGCATGCTCTCATACTTAGGTGCTTACTTTTCCAGGACGAAAAATACCAAATTCTCACAACAGACATCTGGGTTAGGCAGGTAAGAGAAACAATCCAAAATCACCACTACAGGATTTAAGCTTAACCAGATTATCATCTATTGCTTCTCTCTGGTGGTTTTTCTCTTGCACGTGGTTTCTACTTTTAAGAGGATCAAAATACACTCATGAGAACTCCAAAAAACACGCCCCTTGCGCTAAACATCATGTTTCACGGATGGCGATTCCTACGCGATCACTTGATTCAGCCTCATTGCGTGACGAAAGTTTTTATCAAAGCATGCTAGTTTGGCTTTATCAACTGAGTTGATTATGACTACCGTAAAGAGTTTCTAAAGTTGTCGTTTCGAGCGTTCGCCCTTCGTCAGAGCTTCGTTAGTCCTTCGTTAACCTTTCGTGATCACTCTGACGAACGTATATCGATCGAAACATCAACTCTTTTTACGGCGGCCAATTTACATCATCAACTCAGATGATAGAACCAAATGATCTTTTAATACCCCTGCCGTTGCAGCACCAGTTTTCTTTAGAAACTCTAAATCGTGCGAGAAACCATTCAATCATTTCCGCGATGGAAAAAGGCACCATTACGAGAGTTCTACTTGACATAGCAAAACCATCCATTTGAGAAAGACCCCCCCCTCCCTTGACTACGCACCAGCCCTTCGATCAATAGCATTGCATTTCTTTTAGTATATCCTGAGAATTTGGTGTTATAAGCTATGCGCTTTTGATAACCTAGAACCTCTTGCTTTTAATTTTTTTTTCATGCTTACCGTCTGTTTGGGAATATATAAAATCTATGAGGAAAGTTCAATTACTGATCAGCTAAACGAGAAGTGTGCTCCAAATATCAATACCTACTGTGTTTTGAGATTGTAAAGAATAATTCAGCCGTTGGAAATTTGTCTTTAAATATTCTGAAAATTTTACTATGGTGGCCGCCATTTTGATGACAGCATAGTAACCTGGCCGTGAGCACAAATCCATTACGCGTGTTTCTCGAACAGTTGCAGCTCTGGTTATTATAAACAATTATTACTCGAGTAAAGGATTGTTAAAAAAGAATGCCAAGAGTAGTAAAACAATGGCGCAAGACTTGTAACATTACGTTACAGCAAGGGGGCCAGGTTGCATGGTAAGGTTAACAATGGTGGCGCCCTAGATGGAATTTTCAGCACTGTAAAGACCGTTTTGAAAGAGTTTGATTACTCTGCGTGATCTAAACACGCGGTAAGTCATACTTTTATGTATGCTGTTAGATTATAATGATAAAAACATATTTTGTGGAGCACCTTCCTCTTTAAATTGGAAACAGTTTATAATGTCACTTTATAACATCGTGGTTTCTATCGTGCATCATCCCTTACGCTTGTAAAATGTTTAATGTGACAGGAATGGATGAACCAACTGATCAGGTGGAATACCAGCGAATACGGTGGACTCGAACAAATATCTATTGATTCTTCCCTTGTGTGGCAGCCGGACATTGTTCTTTATAACAAGTGAGTGTAAATCGTGTTCTGGGCATGTTGTTGTATTCGAGACCCATTCCACAGCAAGGTCGCTTTCAGCCTCACTCCAACTCAAATGCTTGGTAACTAAGTACACAACTGTATAATGGCCTATTAAAGGGAGGATTCAAACTGTACCATAAGAAAGAAATGCTCAGCAGTTTTCATTTAAATGGTCACACGCCGGGTTCCATCTACAGACAGTTTTACATGAAAATTTAGCTGATTTGCTCTCATTTGAAGGTCATCTTGATTATCTTTATATGTGATAATAAACAGCGGCCAGTCGGGCTCGTAAAAAACTGAATGGTCAGTTTTAAGGCGATGTGTTAGGCTGAAGATTGGACTGTAATAAAAAGTAATTGGTCAGCTTTGATCTCGTAGGGACGTGAAATTGCCATAGAATGATCTTTTTCAAAGTAAGATTATCGTAGTGATATTTCTTCTTTTATCTTGTATAGTGTTTTTGAAGAATTTGACGGTAGAATGGATAACGTGAAAACTCGAATTCGAGTAACCCACACGGGTCATTGTTACTGGGCAGCGCCTTTCATCTTCAAAACTTCGTGTCATTTTAACGTAAGAGATTTTCCTTTCGATGAGCAGCAGTGTAAACTCAAGTTTGGCTCTTGGAATTTCCACAAGGGACAACTCGATTTACTCCGCAAGCGAGAAGTTGCACCAGTGGCAAAGGAAAGAGTAGAGAATGGGGAGTGGAATGTAACATCCATCCAGATCAAGCGGAACGAAGTTGTATATGCGTGTTGCCCAGATGAGAAATACCCCGACGTTACATTTTTTATCAACCTCAAGCGGCGCTCTTTGTTTTACACCTACAATCTGATCATACCTAACTTTCTCATAGCTCTACTTGCCTTCTTTTCGTTCTACATCCCAGTGGAGTGTGGCGAGAGAATATCATTCGTGATCACCGTCTTACTGAGCATGACCGTATTTCTGCTGTTGGTTGCGGAGAGCATTCCTCCCACTTCTGAGGCAGTGCCAGTCATTGGAATGTACTATACTTGCTCGATCATTGAAGTTGCCTTAGCACTTGTTGCAACTGGCATCAGTTTAAAGGTGTACTACAGCTATTTGTACGGAAAAGGCTTATCACCTCGGTTACGAAGATTCCTTTTTTGTCGTTTGGCGCCATTACTGTGGGTTGACACGGAAATTGTCAGCGAGGCCAAACTTGCAAAAAACAAATCGTGCTTCCCGTTTAATTGTCTCAAAAGGCTTAAGTCAAACGTTCCACGGGATGGTGTCATCTCGATGTACAATGTTACAGAGAACAAAGTGAATCAGCCTAACGGAGTAGCGACGACAGCGAAAAACGAAATAAATTTGCTTGCTGTTGATGTTAAGACTTCAGCCGAAACCGATATCGCCCTTTTAGAGACACAAAATAGTTTATCTGACCAAGAGATAAGACAGAGAGTAAAAAAAACGTCTACGGCGCCCGAACCGCAAAATGCAGTATCTTCGACACTGAAGGGACACAAGGACATCGACTTCCATGCGACAGAAAGTAGGATTGCTGCGGCCATAGTGGATCGAGCTTTCATGGTGTTGTTTATTTTAGTATTTTTCGCATCGACACTTATCATTTTACTTTTGCCATTCATCAGGAAAGGATGATCTCAAGTCAAGGCTCAAATATGAACTAAAACGCTCTCGGGTCGCGAAGTTGTCTTCTTTTGTTTGTCTGATGAATGGAAAAAGTGGTCACGCACCAACATCTGTCACGTGAGCAAGCAAGCTTCAATGTTATAACTATGCAGCTTTTCGCGTGACACAAATCACGTTGAAGATGTAAAGTAAGAAAGAAGAATTGCCATCGAGAATGTCTTCTTGACGGAAAGTTTGATGCAAACTTGCATAAAAACAACCATTGCCTTGCTTTTGGTTTAGCCATCGCACTAAATAGCAATAAGACGAAAACTGTAACAGTTTTATCCTCAAGTTGGTTGGTTACTGTTTGCGTGGTTCAAAACAATAATTTTTCTAAAACAATTTGGCAAAATTCTTTTAATGTGACTTTCATTTGACGAAACTCGTATGTTTGTATAAACTTAACGGAAGAGTAGCCGCCCCGAAGTCTTTGTGTAGTTTCTGTAACTGTAGTTTTTGCCCGTTCGCATAGATTTTTTGTAATGTATTTTTCGCCTCCTCGGATGTTTTGCTTTTTGCCCATGATAATTATTATGGTTGCAGAGGCGGAAAGAGCGCTCACACCCTTAAAACCGAAACTTAGAGCATGTGTCAAATGACAATCATGCGGGTTGAAACTTTCCAGTCACAGTGTGTCATAACGCAGCAATATTGAAGAAATTTAAAATGGTTTCCGTGTTTACATAGCCTGATGTAAACACGCGGGAGGTTGGGAGAACACGAGATAAGCGTAGGAAACCACGACGCGAAGCGGAGTTGTTTCCAGCTTATCGAGTGTTCTCCCAACCTCCCAGGTGTTTACATCAGGCTATGTAAACACGGAAACCATTTTACATTTCTTTTATAAAATAACTAATGAAAGAGGAACGAAAACCGTGTTTACATACGCTCATGTAAAATGGTTTTATGGCCAATCAGAGTGCGCGTACTATTTGAATTATTTTATAACGAGAAATATTTTAGCTAATAGGTCATAAATGTACCCCCCGTGCCGACTTTGTGCTTAAACAAGTGATACTGGTTATGGTTTGGATGTTTGAGAGCGAGTTGCTATTATTTTCGGAAGATAGTGTGTGTGCCATACGTTAAACTTAACAACGCTATTTTTACGTCTGTTTAGTGACGTCACAACTCCCTCTGCGATACATGAAACTGACCGCCTAAAAGCGCAACTAATGTATTACAGTTCCTTTGTTATCTGAAATAACATTAGAGTTTCGATGGCGATTGCGATGGCGAGAAGAAAATTCCCTACTTTCGCTCTATTTACGATCGGACTTGTTATATCAAGTGATGTCTCATTTCGCGAATTCTTTGTCGAAGGTAAGGCACTTGAAGTTGTCTTGCTTTGGAAACTTAGTAAAGAAAACAAAGTGTAGCGAGAGTTAAAATCGACGGCAATATTTCTTCTTCAGTATTTTACTGTTTAACTGCGAAATTATTGGGATTGTGATAAATTTAAAACTGGCGCGTCATTAAACTTTGCTTTTAGGCGCTGTCAATGTTAGCGAGAAGCGTTTGATTCAACAAATCGCGAAGAACATAAATCCGAACGTCAGACCCGTATTAAACCCGTCTGAGGCAGTAAATATTACTTTGGACATAACTTTTCACGGTGTGATCGAAATGGTAAGTGTGCTATATTTCAGTTTTCATTGATATCTATAGGAATGTTTTGAAATTTCTGCTCGACATATTTCAGTATCGAAAGCATCTATGACTTCCTGTCCGTCTCGTTATTTTTAAATTGATCTTAGTTGGACTCATAACACTTAGACATGCGTGTGTTTGGTTGATGGGCAGGAGAGATTTCGTTCAAGCAACAGACAATAACTTCACGATATAAACATACGCGCGAGGTTTATCCGGTTGTATGGATCCCGGATTTCGTTCTTTCTTAGCATCCTCGGCATTTTAAAACAAGTACACGCGACTTCCTGAACCACCGTGATCTGCTGAAACTTTTTCTTTCGTTAGACTTTTCGAATTCAACTAAATTTAGCTCGAGGGACATTCTAACCTAAAGAAAGCTCTCTTGTTCAAAACTCAGTTAAATCGTGAGATATTGAACAAATGTGAACAGCTCCCTGACGCTCTGTAATTATTTCGTAGCTAGGTATTTTCCCTATTGGTAAGTCTCCGACGAGCGATAATTGATATGTTATTTCGGAGTAGACAAAGGATTGATAAACAGACTGTTTTGGAAGCAACGAAACAAAACACTTCAAGCTGATTGTGTGAAAACTTCAAATTACAAACAGTCTGAATTGAATAAATATAATACGCTTCAACGCGTGTATTATAAAGGACGGATTAAATCTATTTTAATCGAATCATAATATTTCCAGCCCCAGAATTTATAAAGATAATCAGCTTTCAGCGCCAAGAAAAAAAACAACTTGTTGAAGTAGAATAACAGGAGATGTGGTAAACTTTGCTTGAGCTTGAAAAAGCTGCAAATGATATAGTGACGTAAGTTATAAAACGAAGACTTCTGGGCATTAAAACTGGCTCATACAGGCAACATGTTGAGAGAAATGAATGGCTCTTTATGAAAAGAATTAATAATGAATTGAAAATGTAAACAAAAGGTTTTTTTTGCTAAATTTATGCAAATATTCCAAGATGTTTACAAATTGTTCTAGAAGTGTGAAAATATTAATGTTTTTGTGAACAAAGAAGATTAAAAACCTATATTTTAAGAGAATGAAATTAAATAAATTTTCCAAATAATAGACTTGTTTTCAAATAGTTAGTGAGTTCAACCGGGAACGGAAATCCTTGAAAGGTAATCATGGTTTTGAAATCCAAAGTTGAAAGATTACAGTCCCTAGTCAAAAACATCGACACTCTTCTGGCAAGGGTTCAAATAACTTTTTCAAAAAGCGAGACAAAAGGCTGTCGATGGTGTAAACAGGCAGTTGTGCTCGTGTAAGGGCGGTTAGGCGAAACACAAACACCTGTGCCAGTTGGCGGGCTAAACAGACGGCGCCGGCAGACCGCCAGTAGCCGGCTTTAATTAAAATTTTTGTCTTCTGGGCTTGAAAATTTAAAATATGATGATTGTTAGTTTTTAGGTATTGTAGCAGTTTTAATCTGTTCTTAGAGGTATTAATCTCAAGGAAAATATGATATCGGAAGGAAGAACGATTAGAGCGATTTCGGGTCAACTCCTCAGCCCACATATAAGCCGCTACGCTAGACATGCTTTTTGACGGAATTCTCGTTTCTAACCCTTAACCCTAGGCTAATGTTCAATAATGCAAAGTGGAATAGATCTCGGATCCTGTGGGTGCTGAAAAACGCGCACGAGATCACGCAACTCACACGCGCGTACTCGCGAAGATTGAACAATTTATTGCTTTTTCTTTCTTATCGCATAAAGCGCCAACAGGTTCTCTCTTCCTCTTCCATCTTGCGAGAACGATACACACGATTTGAACTCTGTCATATCATTTCAGTGGGGTGCAGGACTGGCACAGATTCCTTTTCAGAATGCCAAAATAAACGAAATATGAGGGGGTTATTGTACTTTATCAATTGACTCAAAGCCAAACCAGTATAATCGTTTGTAACGAGCTAAAGCAATGCCAAAAACCAAAGGTAGCCAAAGTTCGCAAAATGAGCCTCCGCAAATATGCTAATATGTTTTCTTTGCGCGATGGGTGAAATATAGGAATTTTGTTTTAGAAGAAACAGTCGCGTTCTCAACATGAAAATCTGACTTAGTTTATAAGTAAAAAATAAAGTTACCTCGCCTGAAGCTAGATCCTTTTATACCGCCGCACCATGTTTGTGGAATAGTTTACCCGCTAAATTGCGTGCTATCCCATCATTGACAATTTTTAAACGCAACCTTAAGACCTACCTTTTTGGTCAGGTTTTTCTTTAACCTTTTTAGACCAGGAATTTTGTTTATTTAAGTTTTTATGAATATTATTTAATCTGATTTGTTTGATTTTATTGTAAGTTTCATTTACATTTTACATGGTATACTTAGATTGTTGCAGATAAGTTTCATAGGTGAATCATTGTGAAGCGTTACTGATCATTTAAGAATTTACTCATGCTTAGCGTGCGTATATCGAGTTATGGATGCACGCGGTAAGTTTTGAGAGCACGAAAAATGCATAAAAGTAACTCGAGGCGCAGCCGAGAGTAACTCTAGCTTTTTGAGTGCTCTCCAAACTTCCCAAGTGCATCCATAACTCGATATACGCACGCTAAAAGCATGAGCAAATTCTTTTATAACAGAGCGACAACAAGGATCTGCGCGAAGAAGTCTTTTATTGTGATAGAGTGCAAAATTCTCATAACGCACAAAAAAAGTGAACAAACTTCCCTATTGGCTGGTCAAAAACACGCCACATTTTATACCTTGGTTTGAGCGAGAACATTTGATCCAGTTAACCGATAACTGTGGATGAAAAGCTCAAAATTTACGGGAAAAATGGTTTTTGATTTAGATTTTTTGCGGCCTTGGTTGTTTAGGTTTTGGTAAATTTCCAAGTAACAACTGTGTACTCTATTCCCCAGGTTGAACAAATTTAAAAACAAAAATAAAAATGGAAATTTTACCTTCAAATGTTGTTAATGACCAGCTGGTGACAGTTGTTCCCAGTGAATGTCTTTCGGCCAAAATTTGCGGCAGCTGGTCTTCCGACAAATTTGCGAAAAGTGCAACTTGCGAGTTTTTTTTCGGCTTTATTTTTGTTGCTTGTTCGATCAGGACCTAAAAGGTCAATGTCGATAGGAAAATTGGGCAGTTCTTCGCTGGTTTCTTCCATATTTCAGAGAGAAGGAAAACTTCACTGCAGCTTAACAGGACGGAAACTCGAAGGCCAGGTGAAAAAAATGCTCACGTCATCTTAGTTACGCACGGGCGTGCGTAAATAAAAGATTTTGTTCCTAGCGGCTCAATAACGCGCGCTATGTTATAATTCTATGTAAATAGACATTGTTTCTCGCTCGTGCTCACTTCCTTTGGCAGGCGATTCACGTGCGTTCTCATTTCCGCCTCCCCTCCCCTTAAATGTTTTAGGAATACCGTGGTATTAAAATTCAATACATGTGGGTAAAATTGAGTTTTATGACGTTAACTCTTTAACTTCCAAGATCTGATTGTTAATTCTCCCCTCTGGCTGCTACAAATATCCTTATAAATTAGTTATGAGAATTTGGTGTAAGATTAAGATAACAACTTCTTCTTGAATATTCCCGTTACCTGTTTGCTGGATAATGTAAGGATATTACACAGAGAAGTTAAATGTTGATCCCTTCTGAGAGTTAAATGGTTAACATGCATAAAGCCTCTTTCCTGACTCACTCTTTTCCATACTGGATGCTGTTTGCAATCGTTACATTCGACAACTTTCTTATGGCGCTTGTGTTTTTTAGTCTAGAACACAAATATTCATCTTGAAATAATTTTTATTCTAATTAATCTCATGGCACGTGTTGATATACAAGCGGTTAGATTTTATCATCCTCAATTCTTACCTTTCTTAAGTAAATAAAATAGGAAACGTGAAAACGTTGTAAATTCTTAAATGCTGTTACGTTTTTCAGTAAGTTATTGGTCAGTTACGAATAATTTCATGATCACAGATAGTTATTAAGCTAACTTAATTAAAAGAAAATTCTCTGACCCTGTTTTCAGTCTTAACGTTTTCTTAGGAATAACAGAGTAACTTTCTTGCGATTTAATAGAGAGTAGAGTGCAATTAACCACTCATCATCATCATCATCATCACCACGTAACTGAGTCAAATTTAGTAGTTATAAACTGACATTAAAGCGGTTGAACTTAAACCTAACAACAGCATTCTTCTAATCTTCATTCCAGGCCGAAAAATATCAAATTCTCACTAGTAGTGTTTGGGTACGGCAGGTAAGTCCTGGGAACCAACATAGCCTCGTTCCCAGACCCTCCCGAAATTTACGGGATTTAAATTTTTAATTTATTTTCATTTACGCTAAACATCATGTTTCTTGAATGGCGATTCCTACCCGATCTCTTGACTTAACCTCATTGCGTGACGAAAGTTTCTATTAAAGCATGCTAATTTGGGTTTATCAACTGAGTTGATGATGACCACCTTAAAGAGTTTCTAAAGTTGTCGTTTCGAGCGTTCGCCCTTCGTCAGAGCTTCGTTAGCCCTTAGTTAGCCTTCCGTGATCACTCTGACGAAAGTATATCGATCAAAACATCAACTCTTTTTACGGCGGCCAATTTACATTATCAAGTCAGACGATAAAATCAAATCATCTTGTCATACCCCTGTCGTTGGAGCACCACAGTTTCTTTAGAAACTCTAAATTGTGTGCGAATCCATTCAACATTTAGTTAACATCCGCGATGGAAAAACGCACCATCACGAAGAGAGTTCTACTTGACATAGCGAAACCATTCACTTGAGAAAGACCCCCCCTTCCCCCTTCCTCTCCCCCCCCGTTCCCGTGATTACGCACTAGCCCTTTGATCGATAGCATTGCATTTCTTTGCCGGTATTTTTTGAGAATTTGGTGTTACAGGCTTTGCGCTTTTGATAACCTAATACCTCTTGCTTTTTTTTTTTTTTTTTTTTTTTCACGCTTACGGCCTGTTTGGGAATATATAAAATTTATGCGGAAAGTTCAATTACAGATCAGCTAAACTCAGAAGTGTGCTCCAAATAACAAATAAAGGATCCATTAGAATTAACTACCTACTGTGTTTTTAGATTGTAAAGAATAATTCAGCCGTTGGAAATTTGTCTTTAAATATTCTGAAAATTTTACTATGGTGGCCGCCACTTAGATGACTGCATAGTAACCTTGTCTTGCGGACAAATCCATGACGCGTGTTTCTCGAACAGTTGCAGCTCTGGTTATTATAAACATTCATTACTCGAATAAAGGATTGTTCAAACAGAATGCCAAGAGTAGTAAAACAATGGCGCGAGACTTACAACATTACGTTACAGCAAGAGGGCCAGGTTGCATAGCAAGGTTAACAATGGCGGCGCCCTAGACGGAATTTTAAGCATTTTAAAGACAGTTTTGAAAGAGTTTGGTTACTCTGCGTGATGTAAACACGCGGTAAGTCATACTTTTATGTATGCTGTTAGATGATAATGATAAAAAATATACGTTTTGTGGAGCACCTTCTTTAAATTGGAAACAGTTTTTGACGTCACTTTTTAATATCATGGTTGCTATCACGCATCATCTCTTACGCTTGTGAAATGGTTAATATGACAGAAATGGATAAACCAACTGATCAGGTGGAATACCAGCGAATACGGTGGACTCGAAGAAATATCTATTGATTCTTCCCTCATGTGGCAGCCGGACATTGTTCTTTATAACAAGTGAGTGTAAATCGTGTTCCGAGCATGTTGTTGTATTCGAGACCCATTCCAGTTTGCAGTACCACGTATTTCTAATGGTCCATTTTAAAGTTGTGTGCTTTGTTGCCAAGCCTTTGAATAGGAGTGAGGCTAAGGTTGACCTTGTTGTGATAAAAACCTAGCTGCATTTCAAATGCAATTACTTTGTTATCATGCTGACTAGATACAGGTCTCTATCACAGCAAGGTCGCCTTCAGCCTCACTCCAACTCAAAGGCTTGGTAACTATGTACACAACTGTATAATGACCTATTTAAGTGACGATTTGAACTGCACCATAAGAAAGAAATGCTCAGCAGTTTTCATTTTAATGGTCACACGCCGGTGTTTCATCGACAGACTTCAAAGTGTGAACCACCATGTAAAGGATATTTAACAGTTTTACATGAAAATTTAGTTGATTAGCTCTCATTTGAAGGTCGTCTTGATTATCTATATATGTGATAATAAACAGCGGTCAGTCTGGCTCGTGAAAAACTGAGTGGTCAGTTTTTAAGGCGATGTGTTAGGCTGAAAGATTGGACTGTAATTAAAAGTAATTGGTCAGCTTTGATCTCTTAGGAACGTCAATTTGCCATAGAATGATCTTTCCCAAAGTAAGATTATCGTTGTGATATTTCTTCTTTTATCTTGTATAGTGTTTTTGAAGAATTTGGCGTTAGAATGGATAACGTGAAAACTCGAATTCGAGTAAACAGCACGGGTCATTGTTACTGGGCAGCGCCTTTCATCTTCAAAACTTCGTGTCATTTTAACGTAAGAGATTTTCCTTTCGATGAGCAGCAGTGTAAACTCAAGTTTGGCTCTTGGAATCTCCACAAGGGACTACTCGATTTAGTTCCCGAGCGGAATTTGGCACCAGTGGCAAAGGAAAAAGTAGAGAATGGGGAGTGGAATGTAATATCCATCCAGATCAAGCGGAGCGAAGATGAATATGCGTGTTGCCCAGATGAGAAATACACTGACGTTACATTTTATATCAACCTCAAGCGGCGCTCTTTGTTTTACACCTACAATCTGATCATACCTAACTTTCTCATAGCTCTACTTGCCTTCTTTTCGTTCTACATCCCAGTGGAGTGTGGCGAGAGAATATCATTCGTGATCACCGTCTTACTGAGCATGACCGTATTTCTGCTGTTGGTTGCGGAGAGCATTCCTCCCACTTCTGAGGCAGTGCCAGTCATTGGAATGTACTATACTTGCTCGATCATTGAAGTCGCCTTAGCACTTGTTGCAACTGGCATCAGTTTAAAGATGTACTACAGTTATTTGTACGGAAAAGGCTTATCACCTCGGTTACGAAGATTCCTTTTTTGTCGTTTGGCACCATTACTGTGGGTTGACACGGAAATTGTCAGCGAGGCCAAACTTGCGAAAAACAAATCGTGCTTCCTGTTTAAATGTCTCAAAAGGCCTAAGTCAAGCGTTCCACGGGATAGTGTCATCTCGATGTACAATGTTATAGAGAACAAAGCGAACCAGCCTAACGGAGTAGCGACGGCAGCGAAAAACGAAGCAAATTTGCTTGCTTTTGATGCTCAGACTTCAGCTGAAACCGATATCACCCTTTTAGAGACACAAAAAAATTTATCTGACCAAGAGATAAGACAGAGAGTCAAAAAAACGTCTACGGGACCTGAACCGCAACACGCAGTCTCTTCGACACTGAAGGGGTACAAGGACATCGACTTCCATGCGACAGAAAGTAGGATTGCTGCGGCCATAGTGGATCGAGCTTTCATGGTGTTGTTTATTTTAGTGTTTTTCGCGTCGACACTTATCATTTTACTTTTGCCATTCATCAGGAAAGGATGATCTCAAGTCAAGGCTCAAATATGAACTAAAAAGCTCTCGGGTCGCGAAGTTGTCTTCTTTTGGGTGTCTGATGAATGGAAAAAGTGGTCACGCACCAACATCTGTCACGTGAGCAAGCGAGCTTCAATGTTATAACTATGCAGCCTTTCGCATGACATAAATCACGTTGAAGATGTAAAGTAAGAAGGAAGAATTGCCATCAAGAATGTCTTCTGGACGGAAAGTTTGATGCAAACTTGCATAAAAACAACCGTTGCCCTGCTTTTGGTTTAGCCATAAGACGAGGATTGTAACAGTTTTATTCTCGAGTTGGTTGGTTACTGTTCGCGTGGTTCAAAGCAATAATTTTTCTAAAACAATTTGACAAAATTATTTTAATGTGACTTTCATTTGACGAGTTTGCAAGTAAAATTTTATTCTGTGGTCCATACCTTTTTTTATGGAACATTTTTGAGATTATAACACTTGCGACTATTGATTTGTATCAAAGAGATTTTACTTCATCTTAGAGGAAGGAACTCACTCGAAAAGGAGGAGCACGTAATTTTATAAATTTAAATGTAAATAATTTTCATCTGTTTTAAAATTAATGATGACTGCGTTACAACTAACAAACATGTTATGTAAATGGAAAAGCGCATAATTTTCTTTTATTATTATTATTATTATAATTATTTTTAAAGAAACTGTGTCAAGTTCTGTAATAAACATCCGGGTACTTAATATTTGACGCGTAACCCCTTTCCGCCTTAAAAATAAATTTCGTTTTCTCCGCACTGACCTCTTTACTTTTCCCATGGAACTATCAAGGAGAATTTGTTTGGCCATCAGGAATGTCTTAAGTTGGTGATCATTTTCCTAATTCTCATGACCTTGATATTTGATGCAAGGGTTATTCTGTAAGGAGAAATTAAAGGCCGGTCACCATTAGGTGTTAAAAAGCTCATCTCACTCGCCTGGCACTTCCACAGGGCTTTATTATTCCAGGCCTCCACGGTCATTCGTTACAGATACTGTAGACTCCCGCTAACTTCAACTCCCCAGGGAAATAAAAAATGATTCCAGTTTAATAGCGGGGGCTTGGTGTTGAATGAGCACGTTTAGTTTGGGAAATTTTGCTAAATGTGTTACGTTTTCACAGGAGAGTAATGGGTTCCTGGTTTTCATAAATGTCATCACGTTCGTAACGATCGCAACAAAAGGTCGGGAGGGACGTGTCGATCAGCTATGTTCTGACACTTACACGTTCATCAAACGACGCTTATATTTAAATTTCGAGTCATCAGGGTAAATTTAAGTCAAGGGAAATTAAACGAGTTCGAGTTAACGGTGAGTTAACCGATTTCGAGGTCGCCGATAGTAAATGACTGAAAAACAGGGTCAAATACAAGGGAAATCGGATCTTTTTTAAGTTAACGGGTGGTTTGAGTTAGCCGGGTTCGAGTCAGAGGGATTCTACTGTAGCTTGAATGGGGGATCATTGAAGCATCTTTCCACCTCAATCTCGTCCCCAGACCCCATCATTTCTCTCGCCGTCAGGGTCTCAGTGCAGTTGAGTCAGGTGACAGGGATGACTCTTTCCTTTTTGTTCAAGTCCTAGCTTGAAGTCATTATTCATGGTGGGGCCCACGCTTAACCGAGCCAAAAATATGAAGAACCAGGCGCTTTTAATACATATTACGTTACTAGGGGACAATCCTGAAGTCAATAGCATAATATGGCCTATATTCCACTTTAATCATCCGTTGTGTGACAACTTTGTAGCCTAAGAAAATTTCCAACTACTGTTTCTATTACGCCCCTTTTTAATTTGGCAGATTACAATTTTCAAGTTCGCTAGATGATAACAAGATATAAGTTTTATTAAGCGCGCATTATATTATTTTTTTAGACTCCCAATTTCTCGAAAATACCGTATCGCATTCAATCGTCAGTCCATAACGACTTGATCATTGATCCATCGAACAAATTTCGACACCCGAGTGTAGACGCCATATTTGCCAATTCTACCGCAGCCATCTCCCCAGGAAATGACGCCCGCGAGCACCCAGCGTTGATCATCATCACTTGCTGTTTGACTGTTATCGATGGCCAGCGGTCCACCCGAGTCTCCCTGACAAGCGTCACCAAGTGTGCCATTATGATGGCCGGCGCAGAACATATTTGATGTGACGGGATACCTCGTGTGTGCTGCCTTGCACAACGCCTGGTCCACTATTGGTACTTTGACTTGGTGCATTCTTCTAAGGACCTCACGACCGGTTTCCTTCTTCCGGCCCCATCCTGTAATGACCCCAATGTTGCCAGTCCTTAGCAGAGTCCTATCACTGTCTTGTCTCCGCAGCGGAAGGCAGATAGGTCTGACGTAATCAGTAAATATGACGTCGGATTTCAGGTGAATAAGGGCGAGGTCTGCATCGTAGTCGGCACGGTCACTATCGTACTGTGGATGAATTACGATCCTGTCCGGACGAATGATCTGCTCTCTGGATGGTTCAGGTTTGTTAGTGTACAACTTACCAAGGCGTACCTCAACATCACTGATTGAAATTCCTGCGGAAGATCAAGTTTTCAAGCTCAACACTTTTACTCCCAAGGGTGACCAAGGAGAAATTTCTCCTTACAATGTTCTTACACTTTTAAGTAAAAAGGTGATGACAAAACAGGAAAACATATATTTGGGGATATTGTTTGATTTGATTCTCAAAGCCAAAATTATACGCAATGTATGGAGTACAGTGAAGTGATATGTTGGTCTCAGGAGTGAAAAGGGTCATGACGCAACTGAGTATAAAAGTAAACCAGCCGAAGTGGATCTACATACTCCAATTTAACACAGGCGTAACATCGAACGCGTTTGATTAACCCTGAAACTGTTAAAAGTGACTAACTTCTCCTTACACCATCACCAATAAATCAAAACTTAAGGCCATGAGATAAAAAGAAAAAAACGCCACGTGAAGAAGCTCTCGATTGATTCTCTTTCTAAGAACAACAGGGAATGCATAGAGAACTGGTCGGAAAATATGCATACTGAAGTAAGTGTTTTACAAGGGTTAGGGAGCATTTCTGTTCTCTGCAATAATTTCACTCAGATTTGCTTGCGATAATTATTATTATTTTACTCGTGCCGTCAGCCTTTCCTTGCCATCAGAAACAGATATATTGTTATTTTAAAAAATGTATCAGCAGACAAAACATAGCTTTCTCCTCCCTAGTTCCACTCTATTTCAAAGCTTTTGTTAGACTTGCAGCCTTTGAAAACCATCACACGACCTGTCACGTGGCTTAATGAATATCTAATCCCTTGGCCTCTCTCCTACCTCATTTTCCGCGCTAGGACTGGGATGTTTGGGCGAGAGAAGCACTCACGTGTGACGCTCTAGATGTCGTCACGGAACTTAAAATAAGATCCAAGTTAGGTCGAGCCGATGAAGAGGGACTGAGACCGGACTTTTTGTTAAAGGTAGCTTGGATCTTTAAATCAGATAGCGCACGCGTAAATATGCATCTAATTCTTACCTCCAGAAGAAACACAGTGGGCAGCTGTCACAATCCACCTCTCAGACACAAGTGATCCTCCACAGAAATGTTTGTTGGCCCTCGTGTTCCACAGACTCACTTGCCACGGATAGTGACCAGCTTCCACCTTTGTTCCGCCCACAATCTTACCACGAGTAGTTAGCGTCGGCTTACCACAATCTATACAGTGAAAAACGAACAAAGAGCATTGGGCCATTGTGACTTTTCTTCAGTACAGAAGAAAGACTGAATTTGAAAAATGGTTGGTTGTGGTATCAGACTCCCGATACCACATATATTTATTGTTATCAAGGTAAACCTATACATTACCTATAAGGCAGGATCATTTGCATTTGAACAAAAAAAAGCTGTTTCGAGTTTACTTTGGAGTAAATAACGAAGAGGAAATTTCAAAGACGAAAAAAATTGCACGAGCTCTTTAATCGAGTGCAAAACGTAATTTGTGAAAAATTAACGTGTTTTTCCGCGTTTTTTAGGCAGTTTGGTTGTTTTTACTATGAGTTCTCATTCGCTGTTCAAGTCATTTTTCTTTCTCCAGATTAGCCTTTGTGATTACTTTGGTTATGGTTTTAAAATTAATTTCCTGCAGTTTTTGTAAAGCTTTTGAATTCATTCTCAACTTTCTACATTGTTTGGGACTGAGTGAGTGTTCTCAACCAGTGAGGATGCTGAAATAATTGCATGTATATTTAAATGTTTGTGATTCCTATCACATGCATGGCGAAGTTTTCTTTAAGTAACAAATAGTAATGAATAACAGCTTAACATTTAAAACCCAAAACAGTAATTTGTCTGCTTCGGTCGTCTTTTGATGAGACTAACCTGAGTCCAGCGGTCGCAACACCTTCAGATATGCGCGAGCCAGTTTAGTGCCTGCCTTGTTCGTTGCATTACAGACATACCAGCCTTTGTCTTCACGGTATACGCGCAGAATCATTAGACTACCACTCGACAAGACCGCAAAGTGACTTCCGGTCAGGACTTTGCCGTCTTTGTACCACGTGATTTTTGTATCAGGGGTTGAAGCGGAACAAAGAAAAGTGCTGGTTTTTGATTCCTCGACAGTCTCGTTGCTCGGTACTAGCCGAAATCGTGGCGGAGCTGAGAAAAAAGGTTTTTATCTTTTATTATCATCATTATTATTATTCTGGGTGTTATACACATTTGTTGTGTGGCTGGGTGCACGAGCGGGAGAGTGGAAACGAGTCCTATGATCGGATTGGCTATCTGACTTTAGTTTGCCTACTCGGGTTTGCCCGCATTGATCCCCAGAAAATTTGGCTCCAAGTTATTTTAGCCGGAGTGAATACTTTGCAACTTTTGAGAACTCTCCGTTGAAACAGGAAAATGTTTTCTGGTAGTTTTTTATTGAAGTGAAATCACGTCTCGATGATCAAAAAAATCCAAAAAACCGTGTCGGACTTCTTGAATCCTTTTAAAAATAGTTTGTAAGATTCGTTTGCGATGCAACGATTCCTTCTTTGACTAAGCTTGTTTTGTTACCATGTTCTGTGCTGGCGATTACGATGAGACACTTGGTGATGCATGCCGAGGAGAATTAGCTGGACCGCTTATTCATAGAAACGGAAATATTGTACTCGGCCAACACCCAGCCATCTAGCGAGGGTGCCTAATTGGCCCACCCCTTCTCCCTTCCCAAACCTCTGAAAAAAAGGACGAAGAAACCCCATTATTTAAAATAGGTATACTTACTGAGACATTCGGGAGCCTTTTCACTCCATTGACCGTTGGCCAAACACATGCGAGTCACGGGACCGTGAATGTCAAACTGAGGAAAACACGTGTATCGTATCACAGCGCCTTGTGGGTAATCATCGCCTTCAGGGGAGGGGTGCCTAGAACCATGTTTTGGATGGCGGGGGTCTGGGCAACGGACGCTTGCGTCAACTGTAGTTAAAGTTAAATTATGTATAATTCGTTGGCACAAACAAGCATCAATGTACATAAATTTTGCAAAACAAACGACACTTACGTGTTATTTTTTATTAACAAGATTGAGCGGAAATTGGCGCGCGGCTGACCGCAAGTGACTCATTTGCGCAACCTTATGCTTGACCGCTGTGCTCCTTCTAAATGGGATGTAAGGCTCATCCTTACTCCTAGCTGCAAAGAGGCACTGAGCGTTAGGAGACTTAAACGGTGGCTAGTTGGATATTACTTTCTTAAAAATTCTAAGAAGGTGGCCAACCTCTCAAACAAAAACAAAAACAAAAAAAACACTATGAGCGCTCCCTTGTCAAAAGTATGCGTACATAGCGGGCTTTTACTAACCTGGCGGAACTGCTTTAAAGAGTGCAAAACTTGTCGGCCTCTCAATTCCTAACGCTACAGTTACGACGTCTTTACCAGTTTGTTTATCAACTGAGTGAATGCCTCCTGTTTCCCAGTCACTCCAAAACAACCTGAAGTGTACAGGGAAAACAGAAAGGATAACAATGAAATAGTACGTTGAGCTGTCTTAAAGAAGATTTGGTAGTTACAACATGATCATCAATCAAATGTTTTCTGCATTGCTTTTACTCTCTGTTATTCTATGAGATTTTCTCGCTTTCTCTTCAAATTGGAATATAATTCATTTTCCCTAAAAATTAATCTACACCCATTTCTATGGTGTTAAGAGGAAAAACTTGAAGATCATAGGGAAGATGGACTTAGCCAGTGATGCATTTTCATTTGCGCATTATTCATCTCTTGCGGAGGGTCTGAGGATTTGACAGGGGGGGAAGGATCGCATGGTTTTTAGAGGTACCAAGGGGGATCAATCAAAAAGTTGGCCGCCAATGAGGGGATCTGATTGGTAAACAACAGAGCCAAGAAGAGGAATTAAATTAATTATATTGTGACACAACCAAAATCCTCCTCCCCCTCCCCCCTAAAAAAATCAGGCATTAAAGGCTCATGGAATGAACTTGAACGACTCAATGAAATCCAGCAAAACTTATTATGTAACCGTAAGGCAGCTAAAATTTGTCGCGAGTCGCTCCCTCGCTTTTCCTACGGCCACGTAGGTCGAAAAATTGTCTTTGGACGAATTGTTTATAAACAGTGTTACCATAGTTGCAAGCCAAGCGTGAGTTTACCTGTTATTCAAAATGGCAAGGGAAAAGGGATGATTCACGTGCGGAGAACTGAGCAATACACGACGTCCACCTCCCTGTAAGCAAACGGATGTCAATCATGAGACCAAGTTTATCAAAAAATGAAAAAAAGGAAAAAAGTATAAAAAAAACAAACTATATACTTTACCGTTAAGTCGGAGGTCTCTATTTTGTCGAGACCAGCGTCTGCCCAAAAGAGTGTCTGGGAAGCTTCGTCGATAACCAAACCATTTGGCCAACTTAAATCTCCCGATACGATGGTCGTTTGGCCATGTCCATTCATATGCGCTCTTTCAATCTTTGGTACAGTTCCCCAGTCTGTCCAGAACATCCACCTGGTTGTAAATCAATAGATAAGTGGTTTAAACCTTTATACCCAAATATCATTATGCACATTCTCCATACTGTTTACTATACATTTCTGTCGATAGTCACAAAGAGAAATTGTCGACAGTCAAGAAACCCTCCCACTCCCATACCCTCATCTCCCGTCCCCTGGAGGAAACTCGCCGCTAAAAATAATAAATAGAATTACAAACCTTCTAGTCTTGTACAGGACAATTGCCCTCGGCTTGTCTAAGCCCCCCAGTAAAGTCCTACGACTATGTCCGTTCAGGTTCGCTCGCTCTATACTCTTGGACGTGACATCAGTCCAGTATATCAAGTCATTTTCAACATCGAGTGTCAATCCATCCACAATCCCAACATTATTCCTGCATTGACACAAAAGTATTGCGTTCATATAAGTCTCCTATTTTGAAACGTATTTAAGAAACATTTCACTATGCCTCGTGTCTGTTAGATCACCGACGACGTCAAAAAAAAGGAAAGAACCAACAAAGAGACACAGGAGCCACAGGCTGGTTTATCACCAATGTTCTTCACACGTTTTGAATTCACTAAATCTCTGTTCTCAGCTTAACTAAGCTCCTTTGTTAAATTCGGATGAGCTCGCTCTTTAACATTAAGTTACATCAGTTCAGTATAATTAGTCATTTTAAACGCCTAATGTCAAAGAATCTGCAAAAAAATTTGCACTTCCTGCACGGGCACTCATCCAAGAGCAGTATTGATCACCTTTCTGAACAATTTTCGATTGAGCGTCGAAAGAAATCCGATATTGCGACGGTTTTCCTTTACCTCTATACCTCGCTCTGTGATTGGTCCAAAAGAATTGCGTCACTCTCTCAACCAATCAGATGCAAAACTAAAACCAATCACGACTTGGTGACCCTCGTTTCCCGAGGGAGGTTGGATGGTTTTTCACTTTGAGTTCTCATTGGTTCATTAATGTATTTTCCTTTCTTTTGAGTGGCTTTTGCGATAACTTTGGTTTTGGTATTACGATACTCGATCGAAAAGCGCTCTATAACTTTAGTGGACCAACATCATTCTACCAAGATAAATCAAAACCTCACTACAATTCTTTGAACGTGATTGTGGATAATTTCCTCACCTTAAGCTCTGTAATGGGGTCAATAAAAAAATATCATTGGGATAATGAACAAGACAAAAATAGATATACAAATTAGAGATAGCGTCAAGATCTTTCTTTAACAAAAAATAAATCAGATTACCAAGCAATTGTTTCCTCTCCTCCGATTCCAGTCACAGACATTCGCTTTATCCTTCTATCATCGACGTCACTCCAGTAAATACGCTTATCTACTGGGTTGTAATCCAGTGCAACAAGCATAGAGGGATTTTGAATCTGCAACTTTTGAGTAGTGAATCTGTTTTGCTTTGTGTCCATAAACAGCTGCCATATTGCCTTAGGAGAAGCTACTATTATGGAATAACTGGGTAAAGGAGCTGTAAAATGGAAAAGAAAGTAATTTTTAGTCAACGTGTTATACGCTGCTCCTTTAGCCGTTGTTTGTTCTGGCAACGTGACTCTCGTCGCGAAATGCTCATAACGAAACGCTTCCCACGCAACGCTCGGCACATAACGCTTTTCACGCAATGCTCCTCACGCAACACATCGAGACATTTTTCTGAAGACAGGTTGTGTGTCTTGGCAAACCTCCACCTTAATTTACAAGGAAATGTAAAACAACTAAACGGGACAATTACTCGGTAGGAAAAATGCTTTTCCCCTTGTCCCAAGAAGGATTGCGCGTTGCGATGCTCTACCCAGTGAGCTACAGGGATCTTTGTTATGAGCTAGGCCTTACTATGACCTTGACAAAAGAAGATTAACCCTTTAACTGCCACGACCTGTTTGTTACTTCTCCCCTCCAGCTGGTGCACACTTCCTTATAAATTAGTTACGAGAATTTGGTATTAGATTTAGGCAACAATTTCTACCCGATAAGTTTGAGTATTCTCATTACCTGTTTGCTACATGATGTGTGGATATTATAGGGAGAAGGTACATATTAATCATCTCTGGGAGTTTAAGGGTTGAACGAAATCAAACATGTCCTACCTGAGCAGCACTTTGCAAAGGCATCAGAAGGTGAAATGTGGCAATAGGAGTTAGCAGGACAGATGTGTCTTCTAAGCCCTCCACAGAAATAATCTCGTCGGGTTGACGGTCTCGTCAGGGGAGTCATACCATGGCAAGGAGGAGCTGGGGAGAGAACAAAGGAGGTACTGGTTAAGGACTTAGGCTTGACAAAAAGCTGCTGACTGAAAAAAGAGGGAACCACTGCGTCACCATCGCGCTCTTTTCGCGGAGAAAAATCGGGCGTATTGAGGACATTCTTACCCTCCATTTTCTGTTGTATCTGGAGGTTTCGCCCCGAAGCTAGTTCGCCTCATACCATTTTTACGGGTTTTCCCCGCCCTGAGGTAAAACAAGTTCGCCCTTACCGAATTATTTCTTGGCCCCGCAAATCTATTGACTCGTTTTCTTGTGGTAGAACATCGGAATCATAGAATATTTCAGTCGACATGCAACATCACTGTCAAACTATAACAAAGGTCGTTCAACATGCAAATTCCGACCATGATAACAACTGACGCTCGAAATACTACAAGCAAGGCGAACTTGAAAAGGGGTAAAACCTCCATAAGACTTTTTCAGTGTATGTTCAAAAATCGGGGATAAAATGCGCCCCGTTTTAGAGATAGAACGCTTTGAGAGTATTGAACAATTTCAGATACATTACCGTGAATGAAAAAAAAAAACGAAAAAGAAAACACAACCGTCGAGAAATTATGATCACTTAGCTAAAAACTATATAAAACTATATAAATCAATTGCCCAGAGACTTACTAACCCATACTGTTTATTCTAGTGTTCACGCTATAATTTGTGAACGAGTTCCTATCTCAACAACCATTCTAAGAAAGGCTCCAACTCACTTTCCTGACAAGTCTTCCCGTCGTCCTTAAGCTGCAAGTTTCCTGGACACGAGCACTGAACCTTCCAGTGACGTAATGAAGTACACACGTGGCTACAGCCGCCATTGTTTGTAGAACAAGAATCTGAGAATTTAAAAAAGAAATTGTCAGCGTGGGTCTAAGTTGTAACGACCTTTTCTTTTGAAATACTTGTCATCTTCCTCATTCTATTTACAATACATTTTCTTTATTCAAGAAAATATAACCGCTTGGTTTATCCTTAGTGCATTTTTACTTAAAAGCTACCTCACAACTTCTGCATCACGAAAAATTTACCCTTAAATTTTCAAAGAAGTCATTTACAATCTGTGTCAATCTTTTCCAACCTTAACCCTTTAGGGCCCTAACATCAGAATGCAAATTCTCTACACTGTTCTTTATACATTTTACAAGGTCCTGACAATGAGAATTTGTTTAACAATCAAGAGCCTCTAAGGAAGGTGATAATTTCCCTAATTCTCATGACCTTTATCTTTGATTCAAGGATGATACTGTATGGAGAAGTTAGAGGCTAGTCACGCTTTGGGTTTAAAGGGCAAACCATCCATAGCCTTTTCAGTTTCTCCCTTTCTCTTTAGCAGTTGTCCAATTTTCCACATCTCATCCATCCTAGACCAGCTTTGAATCTTTTTGGTTTAGTGTTATCGGTTGCATGTGTTTCTATTTCATCAAACTATAATTGTAATGTTCTCGTTTGTTTAAAAAGCGATTTATTTGCGTCAGAAAAGAGCGACAGATTTCTTGAACGCTGTCCCTAAAAGATACAGACCTCACTCTCATACTCAGTGCATCTTCCTCGGTGACTTGATTAAAAAGACGAATGCACTGGGAACGAAACTGTACTCACCACCAGTTGAAGAGACACACGTATCTTGCAATGCGCATGTCCATTGCGACATGCATGGCGGATCACAGAGAGGACGTCTGGCCTCTTCAACGTGATAAGACAGGACAACGCCAGCTTCCTGCCACGTAACAAATGCTTTTCTGCTTTTGCTGTTGTACAGTGTGATTGGATCCTTCTGCATCCTTCCAAAAGCAAGTTGCAGGTTGCCTATGAAAGGAAGATACGAGTGAGTTAGTTCCTAACGCCAGCAGGCGTTGTTAGTGACGCAAGCGTAATACGTTTCGTCGTTCTTCCTCGTGTCTCTCAGGAGCCATTTTATAGAAATCGAGTTGTTGTTGTTTTCGTGAAACCAATGCAAGTCGCTATTCACGAGTCGTCTCGCCTTCTTGACCGGCGTAATGGTATAGCATACCACGTTGTTTTTACCATAATAAGTAGACCTTTTTTCAATACAAGAGGTGAAGTTACACGTAGTTTTGGATTCCCCTCCCCTCGCCCTTCCTGACTACACCTTCGACTGACCTTGTAAGAGTTCTCCCCCTATCACCCAAGTTCCCCGCCCTTGCTCCTGCCAAAACAGCATGTGGTTGCCGGTTGTTGGAAAGTACACGGCCGATGGCGCTCTCACGCGCCTTGTTGCCAAGCAACTGTATGGCTTCACTTCCCGCACATAACGCTTACGAGTCACCAAAACAGAGGCTGTTCCAATGAAGGGTTTGCCTGAGTCCGTGTCTTCCCAAAACAAGATCAGTCTGTCGAAAAGTAAACAGTTAAGGTCATTTCTTATAGAATCTGCACTGAGATTTTTTAACAACTGTGCGACGTTGTTAATCCTGAGAGATATTAAATTATGAAAGTAAGTATTAAGGATCGCTATTTTTTTTTTGGGATCGACATTAACATTTTATTGCGCGATTGTGTGGACCAATTTCTGTATCGGACCAATTTCTGTATCGGACCAATTTCTGTATCGGACTAATTTCTGTATCAGACCAATTTCTGTATCTGACCAACTGCGCACCTACCCCTTCCCTAGCCCCACATTATCCCTAAGTTGTAATCAGTTGACTGTTTTTGGGTTTGGGGAGGGGTAGCTACGCAGTCGCTCAGATACTGACATTGACCCAAAAGCCATGTATATTACCTATATTTAGGCTAACATACCTGTCAGTGCGTTCATTGTAATAACCGCTGGTCTTTGCATGCGTGTTGTTAGTGTAACCTACAAAATTCTTTGTGTCAGCAGTCTCTGTGTTAGAGGCATGCACGCCGTTAGCATCGCGTTTGGTGAGAACCACCATATTGAGGCCAGGACGCAGGTTAAAATCGGCGTTAGACACTCCTCCACCCTGAACCGTACATGTGAAGTAAAATTCGTTCCTTTTTGAGTCAACGAAGATGTTTGGCTCATGAGCATTTCCTCGAAAACTGCAGACAGGATCAGACTTTAGTACCTTGCCTCTGGCGTCGGCAAACAAGCCTATCACTTCTTTTCGACTGTGTGATAAGACAACAGCTCCGACATAACCACCTTAAATAAAAAGAGACTTGATTTTTTTTCGTTTATACATTTTTTGGTTCAATTTTACATTTTCGTTTACTTTGAGTGTTACCATTTACTCTAAAGTATTCGAAACGAGGGAAAAAAATAACCTTAACTACACTAAATTCAAGCTCGTTGCCATAGGATGGCGTTTATCATTTCTTATGTTAAAAATAAATATTCTATGCTGCTGAGAGTCTTTAAAGCTTTACTCTCAGAATTTAACACGCCAACAATAAAGTGAGACAGACAGTGGTGCAAAAAGATTCCAAAACACTGAAAAAAAATGGATTTGAAACTTAACCCCAACCCTAAGCAGTTTAGTAAACTAAAGGCTCCGGAGGAGAGTTTATATAGCAACTTTAAAACCGAGCTTTATCTGTTTCTCTTTTACGGGCCTCTCAACCTGAGGGGTATTACGGTTTCCAGGACGAAAATCGTTTTGCACGCAATGCATGCCTACCTGTAACACTGTTGTACTTGATCAAGACATTCGTGGCGTCCACCCAGTCACTAGATCCCACCTTCCCAGTTGCCTTCACGAATAGCGAAGGCCCAGCAGCTCTCTCGGTTTGCCAACTCCTCACTCTCTGGCTTATTATGATGTATTTGTCGTGGAAGTACTGCCAAACACCACTGCGAAACTGGAAGACAATCATGAACTCATCTGCCCTATCATTATAGGCTACACTCGGCCAGCCTTGATTCGCTGAAAATCGAAAATCGACATCGTAAAAAAAACAAGTTATTCATTACGATTGAAAACTACAATAAAGAGGTTTTTTCGTCTGTCTCGCAATATGATCATTTTCGAAGTGGATACTGATGTTTCATCTGCATACCAGGGGCGGATCCATAAAGTTTTGATAGGGCATGCAAACTTAGATTTGATTCGGAAAACACGACGGATTACCTCTCGACCAAACGACTAGCCCACTGCCCCCCCCCCCATCCCCCCCTCCCCACTATCCTTCATTGGGGGTTACACGTCACATGACAGATAATTAAAGGGCACCACCCAGAGACACGTGTAAAGGATCCTGTCGTTGCAACTAGTGACGGAGACGAGGGAAGGGGAGGTTAAGGGAGGGGGGGGGAAGGGTTTGAAGAATACTCCTGACCCTTCTTTTACATCTGCTTCTGCTAATCTTCTTCAGACCATGAGGTCAGTCGTTGAAATGCACCAATCATAGCTGTCAATCATACACAATGCAACACATCACAATACTTCACGGGTTGACAATCAACTAGTCGCATAAAAACTTTTGCGAGTTTTTCAAATTCATACAGTACCTGCTTTTCCGTTGAGGTTGGCAGTAAAATTCAGCATTCGTTTGTCCACTATTCTGGCGTTAGTGTCGACCCGCAAAGCAAACAGTTGATCGGGAAGATTATCTCTGTCAACGTCAAAATCAAACGCCACAAGATACTCGTTTCGTTTCGGATTCCATGCTGTGCTATGATGCAACACTTTTCCTCGTTGGCTGAGAAAACCTGGGACAAGTTTATACAATGCTCCTGTCTTTTTCACTGATCCAACGAAGGAAACCTGTAAAGATATTTGCAGTTTAGTTACTTTCAGTAAGCAGTGGCCTGTTTGCTACATACATAAGGCGTTCATGTAAACTTTGTATAAGGAGCCTTGGAAACTAAAACAAGCTCATTATCTGACAATTTTGCGGTTGATACAGTGATGTGGCCAACCTCTTCCTGGGAGCGAGGTTATTATTATCATCATCATTATTATTATTGTCATTATTATTATTATTATTATTGAAGAAAGACCTCTTTTTGTCTTGTTCTGAACGTGGAACAAAGGAAAAAAGTCTGGGACCCCATGAGGAATTGAACGTCAGACCTTTAGATTGCGCGCTACGATGCTCTACCAATTAGCTATAGAGACTCTACAGCAAACTACAACGACCATCCTTTACGAGGACATGCACACCACAAACGGCTAAGATCAGCCAAAAGCGTCACGCGTGTAGATGGAATAGGAGAGATGTTTGAGCTCGGTACTGAATAGAGAAAGATGCTTTCTCGTCTTCTCACGAGCGTCAGACAAAAATAAATATTTGGAGGGTCCATGAGAAACTTTTAATGTAATTATCATCTCTGTTCGTTATAATCTTTATCACTGCACCGTTTATCAAGGTGGCGCGCAAGGCATTTCAAAATAACCTTTTTACCTTTCTAGCATCCACCAATGTCTCCTGCTGCCCTTCTCCGTCAACAATTGTCACTGCATAATAAAGGTCTACACCTAGTGGGGGGTACAAGTCCTTGTAGCTGGTCTTTCCCGGGTTCTGAAGGGAAGCATCCTGTCTGCCTGACACGTAGGGTGTCATACCGGATACGTCGTTGAAATAAGTCGTTTTCCGATAGATGTTAAAATGACTAAATTCACTGTTTTGTGTCGGTTTCTTTGGGCTGAAATGGATATAAATGAAAAAAAGGTGTTATGTAGATGAAAGAGCAATTTTCAAGTCGGTGTCGAACATATTCTAAAACAACCTTGGCCTTGTTGCACCTCGCTTCCTGATTGGTCCAAAAACAACTCACGCCACCCATCCAACCACTCAGATGCAAAACTGAAACCAAGCACGACTTGGTCACCCGCGTTTTTCCCGCGCATGGGGCAGTTTGCCTGTTTTTACCTTGAGTTCTGATTGGTCCCCTAGCATTATTACATTTGCTTTGATTGGCTGATATGATAATCATGGTTTTGCTAAGCTAAGTTGTTTTCGTTTGTCTCACGATGTAGTCACGTTTGATGTAGATCGCGATCTACATCACACGTGACTATATCGTGAGACAAACGAAAAAAACTTAGCTTTTATTGTTATTTACCACGATGAAATACCACGATCTTTTTTACGAAATGGTTTTGCTTCTATGGCACTTAATTGAAATACCCTCTAAGCCATTTCATGACGGATAAAAACCGCTTTCATTAGTAGTCAGAAGTAGCCACAACGGTTAGTTCCGTCACAACAGGGAAAATTTAGTTAGAAAACTTAAAGTAAGATGGAGAAAACGCAAGCAAAAGTTGAGTTAGATTTCAGTTCTGTTCTTAATTACGACGGTGGAAAAACACTTCCGGCCCAATTACAATTCATTACATTCTTGATGTTCAAGATATAGAAAATAGGGAATATGAGTAAGAGAACTTTTGATTCTGAAACGCTCTTTGATAATTTCACGCACCTGTGAGGCAAATTGAGCCGATTCCACTGCAGGAGAATTCCATCGCAGTCTTGTTTGACCGTGAGATCCTGGACCTTTAAACCTCCACCCATGTCCACGCTTATTGTTTGACGCCGAACTCGCGTCGCTGTGTCACTCGGGATTGAGCGTTCCACAACGGAAACCTTCTCATCGATCGTGGCTGTAAGTCAACGAAAAACAATTAATTTAAGTAGTTAAATTGGTCAATTAATTGATTAATCAAAAAAGGATGATTGAGTAAGATAAACAGCTCAAATTTCAAAGGTACTTACGAATTTGAAGAGGATCAAGATCGTCGAGGACATGGCCAAAGTCGCTGTTAATAATTTCAATGTCCTCATCTAAAGCTATCGAATGGAAAAAAGTGAATTAGTTTGAAAGGCCGGTATGTGAGATATGATGGTCCTATCAGTAGACTGAGTTAAAAAATAAAACTAATCTATCTATCCGTGCTGAAATAAGTCCAAATCCTTTTAATCCGCCGCCATTTTCGTATGCCCTTTCACTTCCTAGATCTGATGAATAATTCTCCTTACTGTCTGCCATACAAATCGTTTGTTGTAAGCTCGGAGAAATTGGTCTTAAATCAACTAATAATCCCCTAAATGATATTTTTCTTTATTCTCATCACTTGTCTGCTTGATATTGTACTGATATTATGATAAGAAATTCCGTCTTGGTCACTCATGGGAGTTGAAAGGTGTAATCCAAATCCGAAACATTTGATGACTTATTATGGTCTATTCTTAATGTTTGTTTTGACGTACTGCCAAAAATAACGTTACATTCGATTCGTTACATCTCGTTCGGAAAATATTATCCAAAATTTTCCCTGCAGTCGAACATTTTTTCAGCAAATCTTTATGGGAGAGCTTAAGAATACATATGGCCGAAATTCCTGCAAGGCATCTGATAATAAATAAAGAAATATGAACGAGCCGGACAATTAACCGGTATATGTACTCAAACATAAGAGGAAAGCGATTTTACAATTGCCTTCAAGATCTCCTTCCTGCACGATGAGAACATGGAAAGTTTTAGAACAGTGTATCGATAAGCGACAATTTCATTGTAATCATTCTGCTTTGACCCTATTTCACTTCCTTCTCCTGGTCCCCGCGAGGGGTCGCACTCGCGTAATTCGTGAATTTGGCGTGGATTTCTCGCGAAGACACGAGGGCTGGTTGAGAGAATCTTCTTCTCCACTCCTTCATTAAATTCCGTGTTGGTGAGTCTTTCCAGTTCTAAAGCTTAAGGTTAACGTACAGGGAAATTAATCCAGGGAAAGATACGCAAGTAAGTATATTTTCCCGTTTGAAAGTTTCTATCATTATGTCATGTCAATCGCCTAAAGAAAAATACTGTAACCGATACGTGCTTTACAGACTTAAGATACGCGTCCGGTCTTGATTTCAGTGATTTATTACGAAACATCAGTAACTAACTGATTTGATTTTCCTTTCTGTTTGGTGAGCATTATTAAAGGTTAAACCCCGTGAAATTAAAGCCAGCCACAAGAAAGTTACAGAAATCTTTGATTGCGTCATTAACGCATTTTGACTTCAGTGGAGTGTATCTAGTGTGAGGATTCAGTGAATCGTCCAAGCTAACTCTTCGAGGATTGAACTTTAGGAGAGACTTTTGCTACCGTCTGACAAGCACGATATTTAGGCTATCCCAGCAATAAAAATAAAGGTGATTTATCAGTTGGTGGGACGATTTTTCTAGTTTGCGAGGATTTAAGAACTGTGGGCCATTCGTACCGTGACAAAAGCAATGAACAACTCACCGTGCGCTATCACGACACATGACGAAAGCAAAGCCCAGAGCAAGAACATGGCTGAACCGCAGCTTCGTGAATAACAGCATTAAATAAATTTCTTCCCCTTTAAAGGAAATACCTGAGCTTCCCTTTCAGCAAGAAGGTGTAAGGAAGTAAAGATTATGTTTCGAAAAAACCAAGGTGAACAGTCACGCAACACATTCATGATGAGACAGCTGTGATGGGTAGCAGGGGGGGACGTACCATTATCCAACCGCTATCGAGACTTATCAAATGACATGGATCTTTACACTTGTGCAGTGCCTGCAAAACATATTTGTAAGGCGTGGTGTTACGATTTCTGATTCATCTGTTGAGGCCCGCAAAACCGCACACAACGTAAGTCTGCTAGCGTAGAAAGACATCATTAGAAGAAAGAGAAATTATGAAAATAAAAATGAGCGCTGGTAAAAAACTGGTACAATGAAGTTATTTTTTAGGTTTCGCAAACTATAATTTGGTCCTCAAGCTGGGAAAGCTCTCTGCTGTAAAGGTATTTCTCCTCAAACCAACAGCAATACCGACCTGTCTAAACTTTACTTAAGTGCCGCCCCCCTTCCTCCCGCTTCACTGATTGACAGTGCTGGAACTGTTTCAAAGCTCTGTTACGCTCTATAACCACCGCTGTTATCGTTTCTCCACATGGCTCTTGTGTGGGAGAAGTAGTAAAGTTTGCATAGGCCATTATCTTTTGTGGATTGTAAAAGATAAGCATGATGGAGACCGGTCTAAAATTCCGTCGATTGAGACACGAGGAACGCGGAACGCTTTGGTCTCAGAAGAGCTGGGGTTGAATTGCGTGACACGGAGCGCTGCATGAGGAGTACTTCCTGCTGTGAATAAAAACATGCCCCTCACGTTTTCTCATCTTTATAAATATTCATCCGCAGCTAAGATATTAAACGTTTTTTTTTTCTCGTTTCTTGTTTCTTGTTCCCTGTTTCCTATACAGTGGGTAATTTAGTCTGTTCCAAAAATAGCCAAATTTACGAGCTTAAGGGTGTTAACAGGATACAACCCAGCGAACCAGACCACAGTAATTACAGGGCGCCAGCCAAAAGCTGAGGTTAAATATTTTTTTTGTCCCCGAGATCTTAAATCTCTGGCTTCTTACTGAAGCGTTCCTTAAGAGCACGCAACCTCGATCTCCGGGTTTTCTCTCTTCCTCCCTCGAGAAAGTAGTAAAGGAAGAGAGAGGACCCTGGAAACGAGTTTGGAGAGCACTGCGTCAGTGGAAAATCGTCATTTTCCTTATCATAAGCCACAGATAGACAGCTGTAATTTTCTTTTGAACAAATGAGGAAATATAATCGTATGAGTGATCATTATGTTCTTATTGACCACACAGGAGGGCCGAACGGGAACATGTTTGGCTCGAGGTCATGCATGATATGGGGACCGAGCCAAAACGGAAGTCATCACGAGTGCCGAGAAACTCTTTCTAAGGACTCTCTCTTTTCCTATCCTGGCAACAAAGTAGTAAAGAATTACTGTTAGTCGAGAGTACTCTCTCTAGAGTTGAAATTCTCGTTCGTAATAACTAATTGGTCAGTTTTTCCTTCCGTCTCAGGACTACCCCCACCCAACCGTCAAATGTTACCTCCAGGTTCAAACCATTTACCTAAAATCAAAATGTACAAGAAAATTAAAACGTCGTAAATTATTCTCATGACAAATGAAGCTTCTGAGAGTTGAATGTTATTTTAGGAGTGAATGCCATATCAAGGTGGTTTGTTTTAGTGACGCTGTGTAAATATCTAGATTGACATAAAGATTGTTTCAAGGATTTAGCTGACGTGATTTCAGCTGCCGTGATTTCCTCAACACCCTTCGGATGCACACTCTAAGCCTTCACTCCCTTCTCCTGCATCTTTATTGCCCCACATCCACATAATTAATTTGTTTTTGTGTCGCAGAGGTATTCCTAAATGATAGTAACCCTCAATAACTGAAGATTTTCCATGAGCGCTAAACACCTTTGTGAAAATTTTCCCTTAGGGATGAAAAGATTAGAGTGCTGAACTGAGCTGAGAAGGATTAAATTATTCGATCGTGTTTTCCTTGACTGCAATCTCAGTCAGTCACGTTGAGAATCGATAACGGTTAATTACAAATCCCAGGCAAATTATGGGAGAGTACAGAATCACGCCATGACCAACCATTCACTCGCCCCCAGTTCATTCGCAACCTGTTTGCTTACGAAGGCCGAGCCCTTTAAGCCGACGGGACTTCAAAATAAAAATTTATTGGTAAATGATTATACACCTCAATCCCCAGGTTGTTTGATAAATATTTCTTCTGAATGCCATACACCCCTCTGTCAATTCGTTGAGACAGTTTGGTGCACGGTATGCCTAAAGAAGCCATTCTCCTTGTTAACAAAGAATTAGAATTAAATGCATGAAATTTAGAGAGCGTTTCTTAATTGCGTGTCGTAAAACCAAAACCAAAGTCGTCAAAACAGCCAATCAGAAAAAAGAAAAATCCCTTAAGAACCAAGGAGAACCCAAATTAAACCAAGCAAACCGCCCAAGCGCGGGAAAGTTGTCATTGATTTTAGTTTTGCATCTGATTGGTCGAGAATGTGGTACGAGTTTTTTGGACCAATCACAAAGCTAAGTAACAGAAAAACCAATGCTAGCCCGAATTACTTTCGACAATCAAATGAAAGTTGCTCCAAATGTATGAGCAGGAAACAGGAGTCAATGAAAGTTTCTTCATAGCAATTTAATCATAATTGAAGCTACTCTTACAAATCTATTTGTCTCCTTGGAAAATGTCTCTGTTATACAAAAGTGTATATAAACCGAGCCCAAGATATTAAGCAGAATATATGAGAATTTCTACTATAAAAAGATGAGCTAGAAAAGTTCCTGTAATTGCATTGTCCAATAATGTTCCGCTTCAACCGTGTACATACGTCCTGCTCGGTGCACTGGGTACGAATTACTGAGGTCACTCTTCAGGAAGCTGCTTTCTCCTCTTGAATGTCTAATCAAAATTCATACAAGACTACTATCAGCTTTATTTAGTAATAAAATAAGTAATTTTGATAACAACATCGCTTATTGGAATCGAAGTTAATGGTTAATGATCCTGGTTGACATCAGAGGCACGTGATCGTCGCATGCAAAGTCGTGATCGTTCATGTAAGAATCGTAAAATAAGAAATCAGTGAGCCTGCAGTGATCGTTTTTCCGTCGCAGTGCTTCGGAAAAGCTTGACAGACGTTTGTTTACGAAGACAGTGCGTGCTCCCTAAATGTAACAAGAGGAATTAAGGGAAAATGGAAGGAAAAGAATAGAAAGCGAAAAAAGGATGGCGAGTGGGACCATGAATCGAATCATTGTTGAATGAGAGACCAGTCAAATTTAAACATTACATCACAAAGGCCAAAACCTCTGCTGGAACGTTTGAACTTTTCTGTGACTAAGGAGTTTCTCCCGGTCGAAGGTAGGCTAGCTAAACTTGAAATATCTTACACTGACACATGGATAAACTCAACAAACGAGCAACTTTATTTTACGAGGAACTTCCGTTTACAAACATGCACATATAAATTCTTCAATTTCACCTTTCAAACTCTGACTGCCCAATAACATTTTTAAATAATAACCGCCATTTATTTGATTGTATTAGTCAACTTTTTATTAATCTTGGAAAGTCTTTAATTTTCATTTTTTTTTAATATAAAAATAATTTTATTTCCCATTTTAAATAATATGTTTATCTTTAATAAATGTAACTTGTAATCCAAAATATAAAACTGTAGATTTCTTTTACTTTTTGAAATTTTACTCCAATCTGTAGAGAGCATTTAATGATAATTGATAAAATTGCAAGGGCAGTAACTATTTCACATTTGTACCAGTAAGTGAAACAATTTCTCCAATTCAAGAACAGAGGGTTCAAAATATGACATGATCACAAAATCTACACACTACATTTCTATCAGGAATTATAAGTTTCTCTTCCCAAATCTGTGCATCAAACTCCAACTATCCAGCAACAATTCACTTTTCTCAAAAAGTAAGGACAAAAACATGAGGATCTTGCAAACTTGTTCCATCTGCCTGAGCTAACACTGTTCTTTCGTTACTGATAGATGGTGTAAGTTGTCGCCATGCGTCTACCTCTTGCTGCACTGTCTGAATCTGAGTGCAGATTCATCACTGACTACTGCACTCATTGGAAATTTCACAATTTCAGCCCTCCAGCACAAAAAACACAGTGCTTACTGCTTTTACAACTTTGCAGAAAAACTAAATTCTAATTTCTGGTGCAACAGACACACTGGAAGATACATAATAAATCTTAATATAAAAAATCATAACAGGACACAGCTTGAATATTAAAAAATAAATGTAGTCAAATTTTTCTTCAAGTAACCTTGTTGTAGTCATATGTGCATAAATTGTGCTCACTCACAAAAGCTTCTATGGAACAACATGGTTGTATTTGTAGGGAAGTTCAACATTTGAAGCTTTAAAATGATTTGGTTACAATACTTTTTTTTTATAAATTTCAAAATGAAGATCAGCTTATTGGCATCTGTCAATCAAATTGTTTCGTCTCTCAGAACAAAGCACACTTGCCTGATTGTTTAGGAAGTGTATTTTTCTCCTGAGGCTCTACGTGGTTCAGCTTAGACTGGTCAAAGGTTTTAACTTCAGCTCTTGTCTCGGTTGCTTCTTCCTTGATTTCTGTTAGAAAATATTGATTGCTTTTGTCAATGCACAAATTAAGCCTAGAAGAAACTTCAACCTTTTGACCTCTAAGAGTGACTAACATCTAATTTCTCCTTACAATATCAACCCTCAATCACATGTTAAGGTCACAAGAATAAAGGAAATGATCACCAATAAAAGAAACTCTTGATTGTTAACCCTTGAACTCCCAAGATCCAATTGTTAATTCTCCTCACGAGCTGCTACACATTTCCTTGTAAATTAGTTAAGAGAATTTGGCATTAGACCAAGATAACAACTTCTCTCTGATAAGTTTGAGCATTTTTATCACCCATTTGCTGGATAATGTATGGATATTACAGGAAGAAGTTACGGGTTTCTCCCTTCTAGGAATTTAACGGTTAAGAAACTTACCCCTCTATTCATTTGACAACTGTTATATTCATATATTTAAAACCTTCTCTGTGCTGTCAAAACATACTGTACCTTCCTTTGTAGGAAGATGTGTCTTGTCCTGGGTTTCAACATGTTTCAGTTTCTTTGATGCATCAAATCCTTCAATTTCCTTTAACTCTGCTGTCTTGTCAGGTAACTTGTCAGGGATCAATTCCTCTCTCAGCGTTTGTGGTGTGGGTGTTGGGTTTTTCTCTTCTGTTTCAACATGCTTCAGTTTCGACTTGTCAAATGATTTAACTTCCGCTCTGGAGTTAGTCATCTCTTCTTCAATTACTGATCAACAAATGAAAAAAAAAAAGTTATAAAGTAAAATAGTGTAGATCAAATTCATCTCCTTAGCAGCACAAGAAATTTTTATGCCAACACAACTGATCTTGACCCTTTTTTCCTGAGGAGTTATTAACATCTCATTCCTTGAGACAGTATCACCCCTGAATCAAACTGAGTTTACCAAACCAGCTCAGTTCAAATTGTGTTCAAGTTTCATCACTTTTCAGCACATTCTTCGTCCACAAAAAAAGTTTGAAATAATAAATTTTGAGTAGTCTAACGCAAAGCTACTTGAGCTGATTTCTATTGTATCTCTGGACTGTAGAGCAGGCATTTTTTCTTACAACTTCGCTGTTGTTTACAGAGCAAAACTTTTGATTTTATTGAATGATTACAGTAGTTTAGAAACCTGGCAAATGTCTTCAAAGCACACTGTTACATTTTGCTCTGCAGTTTTTAATTCTCTGTGTTTTTAATACATTCCCAAAAGTAAGAGATCCACTTTTGGGAAATTTCTATCTGTCTGAATTTTACTTCTTAGACTAGAAATGATGAAAAATCTGATTTTTGAACTCAAAAATGGGGTAAACTTACACACGAGTTTGACTTATACACAAGTAAATACGGTAAATGTTGCCAACTCAAGAAGCTCTTTACTGTTAGGTAAATTCTCCTCGTAAGTAATATAGGAAACATATAAAAGCAGTGTAAAGAAATTGCATACTCATCAGATGAAAGGGTGTAAAGGGTGTTACAGCACCTGCTTTTGTTGGCAAAACTTCCTTCTGTTGAGTCTCAACATGTTTCAGTTGGGACTGATCAAATGATGTCACAGCTGAGCGGTCAGGAAGTTCGTCTGGCCTCAATTCTGCCACAATGTCTAAAATGTGAACAAAAGAAGGAAAAAATATATCAACTACCATGCATTTCTACACCTGGCCATCAAAAATTACTACCAAACTAACCTCCAACTCCTGGTAAAGTAACTTTTTCTTCTGTCTTCACATGCTTGAGCTTGCTGTGATCAAAAGTCTTCACTTCTGCTCGTGACCCAATAGTTTCCTCCTTGATATCTTAAGAAAAAAAAAATTTGCCAGATCCCATGAAAAAGATGAAATAACTAGAATTATCTTTATCAATTTCTATCAGGGTTTGTACACTTATTCAAAAACAAATTCAAGGACTTTTCCAGTACTCAAAGTGAATTTTCCATGGCTCTGACTTACACCTTTAACACTTTCATTCCCAAGATTTCAAACTCAATGATCTACATACATTTCCCCTATGATCTACATACATTTCTAATAATGTCAATTCTGAAAACTTTATTTCTTGAGTTAAGCAGATTTCCAGGACTTTCCAGGACCTGTGGTCTCTTTTGCAGGACTTTCCAGTCCTGGAAAATTTCAAAATAAAACTACAGGATTTTTCCAAATTTTTCAGGACACATACAAACCCTGTTCTAATCAATATTACTTCTCTTAATCTTCGTAAATAATAGATTGCAACTAATAAAATTAAACACAATGAAAAGTACTTATTATTAACATAATCATTGTTTAGTCATTTGTGCAATTTAAGTTCAAAAGTGTTCTCCTCTTCAGTTGGTAACCAGTAAATTTACTGCCTATAATCACTTGGAGTTCTTGTTAATTCAACACATGAAAAGTTGCTTACACATTATATTTAAAATAAGGGGAAACACTAAATTAGTCTTTGGATAAAGAAAGATCGTATTGTATTTTTATGCGTATTTACATATTTACATTAATTTTTACCTTTGTCCACATTTATAACAAAACAATCAACTGTCATGGCAGTCACTTGGCCAAAATTCACAAAATGCCTTCCACGAAACAACTAATGAATTCCAACTAAGTTCTTTGTGATCTTAGCTTGAAATGGTCCTGAACTTCAAATAACACACACTGAATTTGGTTGGACTAATTTTCCCTTCCTTAACATGCATTGTAAGTTTGAACTTGGTAATCGTAGCTGTACTGTAACAAATTTCAGCCTCACCATCTTGAGTTGGAAGAACTACTTTCTCTGTAGTTTTCACATGTTTAAGCTTGGTCTGATCAAACTTTGCCACTTCTGAACGATCTGGCAGCACATCAGGCATCAACTCGGCTCGGATATCTGAATATTTAAGAGATGAACTAATTAATATTGGTGTCATGTTTTTTCCTCTAGTTTCACAGTTTGCTTGATGGCAGTTTTTGTCATCCCCTGCCTACTCTTCCAGCTCTTGTTAACCCTTTCACTCCCAAGATCTGATTAGTAATTCTCCTTACTATCTGCCATACAATTCTCATGATGTTAGTTCAGAGAATTTGGTATTGGATCAACTAATGATCCCATGAGCGATATTCTTCTCCATTCTCATCACCTGCCTGCTTGATATTGTATTGATATTGTAAGGAGAAATTCTGTCTTGGTCACTTGTGGGAGTGAAAGGGTTAATTTTCTTGAGATCATAATGATTGCCAAATTGTGAACTTAAATGCCAGTGGCCTCAAGTTTGGGCATTTTACAAATGCCATTATTCCCTTCATTCCTTCACTACCTTGCTTTTTGCACAAATATACTTTTAATTCAACAAGGAAGCTAACAGAGTCATGCAAAGGACATATTTGGAATCTGCAGCATACAGTAGTGTGGTGCTCAAACCAACATCAGGAATTAATGCATCAATCAATTTGAAGCTTCAAAATCCCCCTTGGGCAGCCCCCCTGGCCATTTGAACATTAAATTTCTGCTCCCCCCAACCCCCTCAGGCCAAAATTTTGTTCAAATGCCCCACCCGAGTGCCAGATTTGATAGTAAAACTTTTGTAAAACGCAAGGTTATTGACCAAGAATTTCTTGTAGACCTTTTCTTCAGAGCCATTAGCTCTGTGAAAGTGAACTCTTTACCTTTAAAAACTACAAATTTAAAGATAAAACATGTGTAATCTGCTAAAAAGACTTTACAGTTTTGGTTACAACTCTGCACCCTACCCAGGAAAGGCTCAAATTTCCCAAACCCCCCCCCCCCGGCACTGAAGACAGGGTTGGCCATGGGGGGGAGGGGGGGATGTTATAGACTTCAAATTGATCGGCCTTTAACTCTTTTGCCCACAGGGGTGACCACCAAGTAATTTCTCCAGACAAGAAGCAATACAGCACAATGACAAGACAAGCTGACAAGAAGCAAATCAAATTAAATCAATCATCACCAAATAAACATTGTCTGATTTCATACAAATTCCTTAGAGCTAAAGGTATAAGAAATATTTGGCAGACAGTGGGGAGAATTTACATGTGCATGTACATGTACCTCCTGCTCCAGGTAGTGTATTATCCTCTTTGGTTTCAACATGTTTCAACTGACTCTTGTCAAACGTTTTAACTTCTGCTCTGGAGTCTACACTTTCATCATGAATGTCTGGAAAGAAAGAAAAATAATCTTAGAAATGATATCAAAATGAAACAAGTCATTTGAAAGCTTGTTTTTCAGCTTTTATAACACTAACCCTGAGGGCAAAAATCCTCAATTGAATTTAGGCTTCCCTTGAAGACTTCGTTCTATAATTCATCACACAAAAAAAATATATCAAATATATTTATAAATACCTTTTTGACTTGGAAGAACAACTTTTTCTGTAACAGGCACATGTTGCAGTTTATTGTGGTCAAACTGTAGCACCTCTGAGCGGTCTGGTCGTCTTGATGGCGGGGGCATTCTCTCAGCAGTGAGATCTGAAATCAAAACAGAAGACATTGAGAGTATCAAAATTATAAAACAGAACTTGACCTGAAATCACCCATTTTAGAATGAAGAGAACAAGAGATGACGCTGTGTCACCAAGGAGATATAATTATAATGTACCTTGTGCAGTGGGGAGATACTTCTTTTCATCTGTGTCCACATGTTTAAGAGAGCCTTTGTCGAAACTCTTCACTTCGGCTCTGGATTCAACAGATTCCTCCTCGATAACTAAAGAATCAATCCATGTTTGACATGTTACCGAAGTTTATTAACCATTTAAAAATTCTATTTAATGTTGAATGAGTGATCAAGAAAAGGAACATGCTTGATGAGGGTCTCAAACAAAGTTCTAGTGCTCAAAATTTAAAGCATTCACTTTTCAAATCAGTTTAAAATCATATTCTGACACAAACATTCACATTCGTCTTAGAAAGAGGGGTCGCTCTCTTTGCAATGAGATCTGAAAACACAACACAAGATATTTGGAGTAGTTCTAATCTGATTGTATAAAATGAGGAATGGTGCTTTCTCCAAAACCAGTTGAAAAATTTGTAAATCACAAGTCAACTTTTCTTGTGTTGTCACAACATACTGCATGGGTTTTGTTTCCTGGTACATTAATAAAAAGTGCTGTCTATTGCTTTAAGAGTTCATTTACCTTCTTTAGTGGGAAGAACATTGCTTTCCTTGGTTTTAACACGTTTCAGTTTTGTTGCATCAAAGTTTTCTACTTCAGAAACATCTGGGAGTTCATCAGGCCGCATCTCTTCACGAAGCTCTGAAAGAAATGCAAAAATGTTTATTTGGAAGCTCCTCAATAAGCTCCATACCTGAATCTTCTCAGCAGGCTCAGTGGGGTTCTAAAATCTCTTTACACCCTAACATTGGTATTCATATCCTCCATAATGTTCTCGATACATTTTCTAAGGTGCTGACAAGGAAAACTTGTCTAGGAATCAAGAGCACCTTTAATTGGTAATCATTTTGTTTATTCTTGTGACTTTGTGTGATTCTAGGGTGGTATTGCAAAAAGAAATTAGGTGCTAGTCACTCTTAGGGGTAAACTAGGGCAAAGGTAAAGGCAAAGGCTCTTTTGCATCCAGACAAGTTATCACAAAAGGATGCTTAAACCATTCACCTTGAATGGTTTCAGCCATATCAGTGTTAATATCTGGACAATAATACTTCCTTTTCGACCATACACAGTTTCTCTTAGATTACTTTCACTTCCCATATATCCTTACTGTCTGCCATGCAGTTATGATATTAGTTTGGAGAATTTGGTATTGGATCAACTGTTAATCTCCTCAATTGATATTTTACCTTTATCCTCATCACTTGTCTGCTTGGTATTGTCTTGATATTGAAAGGATTAATTATTTCTTTGTTACACATGGGAGTTAAGTTTTTACAAAAATAAGAGGTTAGGGGTTTACTCACATAATGGACAGTCAGCAGTCTTAAATATTATCAAAATATATGAAACCAAAATTTTTACATCCACTGCTTTGACTCTCAGTCTAACTTCCAATAACTTGTAGTTTGAATTTAACTTTGCATTAGTGCATTGCATTACAATATATCTATTCCTCTACACAAAGAGTTTAATTGTCTTGCTCTTTCAAAGTGATCAATTATTCAGAATTTTTCCTCAGATGTTTAAATAAAATGATGTTAGTCTAGGTACACACTTATGACCTTATATGGAAATAAAATTTTCAGTTTTAAAACTTCAAAAGTCTATTCAAAACAAGTAACCACATTGAATACAGCAAACATTTAACATGATTGAAGCAGTTGTGCCAAAGAGTGAAATCTCAAGTGTTGTAATTAAAACTTCTGAAAAGTGAAAGTTGGCAAAGTCTGAGTTCAATTTACCTGGTTTATGTAAATTGATATTTGTAAGGGTGCCACGAAACTAAAATATTGGACAAGTTATAAATATTGTAGTTATGTGGTCTGGAGAAATTTGAATATTTAAATACCACACTACGCCTCCTAACACGATTGAAAATAAAAAGGAAAATTTTGGTACAGTTTTAAACACTTAACAACTCGCGAAAGTACCTAATTGTGCGCTTCGGTTTTAACATTTTACGCCTCAGGCAACTTTTTAGAGGTTACGTGCAATGAAAGAGAGGACCACCGCTGTTTGCAATAATTCTTTGACTTATTGAGCTTATGTTATGATACGAACTTGAAAACAAAAAGCAGATTCAGCAGACATAAATGCTATTTCCGGTGTTCCGAAACAAGACGATTTTTAAGGCGACCCTTAGGTCAATAAAGCTCAGCTTCCAAACAAGCGAATGTCAGAGGGATGGGTTCACAAACATTTGGTCAACAACACTTAAATTTGTAACGCACGTAGTCTAATTCAAGCGTAAACATTTCCAGACGAGTTTCAACACAGTTTACAGTCTGCCTTAAAGATACGTGATGAAAAATAAAGAAGGTTTCCGTTCCGCTGATAGGGAAACACGAACTTACCAGGCAACAAACGCAATAAAAATTTTGGTAATGTGAATTAATATTTATAATTCTTCCCGTGCAAACCATATTTTCACCTGGCCTTACGCCTGAAATTACGAAAATTATAAGTACCTTGGGGAGTTGGAAGAGGAGGTTTCTTTTCGGTAGTTTCCACGTGTTTCAGTAGATCCTTGTTGAAAACTTCCACTCCAGAAAATGGCGCCGTGCGTTGTTCTTCAGCAATTGCTGCAATTTGACAAGATAGGGAGTTAACACTCTTTAAATTTAACATGACATCGTTGGATTAGCTCACTCGAGGTATTAAAAAAAACATACATTGAAATGAGTAAAGTTATAAATGCTTAAGGAGAAACCAACATACTCTCTTTCGAAGGAAGTGGGTTCTTTTCCTCAGTGTGGGCTTTCTTCAGTTTCGACTGGTCGAAATTCTTCACCTCTGAACGATCTGGAAATTCGTCTGGCTGAAGTTCCTGTTTAACAGCTACGACATTCAAAATAATTGCAAATTTTAGACGAAATGTCCATTCGCAGCTCCAAATTAAAATGCAAAAAAAATGCCCAAAAGCTCTGCAAAGAATGACTCTGAGGAAGCTAGACGTGGCGTTTGAACTGAATGGCACTCTCCAATTGTCATCGCTTCAGAAAACCTTTGCGTGTAAAATATGCTCACTCATCTCCTAAATAATGCTTCTAGAACTAAGTTAAGCTCTTTACGTACACAGTACAGCTCAAATACTAGCACAAAATCGTTTGTTTCCTCAAAGAAACTACTACACAAAAATTCTTTGGTGGTGCAGAAGAGATGTCTTGCTATAAAAAAATATCGTTTTCTTACTTTCGCTGGATGGAAGAGTATTCTTTTCCACAGTCTTCACATGTTTCAGTTTGGAGGAATCAAAAGATGAGACCTCCGCAAGACTAGGTTTGTCGTCCGCCATGTTTTCGAGGGATGATCAAGGGAGAATTTTTCGCAGTGCAATGCACAATAATTTCGTCTCTTGGCTTGCACGAGCGAATTGGGGACCGCCCCCAGATAGGATACCATTACCATATAAGGCATGGCGTGACACAGTCAAAACACTTCCGGCGAGGTATCTATCTAAGTACAATTTTTAACGGAAAAGTAGTTTTATACTGTGCCTTTTTTGGACATTTATGACATTCCACTGACGCTCGGAGCTCTTAACTCTAAGAACTAATTTTCAAAATAATTTTCTTTTTATCATTTTTCTGTTTTCATTTTAAGATGTATTTCGAAATGTACTGTGTAACCCCTGGAGGTGCCAAAAAACGAAGAACAGGTGTCACTGCAGAAAGAACTTTTCATATTTTACGACTTGCGAATAAACCTTTAACTCCCAGAAGTGATTAAAATGTAAATTCTCTCTATAAAACCCACACATTATCTCATCTACAGGTTATGAGGATACTCAAACTCGTCAGATCAGGTGAAGTTATCTTTGATCTAACACCAAATTCTTGTGACTAATTTATAAGAAATATGAAGCAGCTAGATAGGAGAATTAACAACCAGATCTTGGGAGTTGAAGGGTTAATAGACAAAATACCTTGTCATGCAGTGTTTTGATAATTTTGACTATCTGTGATCATTTTTGAAATTTTCTTGTTTTCACAACAACATCATGTGATTTGCATTGTAAGAATTCCAAGATAAAATTATTTCACAAGGTAACCACCTGAGACTTTGAAAAGACTTTAAATCAATACTTTTCCAATGCTTTAAATGATTTTATGATTCTCTACTTAAAAGGATTGGGAAAGCAACTTTTCACAAATATCCTTCTCCACAATATTTCTCAGTATCCTATTACTTGTCGTTTGTTTCTGTTTCTATTAGTTTACCATATTTTTTCCTCTCTGTTTGAGCAAATAGACAAAAAAATCCACAAAAAATTAGCAATTGGTTCATACGTCAGCATGTGTTCATCAAGATATGCAGCACACAGGAAGTTTGGAGAGCACGAAAGATTATTAAGAATTGCTCAAGGCATGGCAGAGAGGAACTCTAGCTTCTTGAGTGCTCTCCAAACTTCCCAAGTGCTTCATATCTCAATGAACACACAGCTGACGTATGAACCAATTGTTTTATAACATTTTCAACCCGATAGAAAATTATTTTTTCTCGAGGGATTTGTTTGTTGACATCATGAGCATGCACAATGGGAATATGAAGCACACTCGTGCAATTGAATTTCATTACATAAATTTACTAGCTATGTTATAAAGAGAGTTAATAAATTTCTCAACTAACTAGTTTAGATATATACTTGGGATTGAATATTTAACAAAATCAGTAACACCAGCTACTTATAACACCTTCAAATTTTTAAAATTTACATAGAGAATTGATGTCTTCACTCAAAGAATCTACTTCAAATAGCTAATTTTGTTTTATAGCATATATCTATCATAATTGATGCTTTAAACATTGTTTCCTCACAAAATATTTATTTAGACCTTCCCATTTGTTTAGTCAAGATAACTCAAATTTTTTCACACATCCATAAAATTTTGAAAACATGGAGAATTTAGGTTATTTTGAAAACTGTATCATGGAGTCTCCTTTGAGCTTCAAGTTGAATTGAAAGAATTTTTAGTATATAAATGAGTATAAACCATATTCATTTGCCTTAGATTCCAATCTCATGTTATTTTTTGAATTTTTGAAAAAGGACATCTCACTGAGATACCAAAAAATACAATAGCTTTCAAAAACATTCCCTTTTGTTGTCCTCTCTTTAAAACTCAATTTTGTGAAACATGCATGCTAAATATCTGTTCCATATACTACATTTACAACTGATATGGCTGGAAAATTAAGGACCATGTTTGATGATTATAAACCTTCAAATATTTGATGTGGTGAGCTTGAAAATGCTTCATGAATAATGTAGGTAAGAGGGAGATAAGATATACCCTAGTAGATGGCAAACAAATGCACGACTGAGTTAGTATAGATAAGGCACAACGTCATTTGATTTGCTCCACTAAGCATGATGAGTCAGATCAGTCAATTAAATCTGTCTAAAAATATGGACTTCATGCTGTAATCTGTCTGTTTTCTTTCATCACTGATGCACATGAATTGTGTTTTTGAATCTTGATGCCCATTCTGTGACTTAACATCAGGCTCTAAAAATCTTACCCTATGTAGGAAAATTCATTCAACAGAATAACTTTTGATGTCATCTTTGATCTTGTGACTGTCAGCACAATTTTGTATTAACTGAATCTATGGAATGGTTAACATGTCCAAATAAGGTGAAAGGGCAATAGATAAATTTGTTTTCAATAAACATACGAGGTACTTAATGCACTTTTAGTGTTGTCAATGATAACATACAACAATTTGGCTCAATCATCCCTTAAATGGTAATTAATAGTGTTAGATTACAAATCATTAGCATAATAATAGCATGCTAATTATTTGAAAAACAAAGATGTTTTCATTCTGATTCATTTTTATTTCACACACTAATGATTAAAGATAACTAAAATTTACTCAAGTTACAGAAATTCACGTTATTTAAAATGCTTCCCTATTAATCTGAGAAAGCTCCAAATCTGACATGTGGGATAGCTGGTTTTCCACAACACTTACACGAAACCTTGTAATAAAAATTTTCAAAGCCAAGAAATGCATTAAAAACCATAGAAATCGATGTACCAAAAAAAGGCTAATTCTTCTTAACGTTTTTTCTACATTTCCTTAGGTGCTGACAAGGAGAATTTGCTTAAGAATCAAGAACCTCTTTAATTAGTTGGTGATCATTTCCTTTATTCTCCTGCTATTAATGTGTGATTCAGGGGGTGATATTGTAACAACAAATTAGATCCTTGTCACTCCTAAGATAGATACCAGAGTCTTAATTGTGGTAAAAGACAATAAAATTCATAGAGAAACAGTTCAAATCACATGGTAATTTGAATTTCATCAATTTTCACAAGCTATCATCCTATAGAAACACATTTCTTGAAATTTTTCAAAATAAAAGAACCTTGGCCACACAAAACTGAATTCCTTTCAAATGAGGACCATGGGAATGTACTAAATCTATAACCTTGCCCCATCTGTAATTCAACCACACCTATAATAACCCATGCATTATAAAAGTAAGAGATATCTAGATGATGGCTTCTTTGCTTGCCTCAAAAAAGAAGACATTTTCCTTAATAATTGCTAGGTAATATTATCACTGTAACATTAATGTTATTATTTTCTGTCCGCAAATATTATCTTTCTCTACCACATATTGTATTATTGACCCTGTTATTCCCATGGGTGAGCAAGATATAATTTCTCTTCACAACAGCACTACAATATCAACCAGAGGATTATTAGTTGATCCAATAACAAATCCTCCAAGCTAACATCATGAGAATTATATGGTATACAGTAAGTGGAATTTGCATGCGCTAATGAGATCTTCAGAGTGAAAGGTTCAACACGTAAACTTGCCCAAAAGAGCCCAATGTAGAAACACAGTACCCATTATGGTGAATTCAACTGGTGCCAAGAGTTAAATAATACCATATACAATTCATAACCATTGAATTTGCTATGAAATTTTAAATACGATTTTACTCAATAGAGAGAAGAAAAAAATCATAATTGTGGTCCAATACAAATCATCATGAGAGTTTTCTTAAAGTATCCCAAATTACTCTTCTAAATACATCCTGATGTTTCAGTGATCCTCCTACATGACCACTGTCTATATATTCCACAGTGCACCCAGGCCAGATGTCAGAAGGACTTGTCTGATTGTTGCGTGGAATATAAGCATCGTTTTTAGCTACCACAAAATGAACCAGACTTGGATCGACAGGTGGAGGAAAATTCCTTAAATGTGTTTCTTCATCCATAACGTAATTCATAAAATCTAAAGTTGATTGTTTGGCAGGTAAGCCTTCCTTGAGATTGATGTTTCTAAAGATTGATGGCAGGTTCTCAAAAATGTTGGTTTTCAAGCCATTGAAGATATCCTCTTGTTTCAGAAAGAGTGTCTGAATTTCACTGTTATCCCGATTTTTCCCCTTCTGTTCCATCAAAGATTGGGATATTGAGTTCATATTGCTATAACCATTCACAGAGCTTTTGTTTAAATCATCAGCATCAAATTTGGTGAATACATTTCCACTAAGAGGGATGTAATCTAACAAACTGTTCCTGTAGTCTTCACATGAAAGCTGTTTCTCTAATGTATCCCATGAACATGCACGACTCATCACACCCTAAAAACCAGGACATAAAAAAAAGGCTATTTTCATCACTGTTCTCTATACCCTAAAAACCAAGGAGAATTTGTTGAACAATCAGGAAAAAATTGGTAGTATTTTCAGTATACATCACATTTACCAGTAATATTCATGCTTTTTTCTATACATAATTCACAAGCCCATTAACCTATCAAATGGTGACAAGGAGAATTTGTTGAACAATAGTATGTGGTGTTTTATCAGATATAAAGACAATGCACGTGACTTATGAATGTTTTTTCGTTGCTAATTTCTAACGTTCCCATAATTGTTATGAACTCTCTTGACCTTTTCAAGAATTTTTGAAGCCGTTCAAAAAAATACCACATAATATTCATGCGTGGTTTTAAACCCAATAAAACACTCCTGCTCATTTTTTAAACATTACATAAAGCACCTTCTTCATGGCATGAATGCCCTAATGCCCATAACCCTTTCACTCCCAAGATCTCCACAGTAATTCTCCTTACTATCTGCCATATAATTCTTATAGTGTTAGTTTGGAGAATTTGGTATCCGATCGACTAAAACTCCTCTGATTGCTATTTTTCTTTATTCTCATCCCTTGTCTGCTTGATAATGCATTGACACTGTAAGGAGAAATTCTCTCTTGGTCACTCATGGGAGTTAAAGGGTTAACAACACTTTGCTGGGGACTTTAACCAGACTGTGTTCTGCAGTTTACAATTTCTTCTACAAAAGAATATAGCAGATGCCCTCAATTTTGTAAACAAGGCCAGACCACATACTTTACTTCCCAACTCTTTGAAAGAAGTAGGATTCTTTAGCGCCTCCTGCTAACTAATATAAAGAAGATGGCCTGTAGCTTGCTGTCCTTATCTAAGAAGACTAGAATGCCTAACCATTTCTCCTCAGTTATTCAAAGACCCTGAGTGTTGGTCTGGTCTATGGCCAACACCTCCAAAAATGAAAATTGAAGTTTTCATGAATCTCAAATAATTGCTGATCATGGCAGAAAGCTGGGAAATGTCAGGAAAAAAATATGTTCAGTCGCCAACCATCCTAAACAGTCAGGGGGCCTTTTACAACCAATTTGAGATCTCATTTGTTGTAAAAATCTGGGACAGTATGGAAACAGCAAATTAGCAGATGGACTGGAATTTTTCTGACAAATCCAGGCTTAAAGATGGAGCAAATACAAATGAATCACTGTACACGATCAAATAATTCTTCATAATAATTCTTTATAAATTACCTCTGTAAAGACACAAGATGCTGTACTCCAAGAGAGACAAGGCACAATAGCAAGTGGTTTAGTCCAGGCAGTACATGCAAGTGAAGCCATGTGTCCACCCATGGAAATCCCTGTTATTCCCAGTGGTCCATAGCCCTGCTGTTCACACCACTTTAAGAGAACAAGTGACTCTAAAATCAATGCTGCTCCCATGACAAACAAATCTACCACATGCAGGAGGCTGGATCGAAGTTGATTTTTCGGTTTTCTCATGCCGTAAAACGGATTTTCCAACAGCAAAGACGCAATACCATATTGCTTCGCCAAAGGTTTGGCCGTAAGGTTTCTTCTTCGCCAAAAGTAGTGGTCACCAGTACCCGCGAGATGTAGACACGCCGGTTTGTGTCCATTTCGTGGCCATTTTTTGGGTATAATGACCTGAAAGTGGGCTTTTTCACTTTCTTTGGGTAATAGATCGGGAAAGTACCTGGCCAGAGGTGACGTGAAGTGTCCTTCGGCGATGTAAAATGATTCTTTCGTCCTTGATTTGTTCAATTCAACCGGATAGCTTGAAGAAACCAGTTTGTGGCATTTTTCTCTGTCAGTAACGGTCTTGCGAGCTTCGAGAAGGCGTTCATAGACGTTTATATCTCCCCATCCTTTTGAGAAAAACGAAGATAATATTAATCGGCGGTAAATTACATCAATTTTGCTTGCAAAACACATCTAGAGAGGAGAAGTTTTTAACAGTATCGATGCATGGATGAAAATTACGGTATTGATAGCTGAGTAGCCAAGCCTGTATATGGCGTTACCATAATAACGATATGTAGTCGTGAATTACTCGTGGTGTTAGTTTTCCGTCGATAACTACTCGGCTCAATTCCGGAATTACTCGTGTTACTGCAGGAATGCAGTGGGTATGTGAAGCGGATATGAGCAATTGATTCGACACTTCTCTTCCGTAGAATTCACGATTTTCGTAGACTTGACGATGGTTTAACCGCTTTCAGCGCTCCTGGTGAATCAATATAGGAGTGGACGTGATGTTTTCAGTGAACTTGGCGAAGCATTAGACAAACAAAACACCATGAGCGTTCCGCTTCGTGCCAACATCTCTCGCGGAAATCCCGAGAAGGTGTTCGATTTGATCGAAAAAGTTGGAGGTGGAACATATGGAGACGTTTTTAAGGTTCGGAATTGCCTGATTTGTTTTCTCTAAAACGGTTGATTGGCTTAATCTTCAATATTTCAGCCATGGGTAAAGTTCGGCCGTACAATTTCACTGATCGCAATGAAAACTTTCTCTCTAGGCCAGAGTCATCTCTACAGGGGAACTGGCTGCAGTGAAAGTTGTAAAAGTCGAACCAGGTAAGAAATCTCTGATTTATGACTCTTCCTTAATTGAAATAATGTCTACGATTCCAGTATTAAGAAGGTGGGTGTTAAAACCAGACAGAATAGGCTTCTAACAATTTATTATATACAGTCTTAAAGTAATCCCTTATTTCAGTTTTTGAAGGGGTATTCAATTTCGACTTCGAGCAAATGTCATGTCACCTAATTTGTTCCTTTGGATGGTTTACCAGTCTCTCGAATCATGACATCGTCCTCACAGATTACATTTCCATCATGTATAAGTCGCTGTTCTTGCAACTGATCGTAAAATGGATTTGTTTCCTCTGATGTTTTATTGTACGTTTACGTTCCTGACCTTTAATGATGCAAATTTTTCACATCATGCAATTGTGAAATCAATATTAATTTCCATCTCGTTTGCAAAAACAAAACAGCAAATGTTACTTTGATTATTTAGAATTATTTTACACATGCAGATTAAATGGCGTTCTAGAGATTAAAAAGCCATTTATATAAAGGCGTTTTATTTTGATGTCGCCACACTGTAATTCAAACATAATTCCTACTTCAGAGAAAGTATTCTAAAGTGATGAAGATGGAGGATTGTTTATAGTTTATGAATGGGACTAAAATTATTGCAAAGCTCTTAAATGAGGGCAATATAAATTTTTGATATTAATATAGATTTCTCCTTAGACTTTTTTTACTTTGAGAGCTAGATTTCATGCAAATGTTTCAAATGAAATTCCATGTATGCTACTAAACTAGGCTAATATCTTCAGTCACGTTGAGGAATTTCAGAAGGGAAACCTCCCGGGATGGAAGAGGTTGTTATTATTTGTATAAATTAATTCATTTTTATACTTGAAAATTGCTGAAATAGGTGAGAAAAATCATCATATGCACAAATGATTTAAAATCATTATCAACTATGTAAGTTAAGATTGTGTCACAATTTTTGCTCAAGTGATGTTTCATGGTTGCAACTTTGATATTTGCACATCCAATTTTTTATGATTGCAACTCTTGTGGAGTGGGGGGGGCACCTGATTAACAGGAAACAAAGGTAGGTTTAAGAAATATTAAATAATTTCTTTATGCTTCTCCCTGTTATAGAATACATGTACTCACTGACTTAATGTGAGGGCTGGGCAGAACAATATTTGGCTTGAGCACAAGGTCCACAGATCATGCCTGGGAGAAAAATATTTTCCTGTCCTGGGCTAACTTTTAAACTGATAAGCATTTGTCATTTGACCTCCAATTTTTTCTCTGTAAGCTGGACAAGAGAGACTGTTCTTGATAAAACTTTACAATTTTGAAAAATTCTTACGCACAATGGAAGTCATAAAAGTGAATTTTTCTTGTTCTGATTTTTCCAGGTGATGATTTTGAACTGATTCAGCAAGAAATTGCCATGATGCAAAACTGTCAGCATCCAAATATCATTCAGTACATAGGCAGCTATCTCAGGTATATAAAAAATAAAGAGTGACTAGCATCTAATTTCTCCTCACAATATCACCCCTGAATCAAGTATTAAGGTAAGGAGAATGAAAGAAATGATCAGCGACCAAAGACGCTTTTGATTGTTAAACAAATTCTCCTTGTCAGCACTTTAAGAAATGTGTAGAGCATAGAACGGAAAATGTTGATATCAATAGTAAGAACCAATTGTTAATTCTCCCCTCCAGCTGCTTAACATTTCTTTGTAAATTAGTTATGAGAACTTGGTGCTAGATCAGGATAACAGCTTCTACTTGATAAGTTTAAATATTTTCATTACCTTTTTGCTGAATAGTGTATGGGTATTACAAGGAAAAGTTTCATGTTGATCACATCTGGGAGTCAAAGGGTTAAACTTAGATGGCCCAAACACATTTTCAGGGTATAGAAGTTTTTCACTTCTGATATTCAGCTTTGCAAAGTGGTAACTATGTGTCAAAGATCCGATCAAGGGTTTCTTCAAATTGGAAAGTTTGTGTGAAATTATGCACAATAAGGTTGTGCAGTGCAATATTGTGAAATGACCCTTTTTGTGTTTCTAGGAGAGACAAGCTATGGATAGCAATGGAGTTCTGTGGGGCAGGATCTGCACAGGACATTTATTGTGGTCAGTAATAATTATGAATTTACATTCGAGTCATGTACCTATCAGTTGCACTTGGCTTCTTTTTCTTGACTGAAAAATCTTATTTTAATCAGGAGCAGACTCAGAAATTTGTAATAAAGGTGTGCATGCTTTGTTTCAGAAAATACAGACTTTTTTCACCACAGTTTAAGTAAGCTAAGAAATATTTCAAAACAACTAAATTGTATATACCATTTACCGATTAGCAACGTACATGCACAATCTTGTTGTTGCCAGAATGTTGGTGTCAGACAAGTTGCCCTGAAAAAAAAAACCCTAATATTTCCTCCTCCCTAGAATCATAACTGTTAAAAAGTATTAATAGTTTTTATTTGTTTTATTTTCCATTCAGTTACTGGACCATGTAGTGAACCTCAGATTTCTTTTATTAGTGTTGAAACTCTGAAGGTAAGTTGTTTCTCCAATTTATTTCAGTCATGCACACAAGGCCCTGGAAAGAAGCACCCCTGACCTCTTGAACATTTGACCCTTTAACTACCAAGATTTCATTGGTAATTCTCCTTACTGTCTGCTATACAATTATTATGATGTCAACTTGGAGAATTTGGTATTGGATCAACTAATAATCCTCTAATTTATATTTTACTTGATTCTCATCACTTCTATGCTTGATACTGTATTGATATTGTAAGGAGAAATTCCCTCCTAGTCACTCATGGGAGGTAAAGGGTTAAGAGTGATTAATATCTTACTTCTCCTTACAGTGTCAGCCTTAAATAAAACATTTGAATTATAAGAATAAAAGGAAATGATCACCAATGAAGGAGCTCTTGATTGTAAAACAAATTCTCCTAGTCGGTACTGTTGGAAATATAAAGAAAACAGTATGGAGAACATGGATACTGACTTATGGATTTAACATGACCCTTAAGAGTGACTAACATTGAATTTCTCCCAACAATATTACCCCTGAATCACATATAAAGATCACAAGAATAAAGGAAATGATCACCAACCAAAGAAAATCTTGATTGTTAAAATAAGTTCTCCTTATCTGTATCTTAGGAAATGTGTAGCGAACAGAATGGAGAATATGCATACTGATGTCAGGGTGTAAAGGGTCAAAAATCTCTCTTTCTCTGTACCACAGGGTCTTGCCTACCTCCATGAGAAGAACTTAATGCACCGTGATATCAAGGTAGATACCACACACTGTCATGAATATGACAAAAAGAAACTCCATCAACAGAAAAGAAACAGGGCATAATCTTCTTTTATCCAAAAATGAGATGGATGTCATTTGCTTGTTTGTTTGTTTGATTTGTTTGTTTTGTTTTTTTTTTCTTTTTGTGGGGGGAAGGGGCTATATTACAAATAATTTATTTATTATGTAATATTTATCTACATTACCTGAAAATTTTTCTCAGGGTGCAAACATCCTGTTGACAGCACAAGGCAACATCAAGTTAGGTGAGCTGATATCAGGTCTTGTCGTTGTTTATACAGTGTAGCTTCCACATGTTAACCCTTTGACTCCCAGAAGTGATTTAAAACTAATTCCTCTCCACAATGTCCATACATTTTCCAGCAAACAGGTAATGAGAATACTTAAACTTATCAGGTAGAAGTTGTTACCTTGATCTAACATCAAATTCTCATAACTTATGTACAAGGAAATGTGTAGCAGGTAGATGGGAGAATTCACAATCAGATAAACTTATCAGGTAGAAGTTGTTACCTTGATCTAACATCAAATTCTCATAACTTATGTACAAGGAAATGTGTAGCAGGTAGATGGGAGAATTCACAATCAGATAAACTTATCAGGTAGAAGTTGTTACCTTGATCTAACATCAAATTCTCATAACTTATGTACAAGGAAATGTGTAGCAGGTAGATGGGAGAATTCACAATCAGATAAACTTATCAGGTAGAAGTTGTTACTTTGATCTAACATCAAATTCTCGTAACTTACTTACAAGGAAATGTGTAGCAGGTAGATGGGAGAATTCACAATCAGATCTTGGGAGTTAAGGTTAATATAATTTTCAAGTAAAAACATTGTGCTTACATTAAATTTCTTTTTGTTCATAGCTGATTTTGGCATTGCTGCCCGGATATCAGAGACCATGACAAAAAGAAAGTCATTTATAGGAACTCCTTACTGGTGAGTTTTTTGGTCCTTAATCTTTTAACACCTAGAAGTGATTAACATGTAACTTCTCCCCACATTGTCTATATATTCTCCAACAAACAGGTGATGAGAATACTCAAATTTATCAGGTATAAGCTGTTATCTTGATCTAACACCAAAGTCTCATAACTTATTTACAAGGGAATAAGGGGCAGCTAGAGGGGAGAATTTACAATCAGATCTTGGGAGTGAAAGGCTCATAAACTTGCCAGATCACAATTTGTCTATTTGTGTTGGGGAATACTTTTAATAAATTCAAATTAAATCTTTGTGGTATGTGAACAGTCTTTTTTTGGAAGCTGGTACAGAATTTATAAATACCTGGAAAACCTCAGGAAAATCCCCATGTTGGATATAAGGAAAAAAGTTAAAATTTTGCGGCATACTGCATATTTGTGATCATTATTACATGACAGATTTCTTCTTTATAACAGGATGGCACCAGAGATGGCAGCTGTAGAGCGACTGGGAGGGTATGACTTAAAGGTACTTATGGTCACAATATAGTAACTCTAACTTGTATTTGAATTTCTTTCCCTCATAAGACCATCTCCATCAAACGTCTTCGAGTCAGTCTGACAATGGGAAACAAAAAATTTAAACCCTTTATCTCCCATAAGTGACCAAGACAGAATTTCTCCTTACAATATCAATACAATGTCAACCAGATAAGTGATAAGAATATAGCAAAATATCAATTTGGGGATAATAAGTTGATCCAATACTAACTTCTCTGAACTAACATTATAAGAATTTTATGGTTGACATTTAGGAGAATTACAAATTTGATCTGGGAGTTAAAGGGTTAATTGGAATGGTCAAGGGATGAAAATGTGTCACATACAAAAAGTCATGTAACATTCGTAATTTTTGAAATGGTCACAATCATTCTTTTTGTTACAAGCTTCATTGCAAGCATTCTCTGCTCGTATTTGTTTTTCATGCCTTGTCTTTCTAACCTTATGTGATTTCTCAACACTAGAAAAATGAAAACATACTATTTAATGTCCAAAATTTTTTTGTTTAAATTTAATTTTTCCATTGCATGCTCATATGTTCATGTTTTGTATGTTGTGAATGGTACGTTGGTTAGATGTAGTGTCTTGACTGTTTGTCATTTTTCTTCAATTGTACAAAACTCTAGACATGCAGTGTACATATCATAGAATGATGTAGAATTTTCATTAAGAAATGGAGTGACAGGAGAACAGTGTAAAGTAATCGGAGAATATTCTTCACATTTGAGTAAAAAATAAGCTATTAAAATTAGCCAAAGAATTCCAGCAGCCTGAGAACTGTCCATTTCCTTGGCCAAAACAAAAACACCAAATGCTCCTTTGAACCACCAAAACTTTCAGATGTTTATTACTCTACATGATAGCAACACAATGCGATTTAACTTAATTACCAATACTCCTTAACAATTATTTGTTTTATTATTAGTGTGATATTTGGGCAGTTGGCATAACAGCCATTGAACTAGCAGAGCTTCAACCTCCCATGTTTGACTTACATCCTATGAGGTGAGTTCAAAACTCTTCCTTGCATTTGATAAATATTTCCTCAAATTTTTAAATTAACGTGGCTTACAATGTAGGCCAGGCTTAGCAAAGGAGCTATAACATTCAGATAACACAAGAAAGGGAAGGAAAAAAAGGGAAAGAAACGGAATTGCTATCGTAAGACAAAGATAAGATCTGAGTTACCCTCGAGGGATCAAACCCTAGAGCTTTGGATAATGGTTCGGATGATCTATAAGATAAAACAGGAGTTGGGTACAGGATAACTAGTTAGTAAACTGAATGAACAAAAGCGATCTTCACAGAAGCAGTAGCAAAAATGAGGCCTAAAAAAAATTGAGGACTGTACAGGATTTGAACTCATGACCTCTGCGATACCAGTGCAGTGCTCTTAGCTACTAACTGAGCCCACAAGCCAACTGGGAGCTGTCAGTAAAACATTTTTTTTACTTCTTTCATTTTGAAGGGCATTATATTACATTGGAAAAAGAAGTTTTGTACCGCCTACTTTAAAAGACAAGGACAAATGGTTAGTATTGTTACTGTGAACTTTTTCATGCAATGACAAGGATACTAGTGCTGACAACTTTCTTTGCTGATGTCCATGTCTAATACAAGTAGGCATGTCCACAGGTTGAAAAGATTGTGGGAATATTGCCAATATGTCACAGTCTATAATATCATGGCAAAACTGCCCTGTCTGTTTTTATAAAATAGACTCATAACACTTAACTGACAAACAACTTCCCTTTTGACTCTTGGTGAGGTCTCCACAGTTTGTCAAAATGTCAGACACTGCTATGGACAGCAGTCCTCATCAGGGCGAGGACTACTCTCTCTTTAGCAATCAGACTACATAATTGGCATGACCTCACTTTTTTCTTTCCTCAGCAATCAGACTACATATTTGACATGACCTCACTTTTTTCTTTCCTCAGCAATCAGACTACGTATTTGGCATGACCTCACTTTTTTCTTTCCTCAGCAATCAGACTACATATTTTGCATTAAGTCACTTGTCCTCTCACAGCCATAAAATTCTTGTCATTCCTTATCCTTCTACTCTTCTTACCAATTTCACTCTCCTCCCATGATTCTGCGTATCTTGTTCATGGCCACTTATTACTCTCATCTGAACAATCAGACATCACCATTGTCCATTGACAATTTAAACAAATTTTGACATTTAATTTTTCTAGGTCCCCAGAACTTCATAGTTTTCTAAAGACAGCTCTACAGAAAAATCCAAAGAAGAGACCCACTGCAGACAGATTGTTAACAGTAAGTGCACTTTATTCCAAAGTTTTATTTATTGCTTTAATCCCTGTGGCTAACTTGTCTAGCATCTAACTTCTCACCAAGGTTTCACTGCTGAATCCTCACTCAAGAATTAAAGAAATGATCACAAGCTTGAAAATGCTTTTGATTTTCCAGCTGAATTCAGTCTAGCAAGCTTAGTCACCTTGGCAGGTTTATTGCAAGAGTTCTTAAAATTGATGCTTGGTCTCAAAGAGATCTCTGAAGGAAAAAGTGTATGCACCAAATTTTTACATTATCAATGGGGAAATTTGCTCCAAGTAGTGTGGAAAATGAACTAGTTGTTCCGGTTGTAATGGAGTCGATTTTTCTGAAATGTTTTTTGGTTTTTTGATCACTTTTCTCTGTCATGAATCTTACATAACTTTTCTGTTACAGCATCCATTTTGTGGCCATGGCTACACCAGAGCAGTTATACAGGACTTGTTAGACACATACAAGAGGAAAAAAGGAGATAAGGGGAATATCGCAGGACCAGGTGATGATGATGATGACGAAGATGATGCTGCTCCAGTTGATGAGGTAAGATTATTAAGATCTGTCATGTGACTACTGCAGCTGTTTCCCAGGGTTGTACTAAAGAAAGTAGGCTGCCAGCTGAAATTTCAAGTGAGGCAGTGCAAAGATACAGTTTATTATTGAACAATTGTAAGCACACAATCTCAGGTGCCTGTTGCACTTTTTTCGAACAACTGCTAGCCAAAAATACAGCTGGTGATTGCCTGTATCTCATGCGGTGAATTTGACTGGCAGCAGGGGCTTAACAACAACCCTGGTTTCCTATATCCCGTGCATTTTTTCCATCAAGCTTCTTGTGGCACCATTTATTGAGCTGTGGAGCTTTTTCAAGCCCTGCTTTAGACATTGTGTGTGGCCATCAAACTTACATGGTTTTTCCAGCGTTTGCAAGGCCTTTCAAGTCACATGACAATTAAATTGTTGCTTGTATTTTGCATGTGGAGTTGATTCTGCAATGTTTAGTGGATAAACTTTGATTATGTTACAGAATGTCCAAGTTCTTACAAGAATTAGATCCAGGAAAATACCTGAGAAAAATCTAGAAAGAAGCAGCATATCAGGATCTCAAGGAAAGTGTAAGTGCACCATACAACTTCAATTAAATCTACTGTTAATCACAATAGATTTCAAGTGATACCTACTCTAAACACAAATGTACAGAATATGCCTGCCACTTAAGTTACATTTAATCTTGTCCTTAAAATCATCCATTTAGAAACATTTAAGGAACAATTCCTGTGTATGAAATCCAATTTCCCCCGCCCCTTGTCCCCTGCCCCATCAAAATTTTTATTTAAACTTCCCCTGTTATGATGCTTAGCCTTCTTCCCATGATCTCCAACTGTACCGTGGGTGTGTCAAGTGTTTCGAGCAAAAACTCTTATCTAATGGGGATTTTTCTTTAACATGCAGTAGATGGAGTGCAAGTGGAGCCAATCATAAGCAGAGAAACAAGACCACAACATCAGGTAAAAAAGTCATCCCACTGTGTTGCTTGAAAATATGGTACAAGTTTTATTTTAGGGATTTGCAGTCTTTTTTGTATTTTGTTGGAACAATATTTTCCAGTTTACCTGTACCCATTTGATATACTCCTGGATGGAGAGAAGCACAGCACAATGACCTGTCAAAGTCTTGGACCCAAACCTGTCAAACTGGAGGTCACCTTGCCAACCATTGGACCACTGCATCTCCCACAAAGAAGAGGGGTTGGGAGTTGGATTCATTATGATCTAAAACTCAGTTAAGGGTCATAATGTATCATTCGTATCTCTTTCTTTTATTACCTACTTCAATAGGCAGAGAATGGGTCATCAGGAGTACAAAATGGGGAAATAAGCATGGACAAGTAAGACTATTATACTAATAGTGAAGCTAACGGACATGAAGTCTTTTGCACAGATTGGTGACAGTAATGTTATTACATGTACTTGGTGTCACTTTTAGTCATATTTGATAGAAATAAGATGACATAACAGTACTCTCATTATTTCAGTGGTGAAGACAGTGGAACAATGAAAGTTCTTTGTGAAGACCAGGGTGATGATGAGCCCCCACCCTTACCTCCTAAGGTTTGATCTTCTTCAACATGCTTCAGTGTGATCTTCTCTTGTAACATCTTGTCAAGTGAATGCCATAGATCCAAGTAGCCTGTCAGTAATCTCATAATTTTGTTTCTGTAATTAATTTCTTGTTTCCTCCCAATAGTTAAACAGGAATTCTCATTACCAAGTGCCACAGCCTAGCATGAAACCAGTTCCACCTCCAAAGCCAGTACATCTGAAGCTGTCAAGAGTAGTAAGTGCACAAGAGGGGGGCCAACGATCGTCTCAACCAAAGCCAAGAAAATACTCTGATATAGAAGGGCCTAGCAGCAGAGTCCCTCCACCAAGTATTCCCCCACCGGTTAGTAGTACTCGAATGTAGTTTTACCGATGTACCAGCAATATATTTATGACAAGTTTAGTTCTTAGTGACTCAATCGAACTCCTCTACTAAACATTGTTGCCAATGGTCTTGTAAATAAAGTGTACAAACATGGTACATTGAGAACGGAACAACTAATGACAAGATTGGAAATAACTTAGGAATAGCATAAGAAATACAAACAACAGAGGAAATGCAAATGACATAGGACATGAGAGACACTCTATGAAAGGGCCATTTACCTGAGGATTTGGGGATACATCTGGCATAAAGAATGCACTCATAGTTCCTTGTCAACTCAAGCTAACACCTATTTATTCATATTGTGGTAAGCAATGGTCAAAGAGGAAACTGAGTTCTGTGCAAGGAATAGAACCTTGCATGTTTGGAATTGGTGCTCCAATGCACTACCACTGAACGAAAAAAGATCTTTTACTGTTGATACTCATACAATAATCATACATGACCAGGGTCCTGCAGACTACATTTAAGATTTAATTAGCTGTGAATTACCCACCCCTTGTGTCAAAAGATAATTCTTTTATATGTTCTTACTGAAAATAAAGGACCTGTGTAACAATTTTCCATTTCATTCATGCAGTCCTCAACATGTTACTGCAAAGTAAATGAAACATGGCCAATAATTTATTCCAATTCAACAATTGGTTGATATAATGTTCTAAAAGAAGACTTGTAAGTGTCCAGTGTAGGGAAAAAAACAATAATACTGAAAACCTAATGTTCTTAAAAGATGTCCCAGTGATGCATGTTGTTGATTTGCAGAAACCTCCAGTTGGAGCCAGAGTATCAGACCCAGGAAGATTCTCTTCTGGCAAGAAAACTTCTGTGAGTGTTTCATTTTGTTTCTGTGTTATGTGGTCTCAAGGAATCTTCCTGAACAGTCTCTCTTGATTATAGGAAGGAATTGATTGCAAAGAAGCATCAACCCCCCCCTTTATTTTTCCTCCAACTTGTTCATTATTCAGAGGGAACCCAAAGGGTTACTCCTTTGTAGTAGAGACAGAGAAGTGTTTATTCCTCTTTGCAAGGAAGGGGGGGGAAGAGGTGGGGGTATTAAATGCTTAACTAGGGTGTGGTGGGTTGCTCTCATGGGTCAGAGACTTTCTGGTAAATTTTGTGGGTAGGATAGTAATCACAATAAGAAATTCTCAGGGGGGAGGGAAGCCTGCTGTCACAAGACAGGGACATAGCCAGGGGGGTCCTGGGGTGCTCGTGGACCCCCCCCCTTTTTTTAAACCTTCTTTTGGGCAAAACACAGCATGGAGGTTGTCATGTCAATCTGGTGAGTACCCTCTCTTTGACACATTTTTTTTTGGGCCCCCCCCCTTGAAGAACACTGGCTACCCCCCTGAAAGAGCTCATTTTAATTACCCATTTATTTTTTCTCTGCAGATTACAACATGTTTTTCCAAGATCTTTAATGAGTGTCCACTTCATATCTATTGTACTGGGCTTTGGGTAAATCCTAGCACAGGAGGTGAGACAGAAATTATTATGATTGTTTTTACTGTTATTTTTATTGATATTTGTTAGGTGGTTTTGTGCCATGCTTCCAAAAATTTATGTGATCGTCCAAGTCTGCATTTAAACACACAACATGGTTTTAACATACTTTTAGCTTTACCTTTTTTTTAATAGCATCTTTGTTGAATTTTTTTCATAGAGAGACACATCATTGTTGGAGCAGAGGAAGGTGTTTATTCTCTGAACTTCAGTGAACAATTACATGAAGCAGAAATGGAACAGGTAGAACCATGGCTATTCTCAACTTGTATAAGAAATTACATTAACCCTTTCACTCCCATAAGTGACCAAGACAGAATTTCTCCTTACAATATCAATACAGTATCAAGCAGGCAGGTGATGAGAATAGGGAAGAATGTCAATTACAGGATTATTAGTTGATCCAATACCAAATTCTCTGAACTAACATCATAAGAATTGTGTGGCAGATAGTAAGGAGAATTACTAATTAGATCTTGGGAGTGAAAGGGTTAACTCACCTCAGCTCCCTAAGAAATGTGTAAAGAACAGTATGGAAAATATGTATATTGATGTTGGGGTGTAAAGGGTTATCAGTGGTATGCTACAAACTAGTATACAACAAACCCTCACTGCCATTGACTATAAGAACAAGTAGTAGCCTTGCCATTTTTAAAAAGCAACTTAAAACATTTCTATTTAGGAAAGCTTTTAATTTGTTTCAATAGTTCTAATGTTTATTGCCTTAGAATATCTTAATTTTTAATTTGTTTAAAACTTTACCTTATGTAAAGGGCTTCTGAATATTGTTTATAGTTTTAGCGCTCTATAAATTCCTTATCGTTATCATTATCATTATCATTAACCTTTTATTATGCATAACTTTATAATTCACTCGCCAGTTTTCTTGCCTTTTTTCATAGATTTGTGCTAAGAGATGTACGTGGCTGTCAGTTTTCCAAAACGTGATGGTGTCACTTCAAGGTAATGTTCCCCAACCTAACCCTTATTATCACCTACTGATAAGGGCCAGGTTGTTCAAAGCTAGGTTAAGATAATCCAGGGTTACAACTGTGAAATCTGGTTTCAGATCTGAAAGCTCTAAAAGAAAATCCAGTCTAACTCTCTTTGTCCAAAATATGATCAGTGCTTGCTCTCGATGATTTTCATTATTCTCCTCACATGGGTACTGGAAACTAAATAGACAGGGTTATGAGATGTTAGCTGTCGATCAGTTGGTAATTGATGTGACATGTATATTTGCAGGATCTCCCAGTTGTGTGTACATGCACAGCCTGCAAACACTGCACGATAGGCAGCAAGCTTTCTTTGCCACAGTCACAAGGTAGGGCTTCTGAGTTACAAACATGAAATCTAGTGGTTGGGGGCCCGGAGACCGGGAGGATCGGGGGTCAGGATAATGGGGGGGGGGGGGAGGGGAAGGATTACCCCCGGAAATCTGAGTGGGGATGTGCTGCCCAGTTCTCCAAATTCTGATTTTAATGCAGACCAAGACGTACCATGTTCAATACCCATTTTCAAAGGGTAGATAACAGTGTCCTACGGGTAAATCGGTATCAAGCTGATGAATATTGACGAAAAAGTAATGCTCTATCCACCAGATAGAGAATTACTCCGTGGATTGCGTCATCCACTCTTTAAACAACCGGATCTGGTCTCTAAAATCTATATCCGTTTTCAGGCCTTGCTTCTTTTAGTTACACCTGTTATTAGAATCTATTGACTCTTTGAACCGCAAGAGTGCCTGGCATCAAATTTCTCCCAACAATATCAGCCTTGTATCAAACATTTAGGTCATGAGAATAAAGGAAATGATCACCAACTGAAGCAGCCCTTGATTGTTAAACAAATTCTCCTTGTCAGAACCTTACGAAGTGTCTCGAGAACAGTATGGAGAATATGCATATTGATTTTAGGGTGTATAGGGTTAAAATCGTGTCCGATTTAAGGCCATCACTATCAAAATCTATACCCGTTTTCAGGCCAGTACTGTGCAAAAAACATCGTATTCAAAATCAATTTTATACAATAAAAGCCCGCAATTTCAGCTGTCACGTTTTGTGAATATTAAATTGAAACTGTCTTACCGTATCTGAAGTTACTAGCTAGTTGTAGAGCTCTTCATTGGGTGCACTATTTTCATTTTTTATTTCTTTAATTCTCTCTCCTAAAGGAATAACAGAATTTCCGAAACAAGAGGTTGTTCCAAGTGCTGTATTGGTAAGCTATTCTCGTGTTAAATTTTACATCCATAGGTACTCGTCGCGCTAGGCGAATGGAACGGAAAATAACGTACACTTACACAACTGGATAATTAATAACTTTATCAAAAAACAAGTGATTCTGCGTGCGCTCTCATTGGTCGATGGTGTGTAATGTAATAGTATTCAAACACGGTTGTGACGTATTAGATTCATGCGACTTTATCGATCAATTATCGATCGTTTTCACATAACCATGGTGACCTTACTTATGATCTACAGGAGGACAGACACAAAGATGACGCCACCATGAAAAACAGTTGGCTTTTTTTAATAAAACAAATAGCTTCTATGTTGCCGTTTGTTTTTATAGTAACAGATCACAGAAGACGTCAGAAGGTGGTCAGAAAAGCAAGGGCAAACTCGGCTGCACCTCGTGCGCCACCCTTTTGGTCTTACCACATTCTGAGGTCGTCTGGGGTTTAATTTTAATTCTGATCAGACGCACGGCAACGTAGACACTATTTGTTAAACAGACCCACAATGACATTCCATTTTTTTCAAGCTTATAGCTCCCTTGCAATTCAACTTAATCTTTTCTGTTTTTGTTGTTTTTATTGTTTTTATTTTTACAGTAAATAACCCGTACAACAGTCAGGTGTACCTCTGTGTAGCGGTGCAGAAGAGTGTCTTTCTCTACCAGTGGTATGAGCCGTGGGGAAGGTTCATGAAAGTGCAGGTAATCATTCGGTAGACCTCGATGAGTTTTAGCCCGAATGTCTTGAAACTCGACTCCAACCTCGTTGCTCGATGTTTGAGAGAATCGAGAGTGAGGATTGAGTTTCTAGAGAATCAATGTTAACTTAAATCTAGATTGCGAGCTGGTCCTTTTTAGTAGCTCTTCTTCGCGAGCCGGCGAGAGGTCTGTAAGGGGTCTGGTACTAATCAACCAGACCCCCAGCAAACCTCTCCCCGACTCGTCTCAAATCTTCCTGCGAGCGGAGGAACACGCGTCCTGCAGCGCATGTAATGATTGCCTGCTCGCAGGCTAACTAAATGCGAGAGCAACAGTGAAGTGTAGCTTCTCCTCAGCGCTTACTTCATGTTTTCTTTTCTGTTGGCAGTACTATGATGTGGATATTCCGTCACCACCGCCACTGTTCGAACCGCTTGTGAAACAAGACCTGGAATACCCCATGATATGTGTTGGAGTCAGAGAATTGTAAGTAAAGTAATATATAGATTTAGCCAAACCTAGAAGCGGAGCTCGCATTTTTTTTTCCCGCACGTCCTAAGGGCATAACGTCTTGCCCCGACCAGGACTAAAACCCGGTTCGTCCGACTCGGAGCCTAGTGCACTGACCACTGGACTACTGGACAAAGCCGTGGCGTTGGCGTGCCCGCGGCACAGTTGATCACGCATGTTAAAAGTAGCACCTTGTACGATCGGTCGTACGGTCGTAAGTCCAAATTTTTTCGGCTTGATGGGTTACTAGTACCATTTTGTATAATTATGGGGCTACGCTCTGCGAGCTCCGCCATGATACAGTGAAACCTGTGCGATCAAGCTGATTTGTGAAAGGGGTAACTTGTTTTTCTGAGATATTTTTCTGTTTAACCCCTAAGGGTGACTAGCATCTAATTTCTCCTTACAATATCACCCCTGGATCACACGTTAAGGTCACTAGAATAAAGAAATGACCACCAGCCAAAGAAGCTCTTGATTGTTTAACAAATTCTCCTTGTCAGCACCTTAGGAAATGTAGAATTTGTATACTGATATTAGGGTGGAAAGGGTTAATAATACTTTTTTTATCCTGTTCTCTCGGTAGGGCCGATGGTAGCCTTCATTTTGAATGCGTGAATTTGAATTCCTTATCAAATTGGTTCACAGAACTACCTGAAGGTAAGGAAAACTTGTCTGTTTTTCCTAAAAAAAATTATTACTGTTATTGTTACGGTAACCATTATCAAGCAAAGAAATGGTCCTCAAAGTTGGACTAAAATTTTGGCAATTGCAGAAAAGAAGGCTGAAAATGTCCAAATCCTAGTTGGGCGTTTCTACCAACTGAGCTACGAAGCCATTTATGTCATTACAAATTGCTATTACCATTATTATTGTTACAATTATTGTTGTTATCTCTGCTAAAATGCATTTACTGTTTTGACTGTTTGTTTTACCGTCTATTTTGTATAATATTTTTAGGGAAAAAAATTGAAGTGGATAGTGTGGACCACTTGGAAAAAGATACAGTTCTTGTTTCATTCAACAGTATCCTTTCAGCTTTGTAACAATGATTGTATGAATTACTTTTGCGTAAAACTTGGAAAACAAACAGTACCACAATAAAGTACTGCTCACTAGCTTTCATATAAATGGTTACACTCTAGGGTTTCACGCACAGACTCACAAGTTAGCACCACCTTGTATAGCATAACAAAACGATAGAGTTCATGTTTGCGGGCATAGATATGTTTTTGGCCCGACTCAGAGTCGTTTTATTATTTATTATACCGTACAGCGTGGTTCTTGTGTAACGTTGCTCTGAGAATGGCCCAAAACATATTTATGCCTAAGAACGTAAACTGCATTAATATTATTATCACTTTGGAGGGCGTTGAGAAAATACAAGAAACTGAAAAAAAAAAATGACAACAAACCAGTCGGATCAATCACGCGGGCATGTGAGCAAATTGGCCCGCGAAATGCGCCACAATGCTCGGCAAAGTGATGATAATAAACAGCGAGAGATGAAAGAACAGCATAGTGGTATCGTTGAATGGTACACTCTTACTTTTCATCCGCAATCCTAGAAATAAGACCAACCTTGTACAGGATAATGAACAATACCACACGAAAGTGTTACACAGAAGCTCTCATTTGAATGGTGGCACACAAGGGTTTTCTCCTCAGATTTCAGATTTAATATTGAGAGCCACCTTGTACCACGTAATTAATAGCACCTCATGAAATTGCTGCAGCTTTCGTTAGAGTGGTCCGCTTTGCACTTGATTTATTGGCACATGATTGAAAAGTTAACCCTCTAGAAACGAGGACTGATTTCCTTATTGCAGCCTTGTCTTGCCCGAGCAAGGCATTTCTTAGCTCTCTACCTAGCTGTGTAAATGGGACCAGCGATCTGTCAAAAATTACCAAAATTAGATTCTGAAAATGTCAGTACCGAATATTCGCGACGTACTTTGTCGTCGTTCCAGTTTTGAGTGCTAGGCCTACTAGATGTCAGCTAAAATTTTATCTTCCGTTTAACTTGTGGGAACAGAAATAGTCAAGTTTGTCAATCTGGAAGGCAAAACGAAACAGTTCAGAAGACAATTGTCAGAAATACATTTTGATATCAAGCCAGAATCTGTGGGTAAGTATTTTCAATTTTATGATAAGCTGAATCATACACGCAGTTTGATTGGTTCTTTCGTTTGATCCATTAAAGGTCAGACGCATAGACATTTTGCTTTTTCATCAGAAAAAAAAAATAACTAGATTCCATGTTACTGTAGGTCTGTGACACATATCGGAGACACACTCAACTTTGCCTTCTGTGACACTCTTTTGTGCGTACCAAATTTTGACGTCATCTGTAATCTATCACTGAACAGACGCGTGGCAGCATGGAATCTGTTCGTTAATGTGATAATAATAATTTTAAAAAAAAAGTAGATGAAAGTCCAAGTTTCCACGTTAAACGTTGAAAGGTTATTGTGAAGAAGATAGCCGCGTTTCTTTTTGTGTCCGATGTTGTTAGACATGGTGGCCTGAGCCTGGTTGTTCTAAGCTGGATTAAGATAACCCAGGGTTAGTGTGAAATCTGGTTTTAATTCTCAAGGCTTAAAATGAAAGTTGTCTACAATATGGTGATCGGATGCTCCGATAAGAACAGAGAAAATTATCCAAAAAGGGCTTTTGAACAAAGAATTAAAGAACCCCGGATTAACATTTAACCTTGGATTAGTGCCAATCAGCCTAAGAACAACTGGGCCCTGGTGTTTGGCACCGCGCCAATTGCAATGGCCAATCAGATCGAACGTAGAAAACACAACGGACCAATAAGAACTGAAAGCAAAGGCACGTATCCAATGTAAAGAGCGGGAAGACACGTGCAATCAAATCGTAACTGAGCAAACGTTTAAGGTAAATCACTGTTGTCGTTGTTGTTATTTTTCAGTCTGTTTACAAGGTAGCGTTCTAGCGTTTCATGAGCATGGGTTGCAGGGAAGAAGTCTTCACAGTGGAAAGGTAAAAGGATTGGACGTTATTAAGTCCATGTTAGCAATGGAAACCATTGTCGACGACACGCTTTTCATGGGAAACTTTTTGGAATGGAACAGTCCATTTTAGGGTCTTGTTCTTAGTTGCTAAGCCTTTGAACAGGAGCGAGGCTGCGGTTCACCTCGTTATGATACCAACCTCGATGTCATGCGAACTAGTTTCCTCTCTGTTCTAAAGTCAGGCAACAGAGCACAGAACTGTAAAATTGACTGAAAGTGACACAAGTGTTATTGATCTGTTGTGTTTAGAGAGTACTGCTTGCTTGTTTGTTTGATCGTTTGGTTATTGTTCACCATGTTTACCTTTTCTTCAAGGTTAATGTCGAGATGAACGATCCCCGACGCACGTTTAGACTGCTGGGATGCGAGAGGTAGGAATGCATTACTTATGGCCTGTTCGATCCGTGCACTGTCTGATCTCGCTCGTGTTAACAACCCTCTCAGAGCGTCGACATACCTGAAGCTAGATAAATAGACCGAAACAAAGACAGACAGACCGATGGACAAACCGGCAGACAGACAGACAGACAGACAGACAGAAAGACAGACAGACCGACAGACTAACCAGCAGACAGGCAGACAGACAGAAAGGCCGTTAGACAGGTAGAGAGACAGACCAATAGACAGACAGATAGACAGACCGATAGATAGGGCGACAGACAGAAAGACCGTTAGACAGGTAAAGAAACGGACAGACAGAAAGACAGACCGATAGAGAGACCGATAGATAGACAGACAGACAGATAGATAGACAGCCAGTCAGCCGGACAGACAGACCGACAGACAGCCAGAGAGGCAGACAGAGAATTAGATGACAAGTGAGTTCGTCTGTTCGTCCGTGGGTCCCTCAGTCTGTCACTTATACACTTAGACAGCAGAAAGTCATTCAGGCAATCTCATTTACAGGTTTATGGGTTAGCTTTTGGCAAACAGAGGAAAAGGACAACAGAATAAGGAAGACAAAGTGTGGTTTTGAATGTACAAGTTGTGTCAGACAGGATTAATTTCGTTATTTTATTTCCCAAACAGCATTGCAGTTGTTGAGAGTAAACCTTCCGACAACCCTAATGCACCGTGCAATCTGTACATACTGGCCAGCAACCGCAACCAACAGAAGTAGTCTTCCCCGGAGGAAGAGGCTCAAACATGCGGTGTCTACCCCTGAGGGAGGCAAATCACCTTCAGAGCGCGGAGCATGCAGTTCGTGTTTAATTACCCCAATCTAGATTTCACGTTAAACTTTTTAGAATTCGTTTACGTCGCAAGCAATTTTTATTACGGGTTCGCCCATAGTTATGTTTTTTCGTGGCGTATGTAGAGACAAAAAACCTCGAGGCATTATTTAATTATTAATGAACTGAAAACTCTGAGAGGATTTTAGACGAACCCGCGAAACATGAGAGTGGTTGAGAAATTATGAGTTGTTGTATTGTACCTACTAAAAATCGCGCCCAACTTAAGAGTTTGAAATTAGCATTGAAAAAACACTGAAAAACCATGAAGAGTTCCTCAGAGACGGAAGCACTCAGTATAGAGACTATGTACAAAAAATACAATTTTTCTATTTTTTTAATGTTGTTTTAAGTGAAACGATTGTATTTGTTATCGTAAAATATTTAGATGCACACTACAAAAGTCAATGTTTTTACAGTAGGACTTGATTCCTTTGCAAAGTATTTTGCTAAACAAGAAGGAAAACTTCGCATCTGATTAGTAGTTTTGTATCAAAGAAAACATTTTTATCTTAAAACCTATCGCTGAGTACTTATCACGCCATGTTAGTAAATTCTGTTACAAACAATCTACATTATCGTTAAGCTGTTGTTGTATTCTCTCAAATATACATTTTTTCAACAGTGTAGAGCGCTCTTCGATTGCATGCCGGGAAGAAGCGAGCGACCAAGTCGCCAGCGGCTTTAGTTTTGAATCTGATTGCCTCAGACCGTGGTGCGTGTTTCTGGACCCGATGCAGAGCGAAATATCGCGAAACCGAAGCAATTTTTGAATTACATTTGACACTCAGTCGAAAATTGCTTCAAGCTGCTCTTAATTGGACAACCATCAGATTACAACAATATGAAGCTTCTCAATCAGAAAGTTAAACAATAATTTCAGTTTATTATACCATTAACAATTTCACAAAGAGGGATAACAATTTTTTTCACTTTTTTATTGAATGTACAATTGTAAAGAATACTTTCTTAGTGAAAAATGTTCAATTTTAGATCAATGTTTGGATTAATTGCTATCTTTAATGATGATATTTTTAATTACGATACCAAACATCTGAAAATGTAATGGCGTATTAATTCGTGCGCTACTCAATTTATTTTTTTAGCGTTTTGTAAAGAAGTTTAAAGTCATTTTTAGTATAATATCGATAAATATTGCGACTATGTTTCGAACAGTGACTCAGAGTGGACGTTTCTCTCCACCAGTAATTTGTACATAGCAGTGGCAGGTTAAATTTAAAGCTAAAATAAATACACTGTTCTTAATTCAAACAATTCTTCGTATAGTCTTGAAATTCTCTGCTTAGAACAATGGCTCATTTGCCACGTCCTCGTTGCTGTCGCCGTCGTGGTTTGCTAAAGGTTCCTAATATAGCTCCGCAACCAGCAAGTACGCGTATTCAGCTATGTGTTCACACAAACCGAAGCAAAGTGACGAAATGTATCAGATGCTTGTCTTTCTGAAAAACAATCTTTATGGTAAAGAAACAGGCACTTATAGAAGGAGCATATTCTTTGGTAAATGTAAACAGTTGTGGGGTTAATTCGACAACACAATGTTTATGAAATTGTGCAAACACTGAGAGTTGATTGTCATGATAGTCGGTATTCAAAGAAGGAGCAGATTCTTTGGTAAACTTAACAGTTGTGTGGTTAATTCGACAACACAATATTTAATCGCAAATTACTTATTTTTTGCAAATCATCAGTATATTTCAATTTTGCAAATCACAGATCTTCATTTCGTTTCGTTTCGCAAATTAAAGTAGGCCTTTTTGGCTGCAGACATCTCTAACTTTACTCGAAGCAACGATGTTTGAACGTATGTGGAATTTTAAAATCCTGCATATGTCGGAAGTAATTCCTTTCTGTCGGTACTGTCTATATGTAAGATTATGGGCGGAGTTACGCCTGCAACTAACGGCATAATTTTCTTCCAGTCTGTAATGTCTATTTGTAAGATTTTACGCGGGTAACTAACGGCGCAATTTCCTTCAGTCGTTATATTATATACTGTGAGATTTTATGCCGTTAGTTAACGGCTTAAAATCTTACAGTATATACACGGACGCAGATAGAGGCGTAAAATCTAACCTGTCTGCTAAAAACGTGTGTTATAGAGGGATAATGATATGCATGACGCATTCATTTTTACGCTGTATTTGCATTTACTAATTTTCGTGCCACTCCCGTGACGTCTGGCCTCACGCGAAACGGTGGTTTATTTGAAACTACGAGTCAAACCTCGCAGAGTCAAACATAGCAGATATATTGTGAGTTATAAAACATTTGATCGAGTTGCCATTCGTTTATAACCTCAGTGTTTTAACCGCCGAGATGGAAGAAAACAAACCAGAGAAGAGGGGGTAAGCTGTTGCTCCATTATTCACTTTCGGATCTAGTTAAAAAATGTGATCGATTACAATTTCTCTTAACTTACGCACAGGACAAAGCGAAAAAGTGCAAGGCTACCTCCGGAAGAAAAAGATGCCAGAGTAAGTGCCGTCAATGTTGGTGGCATTTTTTCCACGTTTTTCCCTTTTTCTTGAAATTTCAGCAGTACTTTTCACTCTTAATTCAACGAACTTGTTGCCTCGTCATCTTTAGAGATTAACATCGACGATGGGAATAGTTCGCGCTCCAGCTGATTACAAGATAATGGAAGGTAACGATTAATTTGCAGCTATAAATTCGACGGAAAGTTAAGTACAACTGAAATTTTGTCGAAATGATCATCTCTAACGAGGATTTCGAATGAAGGCCGCTCAATGGCGATGAGACCTTACCTCCGTCTGTTTAGCATGCGGACATGCACTCTAGACAGTGTCCGCAGTTTTGGCAGAGTTTCGTCTTCATGCATTATACTCTTTACACCTTAACAGAGAGAAAATATACGTGTCACAGAATCATCGAAGAAGAAAATCAGTTGTAGAAAAATATTATAAATCTTGTTCAGTCTTTGTGTCAAATTATTGTCCGCAGTTCTTGGTGATAATTCATTTTACTTTGCTTCGACATACTACAAGAGACCACAACAGGACCGAGTCTGCGCAGTTTTAAACGCAGTTAAAAAAAACATAATCTTTCGGCAATCTGAAGAGGAGCAATATCCCATACAGTAAAGAAGCAGTTTTCATATATACCCGGTGTACAATTTTGAAATAAATCAAAAAAATTACTGTGAAGTTGGCTATCGGCCAAGAATATGCAGAATATGCAGAATATGGTAATTTAACCGAGATTTTTTCTGTTTTTGTGCTATTCATTCTTTTAATAACCTTCGGACCACTTCGTAGCGAAAACATTTGTTGTATAAAGCTTATCGAAATGGTAGTGAAAACTGTGAATCAGTTGATTAATTTCGACTTTAACAGCTTTTTGCATCCGGCAATCTGTTAACTATAATACTATCGGCAGCTGCTTAAGGAAACGTTTATTGAGACTAGTGTAACAGATTTACAGAGGAAAAATATCAATTGCACCAAACTATTGTTAATCTTGGTTCGGTAACACCAGTTATCTTTGTGCCAAATTGTTGCCGGTTGTTCTTGAAAATTAAAAAGATTTTATTTTCCGTTTTATTCACAATAGTCTAAAAACAGACCCAGCGCTGCCATTAAGTAATTGTCAGACCAATTCGTAGCGAAAACATTTGTTGTACAAAACTAATCGAAATGGTTGTTAAATCTGTTAATTAGTTGAAGAATTTTAAGTTTGACTGCATTTTACTTCCTATCCATTTTTAAGCAAAAATTTTGGGCGCGCGTATCTTCTAGGACATGTTATGCGACAGCCCGTTCAGCATCACTGCAAATTTTCTCCGCAACGCTATAGTGGAAATACTGTTACATTGGTATGTTAGATCAACATCTTCTTAATTGAACAGAACTCATAGAAGACCCAATGAACGAAGAAAAGGAGCGAAGAAGGAGAGCTTTTGAAATGTGGACTGAAGAGTCACACGAAGAGTTTGCAAATGGGTAAATATCCACCGATAACAAATATATATTTCTGATTTAGAGAGGAATTGTCAGGAACACGGAACGAAGAAAAAATCCTAGTTCCCTATGAGTATATAGACCCCAAACCTTATCGTGAGTCAAGCCATACGCTTTGTTTATAAGTAACGAGAGTTCAGCGTGGTGTTACGATCAGCATCGTCAAAAGCCAAACGCGGTGTACAGAGAAACCTTTAAGCAGAGGCGTCTATTACTAGCGTGGAAAGCGCGAGGTAAGAGCTTGGAGAAGGCGTGGGGAGAGTCACGCATGAAGAACACACACACACACCAAAAAATAAAAAACACGAACGAAAACACGCACAAAATGACTTCCGTTGTATTAAGTCATGCGTGGAGTCGAGACCTCAAGGGTTTGAAAGATAGTAAACGAGTATGACTAAACGCATTGATATTTTTTCTTTTTTAAATAAAAATGTTTCACCACAAAAGAGTTAGTTAATGTTTTAAAATGGTCATCTAATTTATTCGCAGACTGGCTGAACATGGAAAGAAATTCAGCAAAGTGGCTAACCATCTTCCGAGAATGGTATTATGGCCCTATAAATATTATTAAACTGGATCCGTTCGTGTTAATCGTCAGACAATAATATAACATATTTTCAAAGAATTCAGTGATTTGAGAGTGCTCTAGATTCAAACGCTAGCTTTGGCCAAACTTTTCTTGGTGAGAAATTTATTTTTCCGTGAAGAATCTAAAATCAGTCGTTTACTCAATTGGGGAGTTTAAGAAACGACGACAGTGACGCCGTGGACATCGTCGGTCGAAAAAATAAACTTACATTTTATCTACGAATCTTGCGATACTCTAAAGTCATTTAGAATGTTTCTCACTACCAGGACTATTTCAAACTGAAAATAGAACACAGCACTAGATTAGAAATAGAAATTTTAAAAAATTAGCCGTCGTCCTCCAGAGAACGCAAAGATTGGTCATTTCACGTTGTTGTTTTGCGGTGGACGCAAATTTACAAAGATTTATAATGCATGTACACAGTTGTTCGGAAGCTGATTAGCGCTAACCCAGGGTTAAATTTTAATCTCGGATTCTTTATTCCTACGTTCAAAGTTCTTTTTTAGATAATTTTCCCTATTCTTTTTAGAGCATCCAATCATCAATTTGTAGACAAAAATAATTATACTGAAATTTCGTTTGAAGCTTTCAGATCTTAAATTAGATTCACACTAACCCTTGGTTATCTTAACTCAGCTTTGAACAACCCAATCCTGCTCATTAAACCTTTTGTTTAGTGACGTTCCCGTTGCCATTGCCGTCGTGGCTTTCTTAAACTCTCTATTATTTGATACTGAGTGTCCTTCGGTTGTTTTTCAGACTGTAGCAGACTGTGTAGAACATTACTACATGACCAAGCCCTTAAACTTCAATTTCGAGAAGGTGAGTAGAACGTTATCGTGGCGACCTTGGGCACACAAAGGCCGATCAGATCAAAAGTAGATATGACAAGAAGCCTGTGAGAATTCATGAGTAAAAAGAACTAACATGAGCCAGCCTCAAACGCGGGAAAATGCAAGAGGCCACTTCACGATTGATCTATGTTTTGCGTCTGATTGGTTCAGGGGATGGCACGAGTTTTCCAGACCAATCAAAGAGCGAGGTGAAGCAAATCAAGGCACGCCCAGATCACTTCCGGTGACAAAAATAGGCAAGCGCATGAATATATATAAATATAGATAAATAAATAAATGGAAAATGAAAAAAGCGTGCGTGGAACCGGGATTAAAAAGCCTGATTACTTGTCTTCAAATTTTGTACGTGTTCTTTTCTTGCGACTGACTAATACGCTGCGAAATTATTTCCTTCCTTCGACCACCTGATACGCAAAGGGATTCCTCGTAGTGCAGAAAAGCATTTAATTGCATATTCATTTTATCTCACTTTCTGTTGCTTTACAATCAACAGTGGCAGGCTAGGGAAAAAGCCAAAGACGACGGTTTAAAGCCTTCATCAATAGAGTCCAAGGGTTCTTCTTCTGAAGGGGCTCAAGCATCAACCACATCTGAGCCCCAGTAAAGCTCTCCTGTAAGTGAACTATTGGACGTAACAAGAGAGGAGAAACTGAGGAGAGGAGGAGACAGATTAAACGCCGAGAACTTTAACATAATAATCTATTTTAAAGCTATGTAGATAAGTTTCAAGTGAGGAAATATCGAGTAAATCTTTGATTATTTAATAAAATTAATGATCACGAAGAACGAAGGTCGCAGAAACGTAAGTTTTATGTACAATCTTATTTGCCTACATTACACAGCCTTTGACTGGAAGATTACACACATGGAGTCAACATTTTCGATCGATAATGAACGCCTAGCTGATCTTTTTAAACTGCAACCCTTTTGATCCCATTAAAAAGTACCCCCGTGGCTCGGGAGGGGGTAGTAGGGAGGGACAACCCCCGTGGGATTCTTCCTCATTAGTGTCACAGGAAAATGACTCCTCTGGCCTGGTTCGGAAGAGGTTAGGAGGGAGGGAAAAATCCGTGGGATTCTTCTATCAGTGGTTTTATCTGGAGACGGGAAAAATTAGCGAGAGATTTCAGGTCAGAAATCTGTAACATCTATTCATGTTCAGGCATTCAAGGCGTAATTGCTAAAAAGGGACACCTGACCAGTGAGGTTCTCTCGTTGTTTAACTACGAGAATGTCAATAGCAGCCGTTAGAAGTGTCGAGGGCGAAGGCTTTTTAACAATTTCTTTCACCTTTAAGGGTAAAGATCGAAAAATGCTGCGCAGCAAGAATGAAGTCTTGTCGAAGGCTTTGACGAGAGCCGAACTTTCCTCGAAGAAGAAAGCGAAAAAGGTGAAAAGAAGTGCTGATTTAAAAATTAGCATAGGAAAAACACCGAAAAACCATGAAGAGTTCCTCAGAGACAGAAACACTCAGTATAGAGACTATTTACAAAAACATACTATTTTTTCTATTTTTTTTTAAAGTTGTTTTAAGTGAAACGATTATATTTGTCATCCTAAAATATTTTAGATGCACCTAAACCTTTTGTAAATTCTGTTTTTACAATGATCTTAAAGGCTACAAAAGTCAATATTTTTATGATAACTTGTGATTCCTATCCAAAGCATTTTGCGAAACAAGAAGGAAAACTTCGAATCTGAACATTTTTATCTTAAAACTTATCGTTGAGTACTTATCCACGTAAGTAAATTCTGTTACAAACAACCTATATTACAGTTAAGCTGTTGTTGAGTTCTCTCAAGTAAAAATTTTTTACATCGTAGAGCGCTCTTCGTTTGAGTGCCAGGAAGAAGCGAGCGGCGCGGCCAAGTCGTGATTGGTTTTGATTTTAAATATGATTGGTTCAGACAGTGATGCGTGTTTCTGGACCCAATTCAGGGCGACCTAAAGCGAACTAAAGCAATCGTGGATTACACTTGACTCTCAGTCGAAAATTGCTCCAAGGTGCTCTTAATTGGACAACTATCAGATTACAACAATATGAAGCTTTTCAATCAAAAAAGTTAGACAATAATTTTAGTTAGTTATATCGTTAACAATTTCACAAAAAGGATCAACAATTTTTTTCACTTTTTTATTGAATGTACAATTGTAAAGAATACTTTCTTAGAGAAAAATGTTCAATTTTAGATCAATGTTATGATTAATTGATATCTTTAACGATGGTATTTTTAATTACAATACCAAACATCTGGAAATGTAATGGCGTGGTAATTTGTGCGCTACTCAATTTATTTTTTTAGCGTTATGTAAAGAATTTTAAAGTCACTTTTAGTATAATATCGATAAATATTGCGACTATATTTCGAACAATGACTCAGAGTGGACGTTTTCTCTCCACCAGTAATTTGTAAATAGCAGAGGCAGGTTAAATTTAAAGCTAAAATAAATACAGTGTTCTTAATTCAAATAATTCTTAGTACAGTCTTGAAATTCCATTTCTCCCTACTGCCGTCCCGTCGTCCCTTTGTTGTGTGCTTAAATGATTCTTTCTCATCTCCCTCGCGCCTTTTAGGACCAACGACGACTGGGTACGAATCGCATCTTCACATAAATAAATTCGTCCGAGACCCACGTAAAGTTCGTTAGTTCTTTAACTTGAGAAGAATACAGCTGCAATTTGTTTGTGGTTAAACAGTTAAATCCCAAATGGCACTATCCTGGAATGTTTGGAGCGTAATGGTTTAAAGAGGTCCGTGACTATAGATGTTGTTCCTCGTCACATGTCCGAACCGAATTTGGGTTATGTCCTCGTGTACCGGTACACAAAGGAAGGAAACATTAACGAACTGCGTCATAACTCCATGTATGGTTATAAAAACAAAAGGAATTCCCTCGTGTACCGGTACACCAGGACAGCCCCCGAATTTGGCATATTATTGCTCTGGGTACAAGAATCAGTTTGACCAATCGTGAACGAGATGAGATAAACGCGCGCAAAGAATGCTTCAAGGAGGAAAGGCTTGCTATCACTTTGCACGCGCAAGAGTCGTTGAATTCTTGTCATCTGTGACATCATTTTGTATTTTAACAGCATATAGCAGTGCAGAATTGTGAGTAAACATTTGATCAAGTTGCCATTCGTTTAAAACCTGTTTTAACCGCCGAAATGGAAGAAAATAAACCAGAGAAGAAGAGGTAAGCTGTAACTCTACTGTTTACTTACTCAGAGGCTATGGAGCGAAAATGCAGTTTCACAAATTTTCTCTACTTTCTTACAAGGACAAAGCGAAGAAATGCAAGGCTACTTTCGGAAGAAAAAGATGTCAGAGTAAGTGCAGTGAAAGTTGGCAATAATTTTTTTACGTTTTTATATTTTGTTGAAATGTCAACAATGTTCTTCGCTGCTTATTCAAACTGAAACCGTTGCCTTCCTCTTCAATTTTAGGGATCAAGGGCGAAGATAGAACGAGTCTGCGCTCCGGCTGACTACAAGATAATGGAAGGTATATATAGCGATGAATCTGTAGCTATAAATTCGACGGAAAGTTAAGTTCAACTGTTAGTATGTCGAAATAATCATCTCTAACGAGGAGTTTCAACAAAAGTCAGTTACGCACTGTTGCCTAAGACCTCTTGTGTCACTGAGGGAAAAAAATCAATCGCATCAAACTTTGTTAATTTCGGTTCAGCAACACCAGTTATCTTTTTGCCAAATTATTGCCCGTTGTTCTTGAAGTGGTTAAAAGTGCAAACAGTTGCCCCTCCGGCAATCTAAGGGTAAAGGAATATTATTACATAAAGGGAAAGCAATGTTGCATATCTAATAAGCTCGTCATAAAAAGATTGATTATCGCGGTTTTTCTTTAAATTCTTTGGTTTTTGTGCTTATTGCCGGAGAGCAAAAGACCATGGTGAAATAAAAAATTTGTTTTGTGCTTATCTACAGAAATGGTTGTTAAACCTATAATCAGTTGAAAATATTTCAAGTTTAAAAGCCTTCTTATCGAAATTTACATCCCCGTTTCAGGGCGCGCTATCTTCTAGGGCATGTTATGCGACAGCCCGTTCAGAATCACTGCAAATTTTCTCCGCAACGATGTTGCGCAAGTGCTGTTACATTGGTGTGTTAGATTAAAATCTTCTTATATTGAGCAGAACTCATAGAAGACCCGGTAAGCGAAGAAAATGAGCGCAGGAGGAGAGCTTTTGAAAAGTGGACTGAGGAGTCACACGAAGAGTTTGCAAATGGGTAAATATCTATCGACTACGAGCATATATTACTGACTTTGAGAGAATGCTCAGAAACACGGAACAAAGAAATAATCTAAGTTCCCTATATGAGGATCCCGACCCTTGACCCTTTCGTGAGCTAAGCCATACGCTATTTTTATGAACAAAAAGTGTCCAGCGTGGTGTTACGATCAGCTTCGTCAAAGGCTAAACGCGGTTTAAGGAGAAACCTACACTTCAGGTGTCTATGACTCGCGTGGAAAGCGTGAGGTGAGAACTTGGAGAGGGCGAGGGGAGAGTCACGCGTGAGGGAAGTAGCCTCCTCCCGCATAAAGAATGCAAACAGAAAACAAACAAACAAACAAATGACATATGTTGTAAAAGTCATCTTTGTAGTCGAGATTTCAAGGGTCTGGAAGATAGTAAATGAGTATGACAAAACGCATTGCTATTTTTTCTTTTTAAATAATACTGTTTCACCATAACAGAGATAGTTAATATTTAAAAAAATAGTTATCTCATTTATTTGCAGACTGGCTGTACATGGAAAGAAATTCCGCAAAGTGGCTGACCATCTTCCAGAAATGGTATGTATGGCCCTGTAAAAGTTATTAACCTGATTCCGTTCGTGCTAATCGTCAAACAATGATATAACATATTTCCAAAGAATTCAGTAATTTGAGATTGCCCAAGATGCAAACGCTAGCTTTGGCCAAACTTTTCTTGGTGAGAAATTTATCTTTCCGTGAGGAGTCTAAAATTAACCTGAGATTTCATTCAGTTGTTGCAATTGCTTAGACCCCGTGAAAAAAAATCTTTGATTGGAAAGGGATTCTTTCTTAAATTGCATTAGAGTCCTACGTCTAGATAACAATTAAGAATAACATTTTGAAACGCATTTCGGTTCTTAGCCGTTTTTTAATGAGTTCCTCGCCCCAATCTCAGATAAACCTCTCCCTGTGCCATGAAAGGTCTGGGTACGAGACTTCCCCCACCCTTGTCCTAAAGCCCGTTGGAGCGTTTACCATACTATTTGATACCGAGTGTCCTTCGGTTGTTTTTCAGACTGTAGCAGACTGTGTAGAACATTACTACATGACCAAGCCCTTTGATTTCAATTTTGAGGATGTGAGTACAAAGTTAACGCGGTGACTTAGGGCACACAACGGCCAATCAGATCAAAGGTAGACATGACAAGAAACCAATGAGAATTCAATGAGTAAAAAGAACTAAAGTTAGCCGACCTCAAGCGCGGGAAAATGCAAGAGACTACGCCACGATTGATCTATGTTTGCATCTAATTGGTTCAAGAGATGGCGCGAGTTTTCCAGACCAATGACAGAGCGTGGTGACACAAAATCTGGGCAATTCCTGATCACTTCCGGTGGCAAAAATAGATGGTTGCATAAATATATGAATAAACAAATAAATGTTTAAATTGTTATTTAATCAAATTGACCGTGCAGAAAAGTATTTAACTTGATATTCATTTATCTCACTTTCTGTTGTTTTACAATCAACAGTGGCAGGCTAATGAAAAAGCCAAAGACGACGGTTTAGAGCCTTCATCAATAGAGTGCAAAGGGAGCTCTTCCGAAGGGGCTGGAGCATCAACTACATCTGAGCCCCAGCCCAGCTCTCCTGTAAGTGAACTATCGGACGCAATAAGAGAGGAGAAACTTAACATTTCTGAGAAGACAGATTAAATACCGATGACTGATACAAACTTTCAAATGGTAATCTGTTTTTAAGCTATGTCGATAAGTTTCAAGCGAGGAAATATCAAATAAACCTTTGCTTATCTAATAAAATCATGAATGATCAGGAAGAACGAAGGTCGCGGAAACGTAAGTGTTATGTACAATCTCATTTGGCTACATTAAGCCGCCTTTCGACTAAAAGATTACACACATGGAGTCAAAATTTTCGATCGATAGTGAATACCTAGCCTAGTGATCTTTTCAAATTACAACCCTTTTGATCTTGTTGAAAAGTACCCCTGTGGCTCGGGAGGGGGGTAGCAGGGGGGAAAACCCCGATAGGATTCTTCCCACATAATCATTAGTGTCACCGGAAAGACTCCACTGGCCTGGCCGAGGAGCGGGAGTAGCATGGAGGGAAAAACTTTGTGGAATTTTTCCCTCATTGGTTTTATTTAGAGAAGAGAAACTTTAGCGAGAGATTTAAGGTCAGAAATCTGTAACATCTATTCATGTTCAGGCATTCAAGGCGTAATTGCTAAAACGGGACATCTGAAACGAAACTACATCGTAATCTGATGCAATGTTGCCCAGTTCCCCCTCGTCCAAACATGTACCGCCTTGCAGGTTTCATCAATTTATTGAAGTTGCCAGTTTGCATCGGATCAGTGAGGTTTTTTCGTTGTTTAATTACGAGAATGTCAATAGCAGCCGTTAGAAGTGTCGAGGGCGAAGACTATTTAATAATTTCTTTCACCTTTGATGGTAAAGATCGAAAAATGCAGCGCAGCAAGAATGAAGTCCTGTCGAAGGCTTTGACGAGAATCGAACTTTCCTCGAAGAAGAAAGCGAAAAAGGTGAAAAGGAGTGCTGATTACAACGAAATCGGCGGCAGTTTAGAAGGAAATACGACTCTCTGGTTCAATGGTCAACCAGTCGACTCGAGTCTTACCAATGAAGCCGCTTGGAAGGATGGAGCAATATTGAAGATCGGATCAGAAGCTTTCACTGTGGAGATAAATCCTCCGACGGTCACTTCTCTCATTCTCCCCACTAATATGATGTCAGGATTCCCTGTAATGCCTTCTCTTCGAATGGAATTTGGCGACAAACAGTTTTGTCGCTATAAATGGTTTAAATCCTCAAATCATAGTGACGAACAGGCAAGTTCAGTACCAGCTTCCTCACAAGAAGTCTTGAGCTGGGAGGAAGTTGGGAATGACTTCTTGTACACTCCTTCTGTACTTGATGTTGGATGTTATCTCAAACTAGCTTGTGCACCAGGAAATGCCGAGAAAATCAGTAGCATCACATCCGAAGCAACAACTTCTGTAACAGTTGCTGCAGGCCCAGGAACATGCCCCTTTGATGCCAGACACATGTACACTAAAAAGAAAACTGCTGACTCCAGCACATTTAGGGTTTTGTCATATAACATCCTAGCAGAGGCATATTCCAAGGAAGAGTTTGCGCAGAAGATTCTGTTCCCATATTGTCCACCATACGCTTTGGACATTAATTATCGTCAGCAGTTACTGCTTAAGGAAATTCCTGGCTACAATGCAGACCTTATTTGCCTTCAAGAATGTGGGTCGAAATTGTTTGAACATAATTTAAAACCTGCTCTTGAAACAATGGGGTTTAGAGGTCTTTTACGATGTAAAGCTGGAGAGGTTCCAGAAGGAGAAGCCACATTCTTCAGAGAGAGCAAGTTTGCTTTGATAAGTCAGCATGACATTGTGTTAAATGAAGCCCTCCTCGATGATCCTGCTCAAGCAGTAGTCTTAGATCATGTCTCAGCCATTCCAATTTTACGTGAAACTTTGCAGAAGAGAAATGCAGTGGCTCAAGTTTCAATACTCAAAGTTTTGGGTATTGACAATCAATATCTCTGTGTAGCTAACACACATCTTTACTATAAACCAACTTACCCTCATATAAGGTTGCTTCAGGGTGCAATCATTTTAAATCACTTGCAGGAAGTCATTTCACAGTTCACTTCTAACAGCATGAGCAGCAATTCCAATAAGCAAGAGATTCCAATGAATACCACCAACGCAGCCGATTGTGAGTCCCTCCAGGTAACTAAAGATGGAATGCATGATCAGCCACAGATTGCTGTGATATTCTGTGGTGATTTTAACAGTCTGCCAAGAAGCGGATTGGTTGAACTTCTCACAACCAGTCATATTGATTCTTTACATCGAGACTGGACAGTATGTGAGGATAAGGAAGAACATTGCACAACCTTAAATATCAGCCATGATTTTAATCTTTTGTCAGCATGCAGTTTTCCTCCATTTACAAACTACACCGGTGGTTTTAAAGGAACATTAGATTATATTTTTGCTGATGGAAAGTACCTTGAAGTGGAATCAGTTCTTCCCTTGCCAAGTGAGGAGGAACTATCATGGCATTTGGCATTGCCTTCTGTTGTCATGCCATCAGATCATTTGGCATTGGTCTGTGATCTTAAGTGGAAGTTGTGAATGCGAGCCATTAATATTTGGACAGCTTAATGAATAAGTCCTTTAAAAAATCCATTGTTTTTTGAGCATTTTAAGCTAATTTATTCCTAATAATTATTCATTATGAACATTTGGCTATCTGAAACTTGGATTGTTCTGACAAAGTGGTAGATTATACTTAAAGTACAAAGTACAAAGCTGAATTTTCAGCCATCTCAACTCTCTGGTATTACAACAACATCGCTTATATTTCTTAACCCTCTGGTATTATAACAACATTGATTATACAACTCTCTGTATAAAATTTGTTTTGATTACTTTTGGCGGTTTGAGGTGGTTTTTTCTTTTTCCAAATTTTTTATGTAGTATTGGATGCAACACAAAACACTAGCCTGCAAAATAGCAAAGGCTAGGCAGGTGGTGAGAGAAATTGTTCACTTTACAAAATAACTCTAGCAGTGGGTATTGCATATAAAAGCCATGTGAGTTAGCAAATGTTGTAAATATGTAAGCTCATTAATAATTGATGAATTAACAAGGTCTTATTTCACGTACTATAAAAAGTAGAACCACATTATGCCTTTATGAAAAATGTGCATATTTCACTTATTATATGATAATTAATGTCAAATCACTTAATGGTACTCAGAGTATAGAAGCAAAAACTCAAAGATGGAATAAAGATTGAATTATTTATTCAGCTTGTTGTACTATGAGTCTTAACAGGAACATGCAAGACATGTAATTGGCGAGGATCAATTCCTTTAGTCGCAAATCGCCATTCAGGTCTTCCTGTTAGAAGTTTGTCCTTGTACTTGCAAGATCTGAATGGTAATATCTCGATGAAGCTGCTTATCATTACCTTGGTGAATTATGGCATTTAGTGTTGTAGAAAGATTGCATTCTCTGGCTCCAAGTATCTGTTTCATTGGTAATTAAATGATGTGACAGGAGGAATTAATGTGATGTAACCTTAAAATAGATATTTTTGTTAAAAAAAGAGATCCTATAAAATTCCCATGACAAAAAGTCTATTTGAAGTAGCCTGTGTAATATTTTCATCATCATCATCATTTATTTGTCTTTTCAGCCCTTTAACTTCCAAGGTTTTTATGAGTAATTCTCCTTTCTGTCTGTCCTACAATTTATGTGATGTTAGTTTGGAGAATTTGGAATTGGATCAACCAATAATCCCCTTATCGATATTTTTCTTTATTCATGTTACTTGTCTGCTTAATATCTTACTGATAATGCAAGGAGAAATTCTGTCTTGGTCACCAGCAGGACATAAAGGGTTAATAGGACAAAAAAAAATTGTACAGCTTTACGATTTATATCAAAGATGTAAGGCTAAAAGAAAATTACAGCGGGGCACACAAGTTATGTGGAAAAAAAATCCATATCTTCACTAAGTAGGATGTAAATGACATATTTTACCATCCAAAATTTTCTTTGTGAGCTGCTTGTAAGAAAAATGACACAAAAACATTTTAACCCCAAGTTGTTCCATGGGAAAACTCTTGTTACTGAGAAATATTAAACTCATGTTTCTGTGTAGTATCCTGTTCATTGTCAAGATTATTGTTAGGTAATTGGCTGCAGTGAACAACTTTTTTAATTAATAACACCTGAAAATATTTCCTCTGCTCTGTACAAAGTCCATCTTTGGATGAAATTGTTTGTAAAACCCATATGGTTTTGTAGACAGCCCCAATCACTAACGTGCTTTCAAAAAGAAGACTTTGACCCTATGATAATTAGTGTTGATCAATATGAAACTTAGTGTATTGTCAGGCAAACAAGGACAGGAGCTTAATGATATTGGATCAGTTCCACTTCAAATTCTCTAAAACTAGCAAGTGAGGAAGCATATAAAGCACTCACTCAGGAGAATTGCTTCTTAGATCTTGACCAAGGGTTCAAGCTAAGCCCCAAAAATTAAAGTGACATGGCTTAAAAATTAATTTAGGAGTTTTTGTATTTAATTATGTTATCCCCTGTTCCATATGTTGAATATAAAATAATGTATATCTGACCTATTCCTAAATCACACCTGATCTTTGACTTAACATCAAAAAATGCTTTGGATACACATTTCTTTTGTGGTTTTAAACAGACAATACCTATTTCTTTGACATCTGTCTATGTCTGTTGATTACACAATGTCAGGAAACCAGTATGAGGAAATCAATATACGAAATGATGTTTTACACATGGTATTCATATTGATCTCTTTCACTCCCATTATCTTAGTTTCCATTTATCTGACGGGCTGTCATCTTTATATCAAATAAAATATTTAACTACTTATGATTTGAGCTCTGAGAAGTTGGTTGAAAATAAAAATGTTCCCTAGTAAAGGTTTTTTTTCCCTCAAGAAGAAATTACCTATTTTAATGGTCACCTGTAAGGTACTGTAAGACTTATAAATATGCGTAACTGACGAAAAAAGTCGTGATCAATCTGGTGAAGTCACAGCTTTAAAAAGAAATATATTGTACCTTGAAGACATAACAACATATTTTCCTTTGTCGACAATTTCCTCCTTGGACACATTTTTCCAATCATTTTATAGTGTGAAGTTGTTGTTTTGCCAAGAATGCGCTATTGCTTCCATAATAAACTTAGGACTTTTTAACTTGTCAAAATGTCTCTTGCACAGAGGTTATATCCGGCTCAAACTTTGACATAAGAGGAACAAATAGGTAAACTTCAATAATAAATAAACGTTTGAGACACGCACAGCAACTTCATGCCCGATCATGTTGTTGTTTTGCTTCTGACCGAGCACGTGGTTCTAAGCATGTGACCAAAGCGAGCATTGCTGATTGGATTAGATATCTGGGGGCTTGGTCATAGAGGAATAAGTAAGCAAATTATCAAGGTATTTGTTTTCCTTGCGTACTTTCTGTAAAATTGGAAAGCGCTCAAGCACGGTTTCCCGCCGTTAAAACCCTTGATTCAGATGCAAATGGCTTTTTAACTGGTCTATCATTCGCAGTACTCGTGACCTCAGCTAATTGTGAATTCATTATTCAAGAGATCGTGTTTATTGTTGCGTGTTGATCCGAAGATATTGGCGCAAGATTTATCGTACATTATTTTTATTATGGCTTGATCAATGCCGTCATCAAGCGAAAGAGGTGAAATATCGACAATTTTCTTGACCGTGGACAAATTATTTTTCTCCCCGATGCACGTGTTTTATGGTATACATGAACTGATTCCGTCCGAAAATGGCTGAGATTAGGAGTTTAACTTCTGCAATGAATGAAGATGATGCTCCCATGGAAGAGGTGAGCTCGATTATTTTGTCTAGCTTCCTGCTGGCCCTCTTTTTCTCTCGATAACCATCTTATCGTTTTATGAATTGCAGGTGAAGCCTCAGATCACTGTGGACAATGAAGAATTCAGGAAAGTTTTCGAAAGGCCATTCGCTGCTCCGCTTCCATCGGAGTCTGCGCCTCAATCATCACAAGTTCCCACGTCTCATTATGACTACAACTTCGACGAGAAAGATTACAAATGTAAGTCATTAAAGCTGCTTTCGTTAGTTTTTTCAGCGAGATAAAAGAGCATTTATTTAGTTATCAGCTGTATCGAAGTGTACATTACTAATTAAGCATATTACATTTTTAAGCGAGGGTACCACTCCAATTATCTCTTAGACTACTTTCCAAAATATTAGACCGTTCAATTGAGCATGATCTCGGATACGTTCAGAATTTCCGAAAGACATAGCCTTTTCAATGGTCGTAAATCTAGGGTGACGTCTCAAATAGTCGAACGATTACAAAATAATCTTAGATATTTTGAGAGATTGCAGTTTCTTTGTAACTGCAATTTTCCGTGAGCTGCAATAAAGACGAGCAACATTGTTACAATGTACTGGAGATGAAATTAGCAGTTGGGTGGTATATAGTAACATGGCTTTACCGCGTTCAGGTAATTAACTGAGATTGCGAACAAGATCAATGTACTCTTTCTTCTACTGCCTTGTGAAAGAGCTATATAGATTTAGCTAAAAATGTTGAAAAATAGGAGATAAAGATCATGTCTTACTCTAGAAGTAAGGTCCTTGAAAATGAAAGGGAGAGTGGAACAGAAAAATTCTCTCTAGAAAACAACCCACTTAGGAGAGTTTGGTCGCTGAATGAGCTCAGATTCAAGGGATTTATGATAGATGAGGGCTTTGAACTGACTACATATTTTATTATAGATAACCAAAATGTTCTGCCACTACATGCATCAGCCATGTTTGCTGGGATTGAAAAATGGTTTTATTATTTTATGGGTTAAAAATAATCCTTGGATTTCACTGTGCACTCTGATACTGCAGAAATGAGAAGGAAATGGAAGACTAAGTAAATGAATTATAAATGCAATGAAAAACAATTGAGTGAAAATGGCAAAGTAAGATTTCTTTGAATTCCTCATCAGACCTCCATTTTTTGACTTGTTATGTCACCTATGCCTCTTTAAGAAATGCTGTTTCAGTTTCTGAAATTCTTGAAACTCTTACTGGGGAGTTAACTCTCCAATTCACAGAAGTGATCAACATGAAACTTTTCCTTACAATATCCTTACACTGTAGAGCAAACAGGTATTGGGAATACTCAACTTATCAGTTAGAAATTGTTTTCTTGACTTAGCTGACACCAAATTCATATAACTGCCGGTAATTTGTAAGGAAATGTCTGGCAGTTAGGGAAGAGAATTAAGAAGCAGATCTTAGTAGTAAAAAGGGTTGTGCATCAACACCACCCCCTCTCCCAGCAACTCCCCTGGTATTTGAACTTTTGAAGGTTGGTTTGTTCAAATTCCCATCCTCAGGGCCAAAATTGTGTTCAAATTCCCCGCTTAAATGATGAAGTTGATGATAAATTTTTTGTAAAAGGCAAAATCAGCGACTGTGACTTTCTACACATCGACCAAGCTTTAAAACCTAGAACTTTTGGACCATTCAATCTTTTTAAGTAATTGTGAAAAGTGGCGAGGAACACCTGGTGTTGTGACCCTGAAGTTGATATATGAAATATAAAGCCATCTAGGAAAAGTAGGCAGTTTAAGACTACATGTGGCAACTGATATAACACAATTTTTATGGCAAAGAAAAGAACTACAGGTTTTACATGTATAATGATGCTAGAAGATAATGTTGCAGAACTGAGATTTGTCTCGCATGCAAAACAGAAAACCTGCAGCATGCCACATATTTATGAGTACCCTGTTCAACAGGAGAAGGAGGGTTCAAGAATATAGTGACTAATTGGCACTCAATCAATAATCAAATGGTAACAAATAATCATATTAACACTAATAATAATTATAATAATATTAATAATGCTCACATTAGTAATAGTAATGATAATTTATAGAGGCTAGCTTAAGAACTTCACTGTTCCTCTATCAGTCTATCCTCTTGACTCCAATAATGATTAAACTATGCTTCTTTCAACTTTGCTCCTTGACTATAAATTATTTTTTCTTATTTCATTGCAATTCCATTTTTTGTGAGACGATTGTTTCATACAGCAAGGCAGTGCATGTTAAAGAATATTCTGCCATTCCATCTTTCAACCATTTCATCACTCCATCAAATAGGGTCACCCTGTCAATCTTAAGGTCTCATATTTTGGACCTTGCTCGCTTTGCAAATTCAGCAGTTCTTTTGGGCATTAGCTGCTAATGAAAATGATAAAACACTTTCTCTTCAAATAAATAAAATGTTTCTCCAAAGTCTCCATGATGTGCAGATTAAAGCTATTTAGATATTTCGCCAGGAAAAGTCTAGTTTTCAATTGTGTGCTGGAGACGCCATTTTGAAATTATTTTGAGATGTTTATCATCTTTTGTAGTGTTACAGCAAGAACTGCAGAAAGTATATCTTTGGATCACTGGGCATAATTTGCTGATTCAATTAGTATCTAATGCTCTCTCTTCAAAGAAAACATTTTCCACTTAAGTTTTTATGATGCACTGATCACACCTTTTAAGATGTTTCAGCAAGGAAAAGCTTTGTTTTTTCATGCACCATCCTGGAATTGTTGCGAAATATTTATCATCTTTTGTAGTACTCCTAAACAAAGAGTAATTAGAAAAGGGAAACATTGGGTCAAAATTGGGTCAAGATCAGAATTCTATTGTTACTATCACTCACTCACTTACTCACTTACTCATCATAAGAACATTTGTGGCCTTGCCTCCTATAGGAGGCAGTAGCTACAAAAATTGCTGTCCAGTTTTGTTGATGTGTCTGCTTGTTGACAGAAACTTTTTTCAACTTTTCATGAACAGCTCGTCGTGTGTCCTCCACCAGATACCATGTACCTTTACAAAGACTTCATTCACGTTCCAAAAATCTGGACAAGCTGAATAAAACAGATGGAGGATCTTCAGAGCACAAGAGGAAATCTCGAGAAGGTATTCATGTCCTTCCTAAAATCAAAGAAGATCAAGTGTCCCTTGGGGTTGAGGATGATAAAGAAAATGAAAAAGTTTTGAAACCCGTCAAAGAAGGTAAACATCATCATCGACACCATGGGCGGCACCATAAAGACCACAAAGATCACAAAGGACAAAAAGATATGAAAGATGTTGGTGAAAAACCTCATCATCATCATCATCACCATCGTCGTCATCATCACCATCCCCACCCTGTCTTGCATCATCACAGAACCATATCAGAGAGGGAGCAACTGGAATCTAGGCTGCGCTCGGGAGTGTTGACACTCAGAGAGATTGAGCCAATCCAGGAACGCTTAGCAACTGAAAAAGATGAAGCAAACTGTCTAGCCAAACGAGATTTGGAAGAAATGGCATGTAAGTAGAGCTAGGTATTATAACCAAGAATTAACTGTCAGATATTGAGGGGTAAACAATCAAGGAGAACGGGTTGTGTCTAATTTGACTTAGGGTCTGGATGCACTGGACTGACAAAATTTGTTTGGCTCTACTAAAAATTTTGACAAAATTTGTCTCTGCCAAATTTTCAATTTGTCAAGTGTGGGTGCACTGAGACACAGAAAAATATTTGTTAACAGCATGTGTCAATCACATGAGACAAGAGCCTCCATTGCAATGTTCAAAGAATTTTCAAATCTACCAAACATAGCAGGCACCATAGATTGGACACATAAAAATAAAGGCTCTAAAGAAAGTGCTGTCAATTACTTTAGCTAATGTAAATTGTAATAGTTGTATTCTGAGTAAAGATTGTTATGCAGCATACTGAGGTACGAATCTTCCATCTTCAGCGTTTGATTTCTGCGCAACTAAGAAATAATTTTAGTGGGCTTCGGGTTGAAATACTCCAACTATAAATAAAGATCAAATTTTCATTATTGACATTTTTCTTCAAATCATGGTGTGTAAATTAACAAATCTGTCCGATTTCACGCCTGACAAAAATTTGAACTGCTCCGAGCAGGACGACAGCGTCTTTGAAGTTTGGTGAGCCTTGACAAAATTTGGTAGATCTAAACATCACTGGGCGCGCTTGTCTCAAGGAATTGGTAACAGATTTTTTGCTAAGTAAACAAAAATTTGCCTAGTGTGTCAGGGCCCTCAGCATCAAATTTCTCCTCATGATTTCACCCATGGTTTACCCATTAATTAACCTCTTGTCACTAAGGAGTGACCAGCATCTAGTTTCTCCTTACAATATCACCGCAAATCACACAGTAAGGTCACAAGAATTAAGGAAATGATCACTTATTCAAGAAGCTCTTGATTATAAAACAAATTCTCCTTGTCAGTTCTCAGGAAATGAATAGAGAACAGTAAAGAGAATATGCATACTGATGTTGGCTTGTAAATGGTTAACAAATTATTTCTTTTGTGTATTTGTGCAGGGCATCGTTTTGAGGACCTAAGAGGCCTCAGAAGGAGACGCCCTCATCTTCCACGACATAAATCTGGCATGTCGACGCATTTTAGCAGCACAGACATAACCAAAAGTTTGCAGAAATTTCCTGTAAAGTACGACCACAGCCCTCATGAGGTAAACTGCTGTGAAAACTCTATTCAGTTTGGTACTTTGATTTTCATGCCTATGAGGCTCAGGGAAAAAAAAACAGAAATTCAACACAGGTTGCTCGTCAAAGCCTCATCCAAGTCTGTTTTTAACCCTTTCTCTCCTTAGGTCTTGTCAGTAATTCATCTTACTGTCTGCTGCACAATTATTATGATGTTAGTTTGAAGAATTTGGTGTTGGATCAACTAATGATTCCTGACTTTATATTTGCTTTTACTTTCATCAATTGTCTGCTTGATATTGTCTTGATATTGTATAAATATTTTACAAATGGTACAATAATTAAATATTTAGGTGACTGATGTTTCTAAATTACTAGGCATTTGTTGAGTTGGAGCAACTGACAAAGCATGGAGAGGAGATGGAATGGAAAGAGACAGCTCGATGGATCAAATTTGAAGAGAATGTTGAAGATTCAAACCGTTGGGGAAAGCCTCATGTGGCTTCACTCACCTTCCACAGTTTACTTGAACTGCGTAAAGGTTTAGAGAAAGGTATGAGAACTGGTGACTATTTCTCAAGCTTATTTATGCTTTATGAAGTTAACAGTTCAAGGAGGGAAAATCAGCTTTGCCCTTCGAGAGATAAGAGAAGGCACCTTCTAATTTCCTCTTACATGAATCAAACATTAAGGTCACAAGTTGAACCCTTTAACTCCCAGATCAAATTTGTAATTCTCATTAATGTCAACCATACAATTCTTATAATATTAGTTCAGAGAATTTAGTATTGGATCAACTGATTATCGCCAAATTGATAGTTTTCTTTATTCTCGTCACTTGTCTGGTTGATATTGTATTGATATTGTAAGGAGAAATTCTGTCTTGGTCACCTTTGGGAGTTAAAGGGTTAAAGGAAACCATCACCAACTTGAGCAGCTCTTGATTATTAAACATTCCAATTCTCCTTGTCAGCACCCTATGAAATGTATAGAGATCGGCGGGGAGAATTTGTGCCAAGGGTTGATAATTTCCCTCTTCATTGATTTCACAGGGACTGTACTTCTGGACTTGGAGAAATTTGACTTGCCAAGTATTGCTGAGGCCGTGGTAGAAAACATGATGATTACAGACCAGATCAGTCAGACAGACAGTAATAAAGTTCTGGCAGCGCTGCTTTTACGGCATAGACATCAGTATCAGATGTCTCCTCCTATCGCCCGACGGCCTTCTTCATATAATCTTTTGGCTTTGGCAAGGAAGGACTCCAAGCCCTCAATGCCAGTAGAAGATTCTGAAAATAAATTACCAGAGCCTGAGGAAGGCGAAACGTTGGATGAAGGAGCTATCCGGCTAAAGATTGATGAAAGTGATAGCGATTTTCCTGTGCAAGAAATCAGTCAGGTAAGTCACACAAGCTTCTCCATGCCAGAAGAGTTTATTCTAGAAATTGGCTAAAGAAATTGCAGAGGGTCCCATTCTCTCAAGAAGTGGGATACCTCAAAAGGTGATCGCTTCTGGTAGTTAAAGGAACAATGTTGTATTTCTCTTTAGAGTTAATGAACTAACATTTTTTCTTTAGTTACCACTGACTGCTGATGAAAAACAAGACCAGAAGGCAGAGGTTTCCTTCGCACCAGAACCTACTGTGGTTGAAGAAGGTTCTGGAAAACAAGAATCAGATGTCAAGTCAAGAATTCCTGAAGGAGCAGAGGCCACAACTGTCCTTGTAGGAACACTTGATGAACTCCAGTATCCAGTGGTGGCGTTTGTCCGTCTTGCCAAAGGGTGCCCCTTGAACATCACAGAAGTGTCTATTCCAGTCAGGTTCATGTTTGTGTTGTTGGGTCCAAGCTCTGAGGAGGAGTCGTATTACGAAATTGGTCGATCTGTGGCCACCCTAATGTCAGATCAGGTTCGTTATAGTCAGATTTATATGACGAGCTTTATTTTACACGTGTTTTGGTGGGTTGTTATCCATAATCTATCAAAAGATAGACACACAGTCATATGAAACAAATAACTTACATGTTGCCGTGGGTTAGTGCAGTAACAGATCGCAGAAAACGTCAATGAACTCGCACACTGATTATAAAAGGAACAACATTTGGAGGGAGAGAAGACATTCACTGTTAGAAGTAATTGTTTGGTGTGGTTTTCATGTTTCAGGCATTTCATGACATTGCATATCGCGCAGATTCTCGTGAAGACCTGCTGTCAGCCATAAATGGCTTCTTGGATGACACGGTTGTTTTGCCGCCTGGAGAATGGGACCGTAATGTGTTGTTACCAATCCTTATTTCTCAAAGTAGAGCTATGGCACGAAGAAGGAAGATGGCTAAGGCAGGTAAGAACAAAGATGGTGAATGTTTCTGTATGAATTGGCTTAGTTTGACTGAAAGACTTGACGACAGGCGAAAATTGTGGGAAAAGACAACGTTTAGGCCAGTAAAGTAATACCTATAGAGAGGTAATTACTGTAGTGTGGCTGGGATTATGAAGTTCGTAACGATGGGGCAGTGTCTAAGTTGAGATTATATGGCGAATTTCGATTAAGTGTTGTGTAACCAAAATCATTGTAACCACAAGAGGCAATCAGAACAGAGGAAAATATGAGAACCAATGAGAACTCCACGTTAAAACTAGCAAACAACTTAAAGCGCGGGAAACCTAAGTGACCAAGTCGCGATTGGTTTGAGTTTTGAATCTGATTGGTCGAGAAGGTGGCGCGATTTTTCTAGACCAATCATTAAGTGAAGTAAAGCAACCTAAAACGCGGGAAAACGCGAAGGATTTACTTGTGATTGGTTTTGTTTTGAATTTCATTGGTTGAGAAGGTGGCGCGAGTTTTGTGGACCAATCACAGAGTGAAGCAAAGCAACCTAAAGCGCGGAAAAACGCGAGTATTCAACACGTGATAGGTTTTATTTTGAATCTCATTGGTTGAGAAGGTGGCGTGAGTTTTGTGGACCAATCACTTCGCAAAGTAAAGCAAACCCAAAGCAATCACGTTTTACTCTCGACACTGAATTGAAAATTTCTCTATGTTGTCATTTACAGCTCTGGCTGCAGCTGCTGAGGAACTAGAAGCAGACCCATTGGATAGAACAGGTTCATTCTGTGGTGGCCTTGTGGAAGACATCAAACGACGAGCTAAATTTTACCTCAGTGACTTCAAAGATGGATTTAACTTACAGTGTCTACTAACGTCGATCTTTCTTTATTTTTCTGTCTTTGCGCCCAATGTTGCATTCGGTAGTCTTCTGAACAAGAAGACTGATGGATGGCTGGGCGTGTCAGAAGTAATTCTGGCCACTTGTATGTGTGGAATTTTATTTGGTCTTCTCGCGGGACAGCCACTGATTATTATAGGTGCTACAGGGCCTGTGTTGGTTTTTGAGCAGACTATCTATGTGGTAAGATATGTTTACTCTCTTTTCTATCTTCAATTTGTGTAATAAAAATTAAAAAAAAAAAAACGGTTTAGGAAGGTAATTCGAACCCTCATTCCCTTCGATTCAGGTACAGCCGCCTATGGAAAAAGGCAAAGGCATGCTGAAAACCTCCGTATCATATGATTGGGTGCATAATTGAATGGTGAATTTAGTAACGAGTCTATTATTTTTATTTTACACTTTTTTACAGTTCTGTGAGGAGTACGGGGTGGAATTTCTTCCATGGCGCTGTTGGATTGGTTTCTGGGTCATGATGATTCTATTTGGGGTGGTTGCTTTGGAAGGCTGTTTTCTTGTACGATATTTCACCAGGTTTACAGAAGAAATATTTGCCTGTTTGATCTCTGCTATCTTCATCTATGAGGCTATACACTTTTTAGAAGTGGTAAGATATTTACATGAATCTAGTCTCATTCACTGGTTTACTGGTAAAAAGCATACGTGTGTAATGAGCTAAATTATTCGTTGTAGGTGTTCTCGAAAAATCCTTTGCAGAAGACGTACGAACAATCAACCGAGTCTCCTGAATATGAAGTGAAAGGACAACCAAATACTGCTCTTCTTTCCACCATCATGGTTTTGGGAACTTTCTTTGTTGCTTTTTACCTGCGGAAGTTCAGAACAAGCTATTTTTTTGGGAAGAAGGTTTGTAGTGATCATGAATAGCGTGTGCTGAATATTTTCTCTCAAAATTTAAATGATGTTGAACACTAAATGTTTTGCAGCCTTTTGGTAACATTTCAGTATTTAAGCTTAATCCTTAAACTCAGATATCCATTATTTAGTCAGAGGTTGTTGGCTGAAATGTAGCTGAAGAATCTCAAAATTCGAACTTGAAAATTTAGTTAGAGTTCATTCTTAAACTCCTGTGAATATATTTGTGATTCTCCCCTCCAGGCGTTATGTATTTCCAAGTAAATAGGGTAAGAAAAGTTTGTGTTACATCAAGATATCACCGTGAATGGGTTTCAATAACTTTATCATAAGTGTCTGCCCATGATGTAAAAGGCGGCTGTATCCGGTAAAGGGGCCGTAAAGCGAAAACCCAAACACGAGAGCCTGCGGGCAGCTAAACAGATTGCGGTAAGAGGTCTTACAGGCAGCGGTAGACCGCCAGTGATCAGCTTTTATTGGAGCCACTGGTATCCTGGTACCCTGTTTGCGAGGCAGAGCAATTTTCAACTGAGTGTCCACAGTAGTCGTGGAATGTGTTGGTTTTGTTTCACTTTGGTGTGTGATTGGCTTATAAAACTCTCAACCAATCATCGGTCGCTTTAGTTCTATTCCTTTGTTCTGATTGGCTGTTGCGTCAGGAGTCTATTTTGGATTTGGTGTCAGACACGCAATCGAAAAGTGTTTTAATTTATGAAAACTGCGGCGAATTTACCACTGGAGTGTAAAGATAGTTAAGCAAAGGTTGTTGCCATTCTTGCAGCTCACGAAGACTCGACTTTTTTTTCTCAGGCCAGACGTCTTGTTAGCGACTTTGGTATAGTCATAGCCATGGCTTCCATGTTACTCTTGGATGTCTTTCTTCACGATAAAGTCGCTACGCAGAAGATTACCATCGGAGATCCGACGAAAAGAGGTTTTTTACCAACAAGATACAAAGAGAGAGGTTGGTTTATTAATCCTGGAGGAATGGAAAGACCCATGGCACCTGGCTGGATTTTTGCAGCCATTATTCCAGCTTTATTTGTAGGAATCTTGCTATTTATGGAAACTGAACTGACGGGAGTACTCTTAAACAAGAAAGAAAACAAACTTTTGAAAGGCGCCGGCTTTAATTTGGACCTAATTGTTATGGGACTTCTGTCGTTTATTTGCTCCATGATGGGACTGCCATGGATGTGCGCGGCTACTGTACGCTCGGTGTCACACTTAAATGCGCTGTCCATCTGGAGTACGTCTCACGCTCCTGGTGTTAAGCCACACCTGGTCGAGGTCAAAGAACAGAGGGTCACAAATATTGCCATACACGTACTAACTGGTCAGTTCTTAGTGATTTGTGAACTAATTTTAATAGTGTCGAAGCAATGTGGGGTCACATTGGTTTTTCTCTACTTCGCTCTGTGATCTGTTTAGAAAATGCTACATCGGTGGCGGGGGGGAAGAGGGCTGGTGTGTTGCAAAATAATTTGGTTTTATCAACTGAGTCGGTAATGTTGGCTCCCGTAAATAGTTTCTGAGGCTCAAGTTTCGATTGTTACTCTTTTTCAGAGCTAGATCTTGGTTAGCCCTTCGCTTGGTCGAAACGTCAAATTGCTTGCCTACATTACCAACTCAGTTGATATAACCAATTTGTCTTGTTGTGACGATTTAGTTATTTACGTTTTCCTGCGCGTTAAGAACTTGGCTTATTTTTCTCTAAGTTCTCATTGGCTCCTTGTGATGTTTCTTTGTTCCGATTGCCTCTTGAGACAACGGCAGAAAGGGGTTAGTCTCTAAAGAAACTCGTCGGTGGGAGATTAAACAATATGATTTAGTATTATCAACTAAGTTGATAACGTAAAGAGTTCCAAAGCGTACGTTTCGAGTGTTAGCCCTTCGTCAGAGCGAATTAAGAGATTCAAATTGTTGAGACCCACTCTGGTTTTAGTTTTACGACGCGTAACGGACGTATTGCTTTATTACAGGGGTGTCCATTCTCCTCGCTCCAGCTCTTCATCGTATTCCCGTCTCAGTCATGTTTGGTGTACTGCTCTATCTTGGTGTTTGTTCATTGTCTGGTATTCAACTCGTCGATAGGATAATAATGATGTTTATGCCCCCCAAGTATCATCCGGATGTACAATATGTTAGAAAGGTGAGCTGTCACGAACGCAGCGGTCAAGCGTGGGGCATGCGCGAGGGATAAATCTTGGTCGGCCGTGCGCCAATTTCCCGCGAAAAGTTCTAAGGAAAATGTTCGAAATAACCGCTGTATCGCAAAATAAGCGAAAGAGAATTCAAACGTGTAAAGAAATCTGTAAAAGGAAACAAAAGAAGGGAAAAGGAAGACTCGAGACTTTTCGAACAGAAAGCTCATATGATTCCAGGTTTCTAGTTAATTTATCATTTTGTTTTGAGCTTTACCAAAAAAAGTTATACGCTTCTTAAAGACTATGACTTACTGGTTCGTGTGGTAGCTGGTAATCCGTGTCAGACAACTCGGTTCTGACAACTTGAATCATGACGTCAGCTGTGATTATAAAACGTTCGCACATGCGCAACGTTTGACCGCTGTGTTGCTGCTACGTGACATTTGTTTTTATTTAATGATTTGGATGTCAGCGGGTTTTCGACAATGACGTTGTCGTTAATGTTGTTTTACTAATGATAGCATTTGCTACATTTTTTAGGTAAAAACTCGAAAGATCCACGCGTACACAATCATCCAGGTCGTCTGCCTGATCTTTCTTATTGCGGTCAAGTTAATCATAATCGCTCCGTCGTTTCCATTCTTCATCATCTGCCTGATTCCTCTCCGTAAGGTTTTGACAAAGTTTTTTGAACAGAATGAACTCGAAGAGGTATGTCAATATTTTATTCCTTTCTCTCAAGATGTGATTGTTAATTCTCCCATTTAACTGTCACGCATTTCCTTTTAAACTAATTTCGAGAATTTTGTGTTAGATCTGCCTAATACGTTTGAGCAGTCTTGTAACCTGTTTGCTGGATAATGTGTGCATATTATGGGGTGAGGCGGAAAAGTTTTGTTGTCACTTAGGGCGAGACAAACTGATCGATCAAAATGAGCATTCACATGTACAGGTCATCGCTGCGGGATGCTACATAATCTATGGAATCTATCAGTTAGGATACATAAAGTTGTACTTCACTTAGCCATTGGACGTGTTTCATGAATTTCTTCACGTGATTTGTACACTTTTCACAGCGGCTTTTACATAACTTTGTGCTCATCTTGTGACGTTTGTCACGCAATGACTCGATGACTCATTGTGTTAAGTAACCTAGGTTGCTTTAGTTTCAAAGGGGACATGGCCCACAACTGTCGGTGCTTATTATCGAATTCTGTAGCCTGACGCGATTAGGTGTGTCTACTCTCCCTGAAGTTGAGGCCGGCCCCCTCCCCCTTCCCACCCCCCTCGCAGCTGGGTGGTACCAATTTATTCTCCTTACCCGGGAGGGGCACTGTGAGAGTAGTCTCACTTCCCCTGGAATACGACTTAATTACCTGATCAAGGCCCTAACCCAGTCTTCTCAATCCGAAGGCACGCTAACCTCCAGGCCACCACGTCTCCCGAAGCTTACTTGAAATTCTAAAATAATTTTATCTACAGCTTGACAATGAAGAGGTACCTGACGATGACAGCGACCTGGATGAGTACGACAGCGTGTACATGCCGGTGTAAAGAATACGGACATACCGAGTGAAGAAATGACCCTTACTGACACACCATTGTGGTCATGACATGATTTTGATGATCATCGTTATTGAGTCAAACCGTGAAAGGGCTGCTGTTACAATTAACTCATTTCCTAATAGTTCTTGTATCAATTTTGTTGAGATGCAGAGCGGAAGGAGTTGCTAAACGCAAAGCATCGCAAAATTTATATGTGCCTCAACATTCTCGCGGCAGCTAATGTTGCACACCTTGGAAACTTTCGTCTCAAATGGGAAAAAGGGCGAAAGGCAAAAGCAGACCTCATTTCGCACGTCCTAAAAAAATATTCTTTGTGAGGGTCAATCTAAAAAATAAGCATTCCAGAAAATCTTGTAGGAGGACCCTCTTTATGGGGTGCCTTAGACTGAAATATCTAAGGGGACCTTAGTTGGGTCCTAACGCGATTAAACTTGTAGAGGTGTCTCGCTCTTTCGTAGCTAACTTTGTAGAATTGTTAAGCTAGAGATACCGCGCTTTACGGTTGAGTGTCGTAAAAACCAAAACCAGAGTAATCACGACGGCCAATCAGAAGAAAGGAATATAACTGTAAGAGCCAATAAGAACTCAAACTAAAAACAACCAAACTGCCGTAAAGCGCGGGAAAACGTGGGAAAACGCGGGTGACCATGTCATGATGTTAAAATTTTGCATCTGATTGGTTGAGAGAGAAGCACGATATTTTGGACCAATCACAACAAAGTAAAGCAAAGACAACAATCCCGGATTGCCATCGACACTCAATTGGAAACTGGTCTAAACTATCTTGAATTATTGCATTTTTACACTTACCTTTGTTTATTTTTGTAATACAAAAAGTTCCTTTTTTTCTAGCAGACTATATTAATTAGTAAAATCGAACCGATAAAGTTGTGATCAAGATCCATATTCTTGTATGATGAGTACATAAACTGCGGAGGAATGGGTGAAATATAGCGCCTCGAGATTTTCAAATATTATGCTTCAAAACATCAGTTGCGAAATCCTGCTTGACTTATTGGTTTTGTTTGTGAAACGAAACAAAGATAACATGAATTATTTTGCATAAAATTATATAAAAAAGAGTGTATATTTGAGCAAATTTAGTTTACGGAGATGTGCTAGTCTTGTATAGATATTAAATTTTCGAAATAAGCCTGAAGTTTGCAATTTTAGTGGAAATTTTGCAGGGAGCAAGAAACGGGTCTCAGTCATTAGTGAGCAGTTGGGCAGAACTCGCGGAGAGTCCTTTGAGACGTTGCATCACATTTTAACTTTCATGTGAGAGAAGGGAGCTGTTTATGGGAATTATGTAGCAACCAACACGAAGCGACGACCATTTTGAAGGAATTAAAGAAATAAAGCTATTAAAATAAAAAACATTTTGCAAGATGTGGAGGGGTTTCTCGTGTACATAAAGTGACAAATTAGCATGAGCCTGACATTCGTATTACGTCACTTTCATGAGTGATAATATCGCGATCATGAGCAACTTACGTCACCACATTCGCATGAGTTACTCTTTGAACTGCAATTAGTATTTTTGTTGTCCCTTAATGATACTATATGATAACCTATTGTAAATAGTGCCTAAAAATATCTAGGTCATTTGTGTAAATTTAGATAATTAAATTTAATAAGGAAAATCTTGCAAAGGTTGCTAGTACATTTTTGTCTTAAAAGCGACTATTGTGGCGTTTTTCGATTGTGTTCTTAAACCAAAACCAAAGTACAGCCAATCATTACAAATTTCTACGTCATTATTAGCCTATGAGAACTAGAAATAAAAGAGGGGAAACTGCTAAAAGCGCGGGAAAACGCGGACGACCAAGTCATGATTGGTTTTCGCCTGGCGTCTAATTGGCATAGAGCAAGGCGCGAATGTTCTGGACCAATCACATGCCAAAGTAACGCAAAAACAAAGCAAACCCGGAGTACTTCAAATTGAAGTATGTGTCATAAATTTTAAAGACCACGCGTCCTTTACGTAGAAAAATTAATTTCCATTAGACGTTAACGATACTATTTTCATGTGAACATGAAGAGTTTGAGTATGAAGAGTATACGGAGCTAGTTTATGGTAAATAGTTAGGTAAGCAAGTCTTCATACTTTATTTAAGTTTGATAGATCTGAATGGCTGGAAATGACCAAGTCGTGTGCACGCTTTGGTCCATTTCTAGCTGCTTTTGTGCATTTGGTGACGTTACTATCCCGTTTTGAACATTTGAGTCCTAGTTCGGACGCTGCTGTCTGATTTTAGGACGCTGTTGTCCCATTCTGCTCGGTATTGTTTATTTTTGTGCAAACTTCCCCGTGTCAGACGCTCTGATCAATTTTCGGACGCTATCGTCCAAAATAGGGCGCTTTTGTCAAAGTTAAGGCTTTTGTCTAATTTCGGACACTTTTGGCCGTTTTCCAGTATCAGACAATTCCGTCTGATTTCAATTGCTTATAATTTGCATTTTCTCTTCGTAACTTTTCAAAACCCCTGTGAAATCAAACAAAAACAAACTTTGTGCCTTACTTTGTAAAAAGAACTTACTTGCAACGAAGAACTTTTGTCAATTTGTATGTTTATCCTGTCGCTATAGGGTGGCAAAGGGAAGACTGAGTGATAATATGCGACGCGTGTTTAAGCCCATAATTTTAATACGTGACGTGTGAATTTTTCAGAAAAGCAAGGTGAGGTGAGTGTTTTCCATTTAAAAGCGTGACTTGTGAAACAATTTACAGGTGACCTGTGAATTTTTATTCGAAAATTCGTGCGTGAGACGGGATCAGGAACCCTCCTTTGCCTCGCTTTTGTTAGGTGACAAAGAATGAAAGCATGTGATTAGTTGATCAGATGTACGTGAACCTTGAACTCTTGTTGATTTGTTTTCAGCGACCCATTATGGGCTAATTGAGAGAATTCTGGTGGATAAGTACTTAAATGTACTTAATGTAAGTCAGTGGTCTGAGCGAAGCAATCATTGTCTTCAAGTCTGACTGTTGCGTGACGGCACGTAGAACATCTTGACTACGGATCGTTGATTACGTAATTTGTTCTCGGTGCTTATGACTTAGTTCACATCAATATGTGAAGTTTATTTCTCTCACCGTTGTTTACTATCACTAAAGTTTTGTTGGTCTTTACCCTACGCATTAATACTTTTGCCAGCGTCCACCTTGTCTTTGTAATCATCTGGGTTATTTTTGCCGAACAGTTTGGATTCACTTGCCGGCACTTGGATACACTACAGATAGTAAGTTTGTATAACTTTGCTATAGGGTTTGAGTGATACTTCATACTTAAATATTTTGTCTTTGTTATGTTTTTCGTTGAATCACTCACTCACGCATTCACACTTTCTCTGATCTCATTGTGTATTCGACATTTGTTATGGCTTTAGCTGATTTACAGCGGCTAACTACAAACCCTTTTCAGATGCTTCCTTTCAAATGAACTCATAGCAAAAGTAACTTACAAAAGATTTTCTTTTTCTCCTCGAAAATTTTCTGATCCTCTTAATAATTTGAATCGTTTTTTACTGACTAGGAAATGAGTGCGGGTTCATGTATTGAATTTTTCTCGTGAAGATACTTAACGTTAACAATAATCGACATTAATGATAACTAATCCGTCTTTTTGGATGGAAAGGCCTTATACTCGTACAGGACCTTACAGTCTGTCTTGGCTAATGGCGAGTATGAACTCAAGACTATAGCCTTGTGAAAAGCGGCTCGTATAAGAAGGAATACGTGTTCTCGCAATCTTCACAATAGACTTCTTGATTCAGCATATAAAAGGGAAAATATGCAGCAACAACAAACTCTTTACGTCAGTTGAGACTCCCCAACCTTGAATACTAATGAGCTTTTCAAGAATCTCAACTTAACTCTCTCTATACACTTTGTGTGTATTTAATCGCTTAAAATGTCTTTGTAGTGTTAAAAGGAGTGCAATTTGAAAAATTCGAAACAATGATCTCGTGTAAACATGAGTACAAACTTTAAAAAGTACTCACGAATAACGAAAAGCAAATAAGACCTCTATTGAGGTGATTTTATCATTCAATTTCTGATGCTATTGTCCAATTTTCGGACACGTCTGTCCAAATTCGCACGCAACTGTCCGATTTCGGTTGCTATTGACCAATTTCGGACGCTATCGTCCGATTTCAAGCCTTATTTTTTGCTTTTTTTGGCGATTCTATTTTGGACATCATTTATTGATTTAATTTCGGACATTATTGTCCGATTTCAGACATCACTATCCGCGTTTGAGCACTCCTGTGCAATTTTGAATACCATTTTCCGATTTTGGACGTTATTGTCAGTTTTTGTACACCATCGTGCAACGTTCGACGCTATGTCCTCCGATTTTGGACATTGTATTCCAATTTTGAGCATTATTGCCCTATTTAGACACTTCTGTCCGATTTTGGACATTATGTTCTGATTTCGAACGCTATTGTTAGTTTTTGGACACAATGTTCCGAAATTTGGACACTATTGATTGATTACGAACTCTATAGTCCGAATTAGGGCTCCATTGTCTGAATTAAGATACAGCTGTACAAATTTAAATACCATTGCCCGATTTCTGTCGCTAATGTCAGTATTTAAGTACCTTTGTCCGATTTTGGACACTATTGTCCGAATTTGGACGCTATCGTATGATTTTGGACACTATTATCCGGTTTCGGACACTATCGTCTGACTTTGGACACTTTAGTCCGATTTTGGACACTGTCATACGGTTTTGGACACTATCGTGGTCTATCGCCTGACTTTGGAAGCTGGTGTCCGAATTGGACACAACTGATCGATTTTAAACACTATTTTCAGATTTTGAAAACTGCTGTCCTCTGTCGTATATATTCTATCCTCCGATTTTGGACACCATCGTCCGATTAACACATTGATTGATCTTGCACGTCACTGTCCGATATTGGACATTACTGTCCAATTTTGAACACTGTCCAATTTCGGACGCTAACGATAGTTTTAAGGCACCGTTAACCGTGTTTGGACACTATTGTAAGTAATTATGTGAGCAAAATACTGAAAAGGTTTATTGACAGGGTACATAAAGCCATGTAGTGATTTTATCTGTTACTCAGAAAATAAATATCTTTGATTTAATACAGTAATTCAAATATCAAATATCTTTGATTTAATACAGTAATTCAAATATCAAATATAACATGTCGTTCAATTTCGGCGGCTATTACAATAAAACATAATTATATTTGCTATCCATAAGGCAAAAGGTAGTTTCATCAGCAGATAAATAAGTTTATAATACTCATTAATTGGTAATATTTGTAACAGAAGGCGAGGTGCCCCCAGACACCGCGCGGCCATTGTCTTATTTTGGACATTGGTTTGCAATTTTAAATACTATTGTCCAGTTTTGGACTCTGTTGTCCGCACGTCAACGTTATTAACCGATTTCGGAAGTTTGTTTGTTTTCTTGCTTTGGGCATAATTGCCCTTAATTTGCTCTTTCCATTTGAGATCTAGCTAGTTTCTGGGACTCAGAGTTGACTCGGTGTGACTGGGCAGCATGTAGTAAATGTATCCCTCACATTCCTCCCCCTCCTCCCCCCCCCCCCCCCTCACTAAATAAAGTCATTTATGCATTCTATTTAATAGACACTATGACTAAACTTCACCTCTACCAAGGCAACCCACAAAATTTTTGCTTAAACTGATATCTGTCAACTGGATTCTGCTTTCCGTTGTTTCACCGTGGACTGTTTAGCAACTCATGAATACCGCAGGTTGTTTTCTTCATAATGAACTCAATCTCATACAGAAGGAAGCTGAGTGAATTCGACTGCTTTCAGGTCGATCTCATTTGATTTATTACTCAATTTCAGATCTTTCTGCGTCAAGCAGTACGTCAACTTATGCCGTCATCACGCCTCTCAGAATAATATATCTCTTAAACTGGGAACTAATTCCATCCCCCAGTCGAAACACTCATGTTTTTAACTCTCTTGACGTCGATAATCAATTTCTCCTTTTCAATCATCTAATTTAGTTCAGCGACACAGATTTCATTCCGTATGTTTCTCTTTAAAGTACCGGCGTTTTTAAGAACGTCCCGAGTACCTTTATGTTGCTGGATTTCGTTCAGTGAAAACTCTATTCCATTTCTGGTGGATTCTTTGGCACTTTCTTTGTTTTTAAAATTGGATTTTGGACCATTTATGCTCAACAATGAGGAAATCCGCGTTGGTCTGGAAGTACTAGTTATTGAAATGCACTTAACAAATATCGAGGAAGCGCTAAAATAACCACATAGGTTTTATTTTAACGTCACCCAACTCTTCCAGCAATGTTTCAATATTTTCCTTAGGTTAGGAGGTGGTGAGCGGATGTTCTTAACGCTATTTTAAGCGCTGATAGCCTTTGTGCGCCTGTAAAAATGACGCATATACGTATTTTTTGGAAACGGTACACATATTAGACAAAATTTGACAACGGATGTAATTACCCTCTGAGGACGAAATCGATCGCAACATTCACCAATATTTACTGCGCCTACTGCGAATAACCGTTCAGTTTAATAGTTTAATTGAAACGGTGATTATCTGATCAGATGCAATTAATCTTAATTGATTTTAAATCAAAGGCGTCAAGAAGAAGAACCGCAGCCATTTTGAAGATTGGGGTTTCGGTATTACAATAATAACTTCAGTTTTCGACCAATCAGAAGGCGTGTTTTTCTCTGACTCATAGTACTAAAACAGTAATATACGAAGAAACATTCCTTTCTAAATTTATAAACATTTTAAAATCACGCGTATCATTCAGCCTTTAGCGGCTGTGCCAACGTTTCTTAAACGACAAATACGCATTCGTGAAGGCAAAAAGAAAAACTTACAGAGATTTAGACAATTGCACGCGCAAACTGCACGTGAAACGTAATAACGAAGCCAACTTTATGTTCATATTCTGACGTTCTAACGGCTGAGCTAATATCATCAAATGAACGCAGATAATAACTCACTTAAAGTTTAAGCACCAGCACTCAAGTCAATATTCATAGATGACGCATATTCACACGCAAGGTGCCAAAAATCACATTTTTACAATATTGATCGAGAATATCTCACAGGTCACTCGTTCAGAGCACGAAACAAAAGATAGATTAAACAGAAAACCACATGTGATGTTAAGAAATAATCAACCGCATCACTAGCAACTTTGAACTATTTTGCTGCCTTAGTGATCGATTCAAAGCGATGCGTCTGATGAAGATGAAATATCGGAGCACTTTGTAAAGCAGATACCGTCACATTTTTTGCCGTCACGCTGGCTCCGTCCGCCCGGCGCTCGTAGAATTTTCTTCGCCCATAGCGTTCTGACACGGCTAGTCTCGAGTACCGCCAAAATGCTTTGTGCGGAATGAAATTTCATGATCAATATTTATTAGAAAATTTTGGCGAGACAGGAATGATTAGCAATCCGTTTTGTAGAGCTCTGTTGTGATGTTGTGCGGATAAAAATTTCAGCTGGCGTGCGGTCCTCAAGAGTTCTGCATGTGAATCACGTGCATTCATAAGGCACGTGCCAGTTTGCAAAAATTACCCTACGGAATCATGTCACGCGTGCCTCCATGACTTAAAATATTTTTGACTGCTTACTTTTTACAGCGTGAAATGCAGACTCACACGAGTTGATGTCTGATTGTCAAGACCGCGGAAAAGAAAGGGGAAAAAAAGTTATCATGATTTGAAAATAATAATTCCGAAGAGCACTATAAGGTAAAAACATGATCAAACTCAATCGCGAAAAATAATTCTGTGAGAAATTTTGCTATTCAGATACATTGAAATCGCCAGCTTTGCGACTAAAAATTGAGTATATTACTACTTGTTCCCACGATATCCCTCCAGAATTTTTTAAAGATCAAATCCGATTAATGATACTTTTCCTAAAAAGGTGAAAATTACCACAGGAAATTCTGATTTATTTATGGCTCTGGCTTCGACCACAACCACGCCTACCGTAACAAGACCGCACTTTTTACATTCATGTACACGAGCAATTTTTCACGGCTACATGATAAATAATTTCCAAGCAGTTCCCACAACAATACGTTCTACTTAGAACTGCTGAAAGCTTTCTCGTGAGACAAAAAAAAAATACATTAGAAAAACGCAATTTACATAAACAACTCGCATGGAAGAATTCAAAGTATTTTGTTTGTGGATATGAAAGCGGAAAAAACCCTTCAGCTGATGCTTCCAAATGAGAATATACGTGACACCTTATCTTGCAAGGCACAATCAGGCCGTTTTACGGCGTCGGAATTTCTTGAAATTACAGTTTTCGCATTATATGAAGTACAGCGTTCATTTTAGAAGGGAAGTCAGTTGCTTCTTCTCGAGTTATCTGTTAGGAAACGTGTTCATCACTGGTAAATTTGATTCCTTAGCGAGACAGGAAGACAAACCCTTCCAAGTTCGTGAACTTGCCAAGACACTTGTTTTTTCCGGCTAAATTCCGAAATTTGAAAACAGTCTTATTTTTCTAAATTATATTGTTTTTTTCTTTCTTTTAACTATTGTTGTCTGTGCTAGATTTTATCTCTCATTCAACCCTTAATTTTGAAGAAAAGACCTCTCGTCGATCACGCATTGAGTTTGATTAGTCTTTTCGGCTAAATGTATCCCGTTTTTTCGTTGAGCTCGTGTTACTTTGTCAGGAAATCACGCTAGTCACGCGGTCCTTGGCGTGACATTGTGGAAACGGTGCTCCATTTCAGACAGATGAAATAAAGTAGGGTGGATTTTAAGAGAGGAAAAGTGTACCTGAGTGCCAGATTTATCATTTGTTTTTCTTTCTTTGGCAGTATTCCTAGTCACGAAAATTGAGAACTGAAAGATTAGGTCGGCTGGTCACTTAAGACTCCCGTAACACAACATGGCGTCATTTTCTACTTTTCCATTTCTTTCGCAGGAAAAGCCATTTCCGTGCTACTTAACTTATTCTACGCTTAGGACAGTTTAGCACTAATGAAAAATGGATAAATAGACAGGCATTGAGTGACAAGTGCTATCTTTTCCGCCGCAAAGTTCGAGAAAGTAGGAAGTTTTTCTGATATTCAGAAGTGGGGCAATGACCTTTGAGCGTGTAAAAACACACTACCTTCACGTAGTTTTTATTTTCCTTCTTCTTCTTCTTCTTCTTCTTCTTCACAAGCTAGCTTACATGTTCCCACGGTGTCCTCAACATAAATTTCCATAAACACTTCTACACAAGCCAACGTAAATTGTTCCAACCATAAGATAAGGCAGTTCTAAAAACGCCTTATGAGGCCTTTTTAAGATTCAATGACATCTGCCGTCGTATTTTACTTGATATTGCTAAACTAGCTTTTGGTCCAAGAACGTGCCTGAGTATTTTTTTCATTACGTAACGCTTACGCAGATGTAAAAATTTCAGTTTCCCGACGCCATAATCTTTCGAATGTAGCTAAAATTTGCACAGGAAATTTAGAACTGATATAATCTCGATATTTCGTACATGATACCACATGATGTCATAACGATATCGCCTTTTTCAAGCAACCCAAGATAGCGTTGGTTCTCTCACAATTGTCGCTAAATTCCCACAGAAAAAAATTTCTATGGATTTCTTGCAGCAAGTTTTAAGTTTGAACCGGTTTTGGAATCAGTGAGTGAGTTCGGCATCATTTGCATGTGACGCATGTTTTTAAAGCCACAAATGAAATTATGGTAACTTTCAGTCTGCTGTTAAACTGCGAATTTTGTCCTTTGCTGATTAATTTTGACACAAAGCGACTTTCTTTGTTATGCAGATATCAAGCTTTGTTCTCAATATCTTGTACACCACGCTTAACATTAATATAAACAGTTCTTACACACTTGACGAAAATTGGCACAAGGGATAACTTTAAAGAGTGCTGGGACAAAATGAGTGTAAAAACTAGTTCTTAAAGCTTTACAATTGTTCTTAATGGCCCATGTATTTCAATAAATTTTTAAAGTAATTTTTTATCCGTACGTCACCGTTCTAACGATGACCTTTTTATTTGGTATATTCTTTGAGAAATATTGATTCTGTCTGAATATTTATAGTTCGTAGGTTTGGTAGATCTGTTGAGATAAAACCTGAACTTCAAGTCAAATAAATGGCAGCTATTTTCTTAACTTCTTCTAGTCCTATAGATCTTTTTAATAATCCCTTTAGCAGACAATACAAATCAAACTTATTTAAAATCACATTAAACCAAAATTAATTTCAAACTTTAATGTGAGTGTACACGTTGTGAATCTAGTCATGATGGCTGTCAACGTGTCTTCGTACTCTGTTCTCTATATAGATCATAAGTACACATATCTCCGCAAAAATGCAGGGCCATAAAAGGTGAAGGTCGTCAAGGATATTGAAGCTAGAGGGGATGGAGTTTTTATCAGCCTGTACTTCAGCCAATTGTCAAGCCTCACAATATTGAGATGTTGCAGTAGAGTTCTCACTTGCAGCTCTGTTCCTTCACAAGCTCTCTTTCAAAGGTTTGGTCTTTCACTTTTTTTATTATTCTTTAGCTAATGGGATTGGTCATTAATTGTCTCTATTTTAATGAATCTATTTCCTTTCTTTACTTGTATTGTAGAGATAAATGATCAATTCTTTATAGCATTTGTTTATGATGTAGAATAGTATGATTTCGACATACTACGATTCAGTACAAAACATTAGATGATACCGAGGATTTGAGAACTGAAAATGGCCAGCTTCACGTAATTTCCCAAACCTTTTGCAGAAGTCAATGATTTATTATAGGTTTTATTTGATAACTACAAGTGTTTTAAAATTTGGCGTTTTTCTAATGAAAGGATAAGTCTTGAACACTTTATATGTAGCTTCCGCACATAAAATGCTATTTATAAGTGAAAGTATTTTCTTGAGAAGAAATTTCCTTACGTAACAGTTTAAACATCCTTTTAGTCAGCGAAGGTAAGTGCACTTCGTAAGAAAATTAACAAGTTTTAATGGTAATCATTTTATAAATAATTATTATGCAACTATATATAACATCTAGTAATTTCTTTTCGATCCTCTAATCTTGCGTCAAATTGTGTAATATTTTCAATATCAAAACATATTTTTCCAAAACATTCCCAATAGAATTAAATCCTTTTGGAATTTACTGTTTAGTTCAATGAATTATGCTTTCAGGCTTTTGTGTGATGGATGTTAGTGTATAAGGTTCTGAACTTTGATACTTTAAGAGCTGCAATACCTTACATGCTGCTTATCAGCTTTTGGCATCACTAAGTTCTCTCAAGTCCAATACGTTTGATTCAACATTTAAAGAGCAATAAACAAAGAAACAATGCTTGTTAGAAATCCAGGCTCTTTTTGCTTTTTGAAGAAAGTTGCTACAACCTGGATAAAATCTATTCAAACAGGAGTATTTTTTTCGGCTGCAGCATGTGGGAGCCTTTCGAGCAAGGAGTAGAATTTAAGGGGCACCTCCACGACTTTTCTGTAATATCAGGGCCGTTTATTCGGAACTACGGTAAAGAAACACGCTTCAACTTTCGTGAGAGTTCAAATGACTGCTTGGTTGAAAAAAGTTAGTGATTAGTGAAACTTAGTGAAAAGAGTTAGTGACTGCTGGTCAAACAGCTACCTTAGGCTTGCAAACCTCCAAGTATCAGGGTTTTTAATAAGAATTGTGATCGCAAGAGAATACTGTAAAGTAACTTGAAAATATTGTCCAAGTCTGAAAAGAGAAAATAACTCGGACCAATCAAATTTCGGCTTAGAATTTTGTGCAGCAGTAGGACAATTTTTTGATCTTGGATGCTCAAGAATATCCAGAGAATTTTTATGATGCACAAGATTGTGCACCTTAGTTGTAAACACTTCTATTGAAGATGGTTTTTGAGGATGTAGACAAGAATGTTAATATGAGTTAGCTATGAATCTTAAGTCATATTTTCACTAGATTGGCTTCCCAAGCTTTGCAAAAAATTATATTTTTGAGACTCAAAAAAAAAAGGATTGAACCAACCGCAACTGTTTTTTTAGGATGAAGGTCAACAGTCATCCAGATTGTACGATCTAGCCTTCATGTTTATAGCCCTCGTGCAAGAAAAAAACATTACTTATATTTTACTTCTGATGTAAGAATTGAGAGTCTGCTCTGATTTTTGTAGTGACATCACTCTTAGGATATTGTTAATAGATTTAGGTTCATTACGAGGACACGAAAATTAAATTTCCTGAGACAATACTCGAGACAACTAAGTATATTTAGTGTCTTAATTATTGTAACTTCACAAATTAAGTTAAGACAGTGGCATTTAATTCCTGTTGAAAACTGCAGACATTTCATGAGAGCTTTCGCATTGTTTTGGTTTGATATTGGAACCAATATTATGAGGATCACGGACTGTGATCCCAATATTTTCGTTAACAATTTTTTCCATTGAGAAATTAATTATTTTACTCACATTTGCCATAGCAATGCTTCATTGACTTGTAAATGACAAAAATAATGTTTCGACATATGATTTTTATCATAACTAAGAATACTTCTGTCATGACTTGGGGAACTTTATAGTTTTGTGTAGTTTAAGTACTGTAGACAGAGTTGTCTTCCATGAGTTAAGCAATTCAACCTATATTTTTAAATGAGTCCTTAGTATTCCGATTTGAAAGAACCACTCAATATACACCAATAAACAACACAAAAGAGTAAAGCTTCTTGATAACAAGAATAAACATGATCTTTATAGGATGAATTAGTAACACCTTGAGAATGCTTGCAACTTTTTGGATGCTATCACTCTGCAGAGAGTGGTATCTTTCCTCTTCCCCTCAGACTTGAATAAAAATATCACTATGCATAAGAAATCAGGTTTATCAAATTTTCTTAAGGACTAATCTTGAAAAAGTTATGGGGGAATGGAACTAGTGAAGGTAAAATTTATAGTAAAAAGTCATGTTTGGGAAAAAAGGGCCAAAAAGAGATGAATGCACAGCAAGTAAACTTGGAAAAATTCCTTCATCCCTCCAAATAATTATTTGAGAGCAAAAATTTAATAGTAGTGTCATTTTTGCCAAACTGATTTGTGCAGAAATCATTTGGACAAAAAGTTATAAGCATTAACAGAAATTTACACTTAAAACATGCGTCTTGGAAATTCCTAGCACCTGTCACTCCCTCTGTGACTTAGTGAACGTTTTTTCGGATGGTATCAGTTTCTACAGTCACTCTGTCTTATCAGTAGTATCTTGTGATGATACCTGAAGTAGATAGAAAATGTTATTAGTAGTAAGTGACAACGTTCTGCTCTTATGTATGACTCTGTCTTTTAGTGATCTTTTCTCGGACTTGACCGTCGGGTTGTCATGGGAACTGATCTTGACCCAGTTTTCAAGGATCAAATCCGGCCAGATAAGGCATCAACTATTGCCCTGCTTATTTTTGCATTATTTTTTAGAAATGCTGAAAACTCAGTTTCCTCGTAGATTTCTAACACAGTTGTTTAGGAAAGTATGTTTTTTTGCATGATGTTGATAAAAGATCTGCTATACTTCCACTGGTAAGTGTGGGGTTTTCAAAAGCACCATTTATCGATGGTAATGCAAAGTCAGCATGGAAATTATTTCACGATAATTTTGCAGTTAAAACTAATTACAGGTAATTTGGAGCCTGAATGTGAAATGTATAAAAATCTGAGCAATTGAAATGTTTTTCGAAAAGTATTCCCCTCTGCCATTAATTTCTTGTTGCTGTTTTTTTAAGTTCTTTTGTTTGTTTATAACAAACTGATTTTTCATGCTATCAATTTTGGTATTGACTAACATATTAAATGATAACAAAAAGTTTTTGTAAACAATTGACTATCTGCTTTTTGATTTTGCTTTATAGATATTTAGAGGTAACCAAGCGTTTTATATAACAATTAAATCTCGTATTTTAATTGGAAAGGGTAATGAAATGTGGTGTTACATCTTTGAGACGGTTATAATTTTTTAATGATTACAACTCTCAGGTTATTTTGATAGCCATGAAATTTTGTTGTTAATGGGTTCCTACTTCCACAGTTTCTTATTTTCTGTTAGAATTTCAAGCTAAGGTTTTTTTTTTCTTCTAGGCCTTTTGTTGGAACATGTAATTTTTTTAAAAAACATAGTTCACATAAAGGAAGTGTTTTGGTTTTTTAAAAAGTATAGTTCACATAAGGGAAGTGTTTTGGTTTAAGTGCAAAAGATAATTGTTGTTTTTTAGACCTTAGCAGTTAAAAGATAAGATCATCCACTTAAGTTTAATTTCATTTTGTCTTAGTTTAACACTTAAACTCCTAAGTGGCTATAATCTTATTTCTTCTTAGAGCATTACTCCTGAATCAGTCATTAAGGTTTTGAGAATAAGAAAAATTATCGCAAGCTAAAGGAGCTCGTGATTGTCAAATAAATTCTCCATTTCATTACCATAGGAAATGTGTAAGAAGCAGTGTGGAGAATATACATGTTGATTTAAAGGTTTTAAGGATTCACCTTTTGTGACAATCAAGGAAAACATAATTGTGTGCAGTGGTGTATCAAAGTTTACTTTCGTATGTGGTCATTAGAATCTGCTTTTTCATGAAATGTGAATAATACTCCCTATTTTCTACATTTTTTTAAAACTTAATTGCCTGATTAAATACTCATCAAAAGCATAATTGCCTTTTGAAATTCTCATCAATTGCAAACGAAAGGTGTTAAAATTTACCCAGTTTCAAAGTAGAAAAAAACTATCGGCAGTTTTAGTTTGATAAAGTATGCTGTAATTGATGATAACACAAAGCTGTGTCTTTATTTGAACTCCCTGCTACGTACGTAATATGGAGAAGTGTGATGCCATAATTTTTAAATTTGTCCATGGCTCACGCCGGTATTGCATTTCTGCAGTTGTCTCCAAATATTGACTCCTCCATCTTTTTAAACCTAAGAAAGTATTACTTGAAAATGTTTGGTTTCAGCTCTGTTTAACCTAAAAAAGTCAGTAAGGCCACAAATGATTTTGGCTTGATCAAAGAATTTCTTAAAATGCTGCAAAAATCGAAAGATTGAAACTAAAAATTACACGTGCAAAGAAGGTAGAGCAAATGATTTTGTTGATATCATTTAATACACCATAAATTTTCAATTGTCAAAATATTGCCATGATGGTGTAATATAGTTCATGAAAAGTGGAGCACAAAATATAATTAGTGATTGAATAATTTTCTAATTTGGACTATGGACTAATTCAACGTTAAAAGGTTTTTAAGCTGATAAGATTGTCTATAAGATTTGTTGTGTATTGCATTGTCGCAAGCAAACCACTGTGATTGTAAACATGGCTTACCCGCAATAAGTTCAGGAAAAACCACTATTTTTTGGCCATTTGTTACCACAAAAAAACAAATATTTACGGACAACTTCTCTGCAAGTAGGTACTTATCGTTTAAAATTCCTTTATTATACAGCGGCAGTACGTCGAGAGCATTGACATCAGCAGTGTATGGTAGTGAGTTAGCATATTTTTAAGTTAGCGACGTGCAGGTAAATGATCGTGCATTTGTGATTATCATATTTAATGAGCATTGCTGTTCTTTGGAGAAGAATCTAATCATCTGTAAGGTAAAGGTCATATTTCTTTGTTCAATTTTTCTCTTTTATGGCTGGAATTCAATGTATCTGAAGCTTTCTCCGTCAAAATATTCCAGATAAGTGTCGTTGTTCTCGGATATGTTATGATCATGGGATTTTTCAGAACTTCAGTCCTACTTCCTATGGTTATAGTTTTACGGAATGCACCATTTGTGATTACCCGAGAGAGCAACAGTTTACCTCCAGGACTCGACATTTTAAGCTGATGCTCCATGACAAGTTTTAAGGTGGTCATTCTCAAAACAGAACTATGACACTACTTGTCTATTTGATATTTTTAGATTTTCTTGCTTTTAGAACAGTGTAGGAACTAAGTTTCTCCTTTTCTTGTTTTAGTTTTTACTAAGACCTCTTCGTCATCTTTGTTCTAACTTGTGAAGGTGACAGGTTATGGTGCTGAAGAGAAAATTTTTTTTGATAGGATTCTGTAAACAATGTTTTTTGGTTGTTCAGTCCTTTGATAACTGAAGTACTTAGAAACCAACATACACAAAGACTACGAGACAAATTTATTCGGTAATACATGAAAAATGAATATTATTCGAAACTGAATTTCCCCAGGGGAAGTTATTTTAATATTACTTTCGCATGTGTCTTTTTTTTTTGCCTGGTTGAAAGTCATGAGATATGGCCAATATTTTCAGTATATCAGTATTTCTTTTATAGCTACCATAATGTTCTGTATTATTCCTTTAGCTTTTTGAAATCGTGAACTGGGTTTTCTTTCCATTTTTCACGAATTAGTGCTGCCTTGTGTAATAGATAATTTCTTGGGAGCTTTAGTGCACCTCGCACAGGAATACCTATGAAGAGCTTGCTTGCATGGTTTGTTTGTGGTAGTCATAATGGCTTTCCATTACGTACCTGTTTAAACTGGGGAGTTCGAGGCATCTTGGAATATGTTTTCTATGTCACTGGACTATGAAAATAATAGTAAAAAATTACCTCTGTGGATCTAGAGTTTTTAGCCATTTCTCTAATAGAATAGAAAAAAAAATATGTTGTGATGAGGTTCTAACTGCTCGAAACTTCGCCATTAAAAAGTCTCTACGGTAGCCAATTTACATCATAACTCAGTTAAAAAAAGAAAGATATCTTGCAATACCCCTCACTGACGCAGCACCACAAATTCCTTAGAAACTTACCTCCTATTCTCAAGAATAGAGTTTGTTTCTACCTTAATGCTTGTTACATAATACTGACTGGAAATAGCGTAAAACGTTCTTTGGTTGATAAATCATACTTAGATGTTATTAGACCCTTTTAGGGACACGCAGTATATCAATATAGCCTCGAATAAAGATAATCCTCTCCTTTTTCTTTTCTTTCAGGTCATATCTGAATTCTTAAACTCGTACTGATAAGCATCACAGAAGAGATGGTCAAAGGAGAGGGAGACACTACAGATAACAAGAAGAAAACTGCTCTTCCAAAAATCCAGGAAGGAACATCGGACAGTCACCATGAAGGTGTTCCCAGTCATGACCATAGCAGGTTCATGCCATCCGTGGAGGAATGTCGGTACCTAAACGACCTGGGGCAGCATATAGACTCAGATAAGGTTCCTCATTATCATCATTACCGAACCATCTCAGAAAGAGAGCAATTTCAATCCAGGGTTCGGAGAGGTTCAGTTTCTATGAAGGACATTGAAGTGCTGCAAGAACGCTTGGCGATGGAGAGAGACAATGATAACAACATTTTGGCAGGAATGTCAGACTCTATCCAAATGGCAGGTATGTTGTGAAAATGCAGATAGAGCTAATTTTTCTGAAGGGACAATCTATTTCATGGTATTTGTAAAAAGATAATACGATTGCTAACTACTGCAGAGATGGGTTAAACACAAATCTGGTGCGTCCTGGCCACAATACGGAGTCCATAAAGCAAACTTTGAGGTGTTTAGCAGAGCATTATGTTGATAATCTTGAAGGCAGGCAAATGATGATAAAGCACTTTCCGATTAAGTGTCGTGTAGTAAAACCAAAACAAAAGCAAAAACAACGTCCAATCAAAAGAAAGGAAAATATTTTTACATTATGCTGTCGAAGCTCAAAGTTGTGGTCTTCGAAAAGTGCATATTTTGACTTATGATGCCATCTAGTATTTAAATATTTTTTACGTCATGTACCAACTGAATTGGCAACCAAACAAAATTTCTTTCATCAATTTCTTGTAATTTAATATCATTGTTTATCAATCTTATTATTTCCTATAAAGGAGGACTTCGAAAATCTCAACGCAAATTGTCAGGCATGCAGACTCTTTACAGTGCAACAGACATCAGCGCTAGTTTGGATAAATTTCCAGCTCAGTATGACCGTAATCCTCACGAGGTAAGACTCAGAAGATATTACAATGGCTGTAACTTTTAGATCAATGCACCTCTCTCTGGCCAGTTTTAACGACCCAACAAGGCTGGGGTGCTCAGAATTAGAAACCTTATTCTATCACTGTTAAATCGAGTTATCTCGCATTGGTGACACTGCACATGCGCAATCACTTCCTGTCTCGCGAGGATGACAACTCTATCAGTGTAAAAGAGTGAAACTACAATGGAGATCCAAACTCCTCTGGACAGTTATTGAAAAAGTAACCTAAGTCCAAATATATTACAAAAGACCGCTTTCAGCCAATTCAGTCATATACAAAGAGCCTCCTCCAATTTTGGAAAAAACCAAACAGTCACCACGTCTTGGTAAAGACGCATAAAGTTCAACATTGTTTGGAGGAGCTAGGGGAAGGATTCGATTTTCGTAATAATAGGTTAAGTTTAGCTAGATTTTTGACCCCCTCTGTAGTATAAAACCCCTCAAATTACCAATACCAAACTGAAGAGATCTCCAGTGAATTCGTTATCAGTGACAAAGATAACATGGTCACAGTCTGGGCGACGTAATAAGCAGGAAGGGGGCCAATGAATTTGGTAGGTAGCCCTCAAAACCCTAACATCAGTATGCAGATTCTCCATGCTGATCTCCATACATTTCCTAAGGGGCTGGCAAGGAGAATTTGTTTAACAATCAAGAGTTTCTTTTGTTGGTGACCATTTCCCCCATTCTCGTGACCTTAGTATGTGATTTAGATGTAATTTTATAAGAAGAAATTAGATACTCGTCACTCTTAGAGGCCAAAGGGTTAACAGGTGCTCAGTACACTTTAATATGACTTGAATTTGCAAACCAAGTAGTGATGAAACTTCTTTTTGTTTTAGGCATTTGTTGAGTTGGAAGAACTTAGCAAGCATGGCGAGGAGATGGAATGGAAAGAGACAGCTCGATGGATCAAGTTTGAAGAGACTGTTGAGGACGGTGACCGCTGGGGCAAGCCACATGTGGCTTCACTTACCTTTCACAGTTTGTTAGAACTACGCAAAGGCTTAGAAAAAGGTATGAACATCCATAGTTGATGGTTCGATCTTCCAATCACCCTTTTTCTTGAAGATATATTGATATTGTTGGATCAAAAATTCTTTTTTGTCACTCCTGGGAGTGAAAGTGAGACAGGTTTACCAGGGAACGTAAACTTTATTGCTAGTGTACTTATGGCTTAACATGTATTTCATTTACTCAGGTACTGTCTTGTTGGACTTGGAGAAGTTTGATTTACCTAATATCGCTAAAGCTGTGGTAGAGAACATGGTGATGTCAGATCAGCTCAAACAGGAAGACAGCAACAAAGTTCTCACAGCGCTATTGTTGCGACACAGACATCAACATCAACGCCGTCCGTCATCCAAAAGGAGAAAGAAGTTGGCTGTAGGAGCTGATAACTTGGGATATAATGGCCAAGTAGAGACTGGAAACGGAATCATTCGAATGAACATGAATGAATCTAATGGTGATGTGCAGAAAACTCAGGTTTGTACTTTAATTTAAACGTGAAGCCAGTTGTCTTCTCTCAGTTAAATTGTTGTTTGAAAACTATTACCATAGATAACCGAGGTTATGGCATCCTTTCTTTTGAAACATTCAGGTTGAAGGGTTAAAGGTTTGAGAGGCCACAAATGTAAGACTACTATGTGGGGATTTTGATAAAAATAGTCAAGTTTATGAAGCATCATCGTTATCAAGATCAAAACCATTTTTGTTGTCACGATCAATATCCTCCACATAATCATTATCATTATCGTTACCATCATCATTATGGTTATCAGTTGTTTATCATAATCGATATCATTATTACCATCATTGTCATTATCATAAATTATCATTAATTACAATTATCATCAGCGTTATCGTCATCGTTGTCAGTGGTCATCATCATTGTCATTATCGTTACCGTTATTATCACCAGTACCTTAATCAGTATCACCTCTATTACTATCACCATAACCATTGCCATCACTGTTACCATATCATTATCATGATCAGTTTGATGGTGGTCGTCGTGCCGCGAAACAATGACTTTCTATCACCTCTATTACCATCACAGTAACCATTGCCATTACTGTTATCATACACTATGATGATCAGTTTGATGGTGGAGGCCGGCAGTCATAACTTCTCATTTTTATGCTTGTAATATATCTCCCCACATGTTTTTTTTTTCATGATGAGCAGGATACACTTGACATTGAATCTGCTGGTCTGGATGAAAATGAAGAGAAACTGGAGTCAGATGTGAAAGATAAAATTCCTCAGGGAGCCGAAGCCACTAACGTCCTTGTTGGAACACTGGATGAACTGCAGGATCCAGTGATGGCGTTTGTGCGGCTTGCTAAAGGAGTCCACTTGGGGGAGATGTCAGAAGTGTCCATACCAGTAAGGTTCCTGTTTATCATGTTGGGTCCCAGCTCACATGGAGAAATTTATCACCAGATTGGGCGCTCTGTGGCCACACTTATGTCCGACCAGGTAAGGGTCTCAGTTGATTGACAAAGTTGTTCTGTCAGGAGAACCACAGGGTGCTTGAAGGCTATTGCGTTAGAAATCTAGCTCTGGAAAGCCTTAATAAAGAAAGGTAATTCAAGTCACCCAAAGATAAGAGAGATTTAACATTAACTGCCTGCTTACTTAATATCAAAGCGCATTTCAATTGAATGTCGTTGTTACGAAAAATTGTCTAAGTAAAGTCCCAGAACATTCCAGAACCCGAAGTCATCTAGACGTGACCTTCTAGTAAAAAGAACATTCTGGAACGTTCTATTTCTTACATAATTGTTCAAATTTGGAAACCGTGTTAATCTACTAAATTTATTTCTTTAGAGAAGTTTCTAGATCCTTATACTTTATGTATATAAGAGCGACAGTTCCATCGAACAGAGGGAGAGAGATTTGCGAGGAAGCTTAGGGCTATAAAAACAAGAAGTCAACTACGCGGAAATAAAACAGTTTGTTGTTGTTACCGACGATCCTGAGTTTTGTCTAGGAACAACCCTGCTCTACATCGACACTCGTAACAGTCGTAAAACCAAAATCAAAGTTGTTATTAAGTCTGTAACTCTCAGATCTGATTGCTGATTCTCCCCTCTAGCTGCTACACATTTCCTTGTAAATCAGTTACAAGAATTTGGCGTTAAATCAAGATGACAACTTCTACCTGATAAGTTTGAGTACTCTAATTCTCATTACCAGTTTGCTGGATAGTGAATGGATATTATAGGGAGAAGTTACATGTTAATCACTTCTGGGAGTTGAAGGATTAAACACGAGTGATTGGGACGCAGTTGGTTTTAGTTGTTCATCTGATTGGTTAAGAGGGTGGCACGAGTATTCTGGACCAATCACATTGGGAGGTGAAAAAAAACCAAAACCGACAAGATCCCAGAATACTTTTGATTCTCATTCAAAACTTGCTTTGATTGTGAAACAATTATCATCTTTTTTTTTTCAGGCTTTTCATGACATTGCTTACAGTGCTGACTCTCGCGAAGAACTCCTGTTAGCCATAAACGAGTTTCTTGAAGACACTCTAGTTCTGCCACCAGGCAATTGGGATCGAAGTGTTCTACTTCCCATCCTTATTGCTCAAAGCAGAGCCATAGCTCTCAGAAGAAAGCTGGCCAAAGCAGGTAAGAATATTGCCCTCTATTATAATTGTAAACAATTCGAGGAACTCTATAGGACCTGGGAGTGAGGGTTTGAGGGAGTTGTTAGCTCGTACATGGATTTATTAACGAGGGGAGGGGGGGAGGAACGCCTTGTAAACTCCTTTGAAAATTGTAAGCAGAACTTCACTTTTGTGGGCACGTGATTGGTCTTGTAAATTGTGAAAAAGTGAAACCCGTATATTAATTACGTTTTGTTAGCGGGGAGATAAAGTCAGAGGTAAGAACTTATAGACGTAATTTCACTCTTCAAACCTCACCTTGTGGCGATTTATCGACAGCTTCATCCTCCCATTCGGAAGGAGACACTGCCTTGGCTCGGACAGGCACCTTCTTTGGAGGACTCATTCAGGATGTGAAACGACGAGGCAAAGTTTACCTCAGCGATTTCAGAGATGGTTTCAACCTTCACACTCTCCTGGCATCGCTTTTCCTGTATTTCGCTTTATTTGCGACGAATATTGCCTTTGGAGGTCTGTTTGAAGACAAAACTGAAGGTTGGCTCGGTTTGACTGAAGTGATTTTTGCAGCTTGCGCTTGTAGTATCCTGTTCGGGCTGTTTGGAGGGCAGCCCATAATGATCATTGGCGCCACTGGTCCGATGTTGGTGTTCGAACAAAGTATATATGAGGTAAATATTTGCCCAACAATTGCACGTTCGGTGCCCATCATGTTTAAATTCCTGGGCTGAACGCGGACTGGCGCTTATCCAAGGATAAATTTCAATCCGGATTTCTATACTCCTTTGTTCAAAAGCCTTTTATAGATGATTTTCTCCTTACTTTTTAGGGCCTCCAATTATCAAATTGTAGACAAAAACAATTGTATTGAATTTTATTTTAAAACTATCAGATCTGAAATAAGATTTCACATTAACTCCGGGTTAACTCAACCCAGCTTTGAATAACCCAGCCTTGGGTAGAGGGAGGTATTGAGAGAATAAAGTGTTTTGCCCAATAACACAACACACTGACTCAGCTAGGTCATTGCACAAAATTTCTCTTTCAAGCTTAAAATTGCAGAAGTCAATATTCATGCTTGATCGTCATTATCATTATTTATTTCAGTTTTGCAAAGCATACGATGTGGAGTTCCTTACCTGGCGCTGTTGGATCGGTTTCTGGGTAATGATCATCCTGTTTGGCGTGGTAGCCTTGGAGGGATGTTTCTTGATCAAATACTTTACGCGTTTTACGGAGGACATCTTTGAACTTCTCATCTCGGCAATTTTCATCTATGAGCCAATTGCACTGCTGATCAAGGTAAGAGCTTAATTTTTGTCTGTGTGTGTAAGTTGTTTCAAATAATTATTGCTTGTGTCGTTCAGATATTCAAGTCATTATTTTCATAGCCTTAAGGTAAAGCATTAGACATTATTTATCGCCCGGGGTGTTGGAGGATTCTGGGGGATCACATGATTTTTAGGGGACACGAAGGAGGGGGGGAGGGTTTAGTTTTAGCCAACAGAGTACAAAGGGGGAATATGAAAAATAGACTGAGATAACCTAGCAATGAGTTGGGATCATTAGAATATTAAAGAGCCTCATTGAGAGATCAGGTAAGTTTTACCCCAGCCCCCCCCCCCCACCACCCATCCCCTGATGTTAAATAGCAATGGGTCCCTAATTAACTACGATTATTTGCAGCTTTTCAAAAAGAATCCACTGAACAGGGCGGGGACGGGAAAATACTCAAGTGAGGACGAAGTCAAAGGAGAACCCAATACCGCTTTGTTGTCCACCATCTTGGTTCTAGGAACATTTTTCATCGCTTTTTACATGCGTAAGCTCAGAACAAGTCACTTCTTTGGAAAGCGGGTTTGTACAACTTTTTGCTCTTTGACTTTCATATTAGCTATTTTCAGCATGATGCTTTTGTTTGGGAATGGGTGTTTACCTGTTTCTGTTCAGTTAAAGAGCCGTTAAAATTCCAATAAGGGTGTATTTACAAGGAACAGATTTTCTAGATATGAAAGAAAACGAGCGCGTAGAACAAATTTATACTTTTTAGCGGCTACAAGCGCGGGATAACCACGCTCTGGCACCGCGCTCTAGCACCACTCTCAACCAATTAGATGCATAACTAAACTCAGTCGTGACTTGGTTACTCCCGTTTTCACGCGCTTGTTTTTGCATTGAATTCTAATTGGTTCCAAGTCATATTTTTCTTTCGATCTTATTGGCCATCGTGATTACTTTCGTTAAGTTTATAACTGCACTTTAATTGAAAAACGTTCCTTTGGTCTCCTTACAGGCCCGAAGACTGGTCAGTGACTCGGGTATTGTCATCGCCATGCTCATTATGGCTCTGCTCGATTTTGCCCTCGGTGACAAAGTCATCACACAGCATATATCCATTAACAATCCTTTCACAGAAGGTTTCAAGCCCACCCAACACGATAAGAGAGGTTGGTTCATCAATCCTGGAGGCATGAACAAAGAGATGTCGATGCCATGGATCTTTGCAGCCATCATTCCAGCAATTTTTGTTGGTATCTTGCTGTTCATGGAAACCGAAATGACCGGGGTACTTTTGAGCAAGAAGGAACACAAGCTGGCAAAGGGTCCTGGGTATAATATGGATATGTGTGTGGTGGGTGTGTTAGCCTTCGGATGTTCCCTGCTGGGGTTGCCATGGATGTGCGCGGATACAGTGCGATCAGCTTCGCACGTGAATGCACTGTCAATCTGGAGTACGTCGCACGCCCCCGGAGAGAAGCCGCATCTTATTGAAGTCAAGGAGCAGAGGATCTCGAACATCATAGTTCATGTCCTGACAGGTGAGCTTAAAACCTGAATCTAGTGAGGGGAGCTGAAGGGTTACTGAAGACAGGGATATATGGTATGAAGAGAAGAGAAGAGTGTTCGGAGTTGGGAATGCAGAGGTGTAGGATATTTTACCTTAAAGAGGAACACCCAAAATATTTTTTGATACCATGATTAAAACAGTCTAGCAGGCTCCTCAATGCCAACCATTAGTGTGGGAAACCCCCCATTCCACGCTAATATCCTTCATGAATTTCCTTTTGGTATTTGTCTTAGCTTGCTAATAAGCATTTTCTCGAGTTAGTAAAGCAAAGTAAAGCAAAACCAAAATAATTCCGAATTCCGAATTACTCACGGCGCTCAACTGAAAATTGCTCCAGGAAATTCTTAGAGCAAAATGCTGAAGTTAACGTTAATTTACCCCGGGAAAACCTGATTAAATCTGGGGGGGGATTACCATAGAAGAACACTTTACCCAGGGGGAAGAAGCAATACTTATATTCGCTTCATGTCACGGAAACTGCATGGGATAGCTCAGGCAATGTATAGAATTTCTCTTGACAATTTTTTCCGTTGTTGCAGGTTTGTCCATTCTGCTTGCTCCCGGGCTGCACGTTATTCCCATCCCGATTTTCTTCGGCGTCCTGTTGTACCTGGGTATTGTGTCCATGTACGGGCTGCAGATGGTGGACAGGTTCATCATGATGTTTATGCCACGTAAACATCACCCGGATGTCGGATACGTCAGGAAGGTATGTCTTTTCTTTGAACCCTAAGAGAGATCAGCATCTAATTTCCCCTCACAGTAAAACTACTGAATCATTCATTAAGATCAGGAGAATAAATGAAATGATCGCAAACCTAAGGGTGCTGGTTATGAAAAAAACTCTCCTTGTTAGCACCTTAAGAAGTGTATAGAGCGCAGTATGGAGAATATGCATACTGATGTGAAGATGAAAAGGGTTAAGAGGACTGAGGGTCTGAGGGTCTGGGGTTCGTTTCCTCTAGGGTAGCCAGAAAATTATCGGGAGACGAAAGATCCTGGGTACGAGTCTTCCTTTGTGCCTTTGTCATGGCACAATGTGGTGCTCACTACGCCGCATGTGGCGATGGAACGAACAGAGGAAATAACTTTTTTGCTTACTTTTTTTTCTCTCTTTTTTTTTTAGGTGAGAACCGGAAAGATCCATTGCTACACAGTTATTCAAGTACTAGCCTTGGCTTTCCTTGTCGGAATCAAGTTATCTCCCCTGGCACCATCATTTCCCTTTTTCATCATTTGTTTGATTCCTCTGCGCAAGCTGTTAACAAGGTTTTATAAAGAGGAGGAACTTGAAGAGGTAAGATGACCCAAAAATGTTCAAGATCATCTCCAAAAAATGTTGCCTAAATTCTTAAATGTTTTAATAACAATTCGTGATAACAATATAATCTTCCCATTTATAGTCCTTGTCAGTTTTCTTTATTTTATTCCTTGGTGCGGAAAAGAGTATTTGGGGTAACGTTAGATTTTCGTCTTCTACACAAGTCGAATAACAGCCTTTTTTATCGCCATACGGCCCAACAAATATGACACTTTCGGCATTGCTGCTCTTAGCAGTAAGCATGATGCGTGCCATATTAGAATCTCACAGTGACCAAATTTACCATAGAGTCTCTGAAGTTCACTGATACAGAATCGGAGCGCGGAATCTGGAGATCAGGGGTTCGATTCCTTGAAGGGACCTCGATTTTTCCTTTTTTTAATGTGACAAAAAACATATCTCCTATTCTATAACTATTTTATTTTTTTGCCCTGAACTTTTTAACTCCCACGCTCCGAGTGTTAATTCTCCCCTCTAGCTGCTACACGTCCTTGTGAATTAGTAACGAGAATTTGGTGTTAGATCAAGATAACAACTCCTTCCTGATAAGTTTGAGTATTCTCACCTCCCTTTTGCTGTAAATATATGCGTTTTACAAGGAGAAGTTACATGCTAATCACTAATGGTAGTAAAAGGGTAAAAATGAGAATTTTGAAATCTTAACAATATTGTCAATACCACCGAGAGTTCTCTGTAACTTCTTATTTTTGTTGTTTGCTAAAACAGCTGACTTATATTTTGGTTTCATTTTGTAGCTCGACAATTCGGAATCAGAAGACGAGGACAGCGATTTTGAACTATAATTCAGTCCTGCATCTGCCGTGTCCTGCGTGACTGGTGTTGTGTGACTCATTTTACGTCTCTATCATCATGCGACACATGAAAATTATTTATTCGACGTGAAGGGGAACGCGATAAAAACACTGCTTGGTTTCCAGCCAAACGGAAAGAAGTCTTTATCCATGCAACACTGAAAAATGAACGTACTTAACATATCACTGGCAATTGAAAACAAATTATTTTTCACGTTACCGTATATTTTTGTGTTTGGGTGGAATAAAAGTTACGAGGTATGCACAGAGGCCCACACGAGGTGCGGAGCGCTAATCCACTTGCGCGTGTCCCACCCTTCACACGTGCCTCGCGTTTGCTTCGCACGTCCCTTCACCTCAGAAAAATGCAAAACAAACTACTACTGTTCCACAATCTTCTATATTTTCAGCTTCATTATCATGATTAATTGTGGCATCTTCTTCAATCTCTGCTCGTTTACAGTGAGCTATCAGTGAATCCTCTACTCCCACTTGTTACATCACAAATTTGTAGGTAATTTAAGGCCTTCCATGCCAGCTTTTACATTTTGTTAGACGCTTGGTACATTAAGCATTTATTCAGGGATTCTGTTTTTCTACAATATTACCTTAAATCAAAGATTTTGTAGATAGTTCTGCTCTATATATCAATATTTTTGTAAAGGTTATATTTTGTATAACTTAAAGTTATTAAAAAATGTAGAATAATTTCAAATTATATTTCATATATTTGCAATATTGGCAAACTACCGGAAAATTGGTGTTAATTGATATATCTTTATTATTATCCGGAATTCAATTTTGGAAATGGAATCTTAAATCAAGATAGCATCGTTCAGTTGATGAATTTGGATATTCTCTATACTTGTGTGTTGGAAAATGTGATGATGTTGTAAGGAGAACTTATTTGTTGATCAAGAAGGCATCCTTCAGTTGATCAATTTGTATACTCTCGATACTCGTTTGATGGAAAATGTGATATGTTGTAGGGAGAAGTTATTTGTTAATCACTTTTGCGAGTGATGGGGTTAAGCCCTGACTTAATGAAAGACTAACATTTTAAAAAATTACAGTAATGTCTTAAAAAGCTGAGGAAATAAATAAATAGAAAACAAAACACTGGAAAAACGTGAAAATATCACTTGAACAAACACTGTATATGGAAAAACTTTGAAGAGTCCGCCTGAATTCTCATTATGCTTAAAAAATTTCCAATACCTTTTTAGATTTTTAGAAGAAAATTGAAAGTGTTTCCGAAACCTATTGATTTTTTTCCGCCATGAAAAATCACGTCGTGACATTCTAGACAGGAGGGTAACCTTCCTTCGAATGCGCCTGAAACTTGATTGTTGTTTAGTAACTTGGCCGCTGACCAAGAGGGTAGAAGACTCATACCGCGGCTGCACTCAAACCCTAATGATTCGAACCCAAGCGCCAGCGGCCAAGCAGCAAATTAAGCAAAAGCCGTTTTTCGAGCGTGCGTTTTGATCTACCATTTGAGTTGACTTCTGGAAGGTGGTGTTTCCGACCAGGTTACAAAGTTGTTTTTCAAAATGGCGGCGTCCGCATTCGAATTTGTGGCAAAGAAGGGAATCTTCGAAAGGTCCGTTTTCTCAGTGGAATCTCAATATTCGGTAGGTATTTGCTGTTCTTATATACTTTTCAACAGCGGATGTAAACATTTCAGGGTATCCCGGAGCATATCTCTCCCTTACATATGTAAACTGACGAGGGACCTTGCTAATGTTTAGCTGGTATGGGATTAGCAAGGCCTCTACCGGTTCGAGTACGTATATTGCACAATGATAACGAGCCTGACTGTAAATTCGTTTACGGTGGTAATAGTGCACTGCAGTCGTAACTTCAACCGATCCGGTATTTTGAGCCACTTTCCTAACTACAACGAAAAGACATCTTTAGCAAAGGTTCTTGAGGATTCGGCTTATTACACTAATCCGCTTCCCTTAGGTTTAATTCTATTTTTATCGCTGCTGGCGTTCGTCTTTGATTATTATATCGCTACAGTTTTGGCTTCTCTGTAGTCATCACCGTTGTCTTTTTATACTTCGTTGGAATCCCCATCATTAAAGATCTCAATTAACTTCTCGGCGATGAATCTCCGAACCATCTTCTGCATATCTTCTTCCTCTGGGCATTCCAATTCGCTTATTAACTTTCTGATGTCATTCACGGCCTGCGTGGTCGAGCCTCTATGTACCTCTAAAGACGATTTCACCAACATGTAGACATCCAGAGGTAAAAGCACGGCGCCGACAATTCCTCCAGCTAAATTGGCCACGCGCACTCCCGCCAAACCCCCAGCTCGCGTGAAGGCACCAGCAGCAGCGAAAGCTCCAGCCCCTACCGAAGCCGCGGACGAAAACGCACGGAAAAACCTGGCGGAGATATCGATTCTCTCCTCAGTTGAAGTCGTAAACTCCCTTTCGACTAGTTGGTGAAGAAATTCAAAACCATTGCATTCTATTTCTCTTAGGTTGGAGATGAACCTCTCAAGGTTTTCCAATTTTTCTTGCAGCTGCGTGCAAGCTTCCTTGTCCTCGTCAATGGCTCCCTGAACCTCTTTCAATCCTAGCTTTGCAAGGGTTATCTCGATTACTTTGGAAACAGACATCACCAGGCCTCCTGCCCCACCGATTCCGGCACCAACGAGGGAGACCACAATCCCGGCCCCAAAAGTGAAGGGCGCGGCGATCAGGCCCGCTATCGCTAGGATCCAATTAAGCGATCAGATAACAAGTGATACACTGTGGAAGTAAGGTGAAGTATTTTTATTGAGAATTTGACGTATTTTTTTATTCCTTAGAGCGGTCGTAAATATTCCCATACAAACTCTTATAATTCCGCCATGACTGTTATTGCGCAAGATGATCATCTCACAGCTGGAGCTTGGGCCGCCTGTGGACAGATGATCTCAAACTTTATGGTGCATAAAGAGACGAATTGTCTAATCTTGACGGAATTGTTCTCCGAGAAAACCGAATTGTAGTACCACAGTCGTTGCGAAAAGAAATTCTGAAATTAGCGCACGAGACCCATCAGGGAGTCGTCAAGACTAAACAATCTCTTCGAACTCGTTTTTTTTTCTGATGGTATGGATGATGCAATAGAAACTAAGGTCAAGAATTGTCAAGCGTGCATTGTTGATCAGCCTCTTAAAAAGTACACGCCGCTTCGACCAACACCTTTACCTCGTGGTCCTTGGGTAAAAGGTGTACTGGATCTTGTGGTCCAATTGATAAAAAAAACCCATTTTGACTTATATCGATTATGATTCATCCTACCGGAATTGTACATTTTACAAGAGGTCACTTCACGTGAAGTAATCAAAGCGTAGACAGATATATTCGCTCGAATTGGGTTTCCAGAGGAAACCGTTTCTGGTAACGGATAACAGTTTATAAGCGGGGAGTTCGAAGCAAATATTCGTGTTTCTCTCTACTATGTGCGAAGCAAAAGGAAATTAGAGATTTCATCGATATTTAATGAAGAACTTTCGAGCAGCCATCAGCGAAGGTAAATCCTGACAAATGGAGTTGCCTAAAATTCTTATGCTCTACAGAGCATCAAATTAGTGGAAAAGCACCTAGAATGGTTTTGTTCCACCGCCAACTTTCGAACAAAACTACCGTACTTTGAGTTCAATTCAAATAAGCCCTGGCAGCACTCGATCGCGAACATCGGTCAAAATGCAATTTGTATCGAGCGCGTTTGAAAGAACATCACGATAGTAGGCGACATGCAGAGCCGCATCATTTCAAAGTTGGCGATCTCGTATTTTGTGCCAACATGAAGCCGAACAAACTAGATTCAATTTTCTCTGCGGCCAAGCACGTAATTATTGAGACCAAAGCGAGTGACACTTTTAGTATAGTCAATGTCGACACGGGTACAACTTTGATACGCAGTGCGAAGTTCCTCAAATATGGGCCCAGTAAGCATATTGGTGATGACATTGATGTAGACACTAGTGCTAAAAAAAAAAAAAAATACTTGTACCAGTGACAGTAATATTACTGTAGGACTACTAAACGATATGAAAGTACTGTGATCAAGTTACATGATTGTAGCAACTTATTAGATACTCCATCGATGAATAAAACAGAATATAGAGAAAGCTATTGAAGAGTGAGTGTCTCCGCTAAATGAATTCACAACAAGCCGCATTAAATCCTCTTGTGTCTGGTTGAAGTGTCTCATTCGAAATTGTGGTGGAAAGACCAGATTTCCTCACGCAATTTCAGCAAACAAACGAGCAAAATCTCAAGTTCAAATAAAAAAATTGGAATTTACTTATAATTATACTTTACTCGCCATTTATTGACTGAGCAGAAGTTAATCTTCGTACATTAATTAATCGTCTCGATGAGAGTGAACTAGACCCTGTGAGCAGGATAACTGGGAGACCTGGATGGTACTGGATCCTTGGAATCAAGTGTAGTGATACTACGGGTGTCGGATTAGTATACTGAAATAGTGAGCTCAAGTCTGGCTAAGGGCATACACCTATTTCAAAACATAGGCATGCTATGCAAGCAAGAATTATTTTTTGTAGGGTGGGTGGATTACTTGTGGTCTACATTCTTACAAAAGGAAAGAAGAGTATTAACGTGGAAAAGAACGAAAATGTCGAATTACCTCACACACAGGTATTTTGTGGTAGATTATGTGTGTTGTGCGAATAAATGTAACCAAAAATAAACTGTATTGGTGCCACAGATACCTGTAAGTACAAAATGCAGACAGCAGACCGAATACAAAATATAGACTGGAGACTGCAGAGTGGGTACAAAATGCAGACTGAGAATCTGAAGAGTTTTTACGTCTGGTAAATAATAACATGTCATCTTACAGCTTACCGAGCGTCACGCAATCGCTTTTCCTCGATCAGCCTTCACGATTATTTGCCCTATTGTGGAAAATTCCTGGCCCATTTCTTGATGAAAATCGATCGTAATATAATTTCAAGCCTTCAATATACTCTTCTTACTTTGTGCGCGAGTTGGTTTGTGTGATGTCTGTACAGATTTTACCAACGTAATAAAAGTAGATGATGTGAATAACAGTGATGGTAAAGCAAGCTTAAAACGGCAGAAATCACCAGAAACTACAACGGATACACAGTTCGCGACTCAATCCGGTCCAAAATTACCGCTCAATAACATCTTTTAGTGTGGATTGGCCGCGAACAATACGACTTGTGTATGCGTCTGTAAGTATTTCGAGCGTTTGCGCTATAATGCTTCAGGTGATCATAATCCAAACACGTTGAAATACAAAACGACCGACCAAAGAGTTTTCTAAGCAAAAATCTCGTGCTCGTCATGTGACCCGGACCTGTCCGTGCATGACAACGTCAATCATCATCAAGATAACACGTGATCAGCATGTGAACACCTTCACCCTCATTGGATCTCAGTTAGTTGTCATGGTGTTGAGGGCCCAATGACCACTGGGTACTATTGCGCAATTTTTCCATTTGGTGGCGGAGGAAAAAAAAAAAAAAAAAAAGGACGACAAAAAAACAAAGGCATTTTATGACTGGGCTACCACAGGTATCCCAGTAATAGGATTTTCTGTAAGATCATGGACTGTTTTTCTAGAAAACATTGTCGTGACAGTCCTTGCCAATCTAGCTCCGTTGTTTTTCCAAAAGTGTGCAGGCGCTTGTTTTTCTTACGCGCTCTCTAATTGATCGGTGTCAGATTACAACAGATACTCGTAAAAATAATGTTTCAAAGTTCAATTGGAAGCCTTCTTAATCACCTCTATCATTACGCAAATGAAAATATTTCGGTGAGGGCCTCTCTCTTTAATTTGCATTACCTCTCTCTTAACTACCATTTACTCGCTCAAAGATTGTTCAGTTTATGGAAGATCTTGCCGTAATTAGACCCCTCCATTAAATCATTCGGGTTCTTTTGAAAAGAATTTCGTTCAGTTTAAGGGAGAAATATGTTATTCACCAGCCAAGGTCGGTACGCATTGGGAAAAATTCTGACCATGTCTTGAGTAGACTTTTTCCCAATACGGACCACCCGGCTGGCGAATAACATATATTTCTAGGAAATCACGTGTCAGATTCGTGCGCATGCGCTTGTTATGTCTTCAGTATAAAGAATTAAATTTCCGGCAGGAAATCTACTCCAATTGTGTCACACCGTTATAGCG